GAGCCATCGGTGCGGCGCCGCTTTTTGACGTTCACGAACATGCCGCTGTGGTCGGACACGTCTGACGATGCCCACGCCGCCTCCCCGTTGCTGGCCGCGTTTCATGAGATGCTGCCCGATGCTGCCGACCACACGCCTGCGCATTTGGAGGACATGATCTCCGCCGGTTTTGTAAGGCAGCTTGCGGTCGCCACGGACGTGATCAACTCCACCAACCTCGTCGATACCCTCTACCGCAAAGGCACGATGTCCTTCTATGAGATGGACTTCGGCAAGTTCGAGTGGTCGTGCAGCACTACCGGTGAGGGAGTGACGTGCATCCACGGCAACTACGGTGCACGGAGCATCGTGGTGCTGTCGATGGAGCGCGTGCTCGACCCGAAGGTGCCCGTGACGGTGGAGGCCACCACACCCTCCATGATCTACACGACGACGCGTCACGGCGACAACAAGCTGTCCCCTGCGAGCTTGGCGGGCGTGATTGTGGGCAGCGTCATGGGGGGTCTGCTGCTTATTGGCCTCGTCCTCGCGTTTGTGTTTTGCTGCCTTGTGGGTGTGCGCAACAACGACGCGGCACCCAAGATGGTGGACGAGCCGGTGACCATCGTGTTCACGGACATTGAGAGCAGCACTGCGCTGTGGGCCGCGCTGCCGCAGCTGATGCCCGAGGCGGTTGCTGCGCACCACCGCGTGATTCGCCTGGCCATCAGCAAGCACAAGTGCTACGAGGTGAAGACGATCGGCGACTCGTTCATGATTGCCTGCAAGGACGCCCACTCCGCGGTGAAGCTGGCAGCGGAGATCCAAACGAGGCTGCTGGAGTACGACTGGAAGACGAGCGAGATCGACGAGGCGTACCGCGGCTTTGAGCTGCAGCGGGCGCAGGAGGCCGGCGGTGAGCACCCGCACAGCGCGCAGCTGAGCCGCGACGCGTACGAGGTCCTGTGGAGCGGCCTGCGTGTGCGCATGGGGATCCACACCGGGCTGTCGGATATCCGCCTGGACGAGGTGACACGCGGCTACGACTACTACGGCGACACGTCGAACATGGCGGCGCGCACGGAGGCCATCACGAACGGCGGGCAGGTTGTGCTGACGGAGGCGACGTGGTGGGCGCTGCCCGACGCCACACGCGAGCAGCTCGACTCCACTGATCTGGGTGCGCAGAGGCTGCGCGGGGTGCCGCACGCGGTGGAGATGTACCAGCTGAATCCGTTGTGGGCCGCCAGCACGCGAACCTGCGAACGGAGATCGAAGCGGTGCTGCCGGACAACGCCACGACGACGACGGGGACCAACACCCTCGACGATCCGATGTCGTCGCACACGAACATGTCGTGCACGGCTGCTGCTGTGTCCTTCGTGCTGGCGAGCTGCTTCTCCACCTACCCGCCTGCGCAGCGCATCCGTGAGCTGCAGCCTCTGCTGGCGAAGTGGAGTGTGCCCGTCCCGCCACGCCACAGCGGGATCTCCGCGGAGGACTACTGCCAAGGCCTCTTAAATCGTCTGGCGGTGCGAGTGGGCCGCGTGACGGAGGCCCGGCTGCGGCGGAACGGGGGTGACAACGGTGCGGAGTCGACCCTGCTGAACTCTGTGGGCGGCATGGCGGGTGGGCGGCGCAACTCCCTGCGCAGTGGCAGCAACGCCCATGAGCCGGAGCACTGCGGTGATGCGCCGCCGCGGCTGAAGGACCGAGCCACGCTGGGGAGCTTCCACGGGTTCTTTGGGCCCACGGAGACGGCGCGCTCGTCGTTGCGCCTGCCGGATGAGCCGGGGTGTCGGGGCGGCAACCCCCTTCAGACGCAGGACGAGCCGATGGCATTCGATCTGTGCTCGAACCCAGTCGGAGCTGCGGAGGACCGTGCGGGGATACCGGAGCCTGCGGGGACGAATGCCGCCGTGCCGGGCCGCCTGACATGACGTGTGCGCCGTTCAAGTGCTGGGGATGCGGTGCCGCGGACCGGCCATCGGATGGGTGAAGGGTGAGCGAGTGCCGCGCGATCACCCCGTCCGTTTTCTTCTTTTCACTTTGCTCCAAATCGTGAGACAAATAATGTAATATTTTTATTTGTTATTGTTTTTGGCACTGAGGTAACTATTCTCCTTTACTCTCTTTTCAGCTGATGTACTTACGTATGTAACTTTGCTGTGTGGCCACGGAGGGCGCCATGGATCGTCACGCACCGTGTCCCACAGCTCCTCTCTCCTCTCCTTCCCGCCGTGAATTGAACATGGATAACTTTTTTCTGTCAAACTGCGTGCTCAGCTCAGCTTCTCCAAACCAGCGGTGGCAACGCACTTTCCTTTCGTGTGCTCCCCATTTTGCGGCGTCTCCGCAGCCATCTCTTACGAGTCTTCCTCAAAATCTACACTGCCACTGAGACGCTTCACACGCAAACGCACACGTGAGCTTCGCGACACCCGCAGCGAATAGTGCTTGCTTACTTTCCAACGGCACCGTTGGTGCTTCAAAAACTTTCCTTTGATAACAAGAGTTGGCGGATGCAGTTTTGCCGCTCTTTCGTGTTTCCTTTTTGATTGTATGCCTTTACTTAAAACAAGAAGCGGCAACGAGATAACTTGTACCGATGTTTTTGTTTTCACCTCGAAAGATTTACTTGGATCGACAGCATGACGCAACTCCGTTCCGTCATGCTCTGCAGGGGCGCTTCTTTTTGCTGTTTAACTCTAAATCTGTCTCGTCGTGACGACGCTGCGATTCCCGTACCCACCTGTGTTCCCTCTGACTCTGGCACGCAGCTGCTGCATCTCCCCCTCCCGGGAGTTGTCGCCGCACCGCTCCCGCATGAGCACTCGTGCAACACATCCGGCGTCGCTTCGTGTCTGAACGTACGAAGATCGGTAAACGTGTTTTTGTTTTCTTCTTCCTTGTTCGGAAAATCCTGTGATCATCTCTTTATTATTACTTTTTATTGTATGCAACACACCCATGCACAAATTGCGCCGGGTATTGTTTTCTCGCAAACTAAGGGAGAATGCGTTGTGATATACAGCGTAACAACCCTTGCTGTCTTGGGTCTGGGCGCATGTGTGGTGGCGTGCGTGTGCGTGTGCGGGTCCTGCCTGCACGCTGCGGACGCACGCTAAGCCGCACGATGCGACTGTTTGGGTCTGACGGAAGGTGTGTGACACTGTTGAGCTAAAAACGAAACAACGCCAATGAGAGGCCGCTGCGCGTGCCGCGGCTGATGCGTTCCGCTGCGGCGCTCCGGTGCTGCGCGGCTGGCCTGTGTGCGCCGCTGCCTGTGCGGGAGCTGCCGCTGCTGATGACGGGTTGCATTGCGCTTGATGATGGCTGCAGCGGTGCGCCGCGTTGCACTGCCGTTGTTTTTGCTGCGTGTGTGTACGCTGCAGAGGGCTGGCACACGGAGCCGGAACCGGCGTGTGCCAGCTGCCGCGGAGAAAGCGACGACGAATGCGTACCTTCGGTGAGCGTTGGCGCTGCGTCCTCTTCCGGCGATGGCGCCACAAGGAGAGGAGCGACTTGTGCCGGCGTGCACCGCCACCCCTCTGGTGCCTGCCTAGCGGACCCGTTCTACGATCGCCTGTCATCTGTCCCCAATCCTCGCCTTGCCGTGTGCTGCGGCTTCTCACTCTCCTTCTTTATTGTGCCGCCCTTCCCAGCGTCGTTGGTGCCGCTGCGCTCACACCGTGCGGTGCGTAAACGCTGCTGGGGCGACGTGCGTGCACAACACCTGATCTGCTTCTCCACCATTTACTCCGCTGTTTCCCCTACGCAGCTGTTGCGTACCGTGTGGGCCACCGCTGCCGCATCGCGCTTTGTGGATGGTGGCACCCTCTCAGCCCCCACGAGCGTCGTTCGAAACAACTCGGCGCCGTTGCGACGCGGCGGTGTGCTGGATGGCACCGCAGCGAAGCCCACCGCGTACGCCGCAGCCGCAGCCGTGGCCGGCGGGGAGGACGTGGCGCGGATCGCCGTGGTGTCTTCGGGCTTCCCTCCTCGTCCCCATCGGCTGGCGGACCTTCCCTCCCTCCCTGCCACTGCCCGGCAGCCACCGCCGCGTGCAGCAAGCGCAGGCTAACAGCGACGGCCCGCTCGCATTTGTGCTGCTGAACCGTGGTGATGCAGCGGTGCCGGCTGCTTCTGCGGCCACCCCTTTATCGTTGCCGGACGAGGCGTCGCGCACTGCCGGCATCTGCACCGGCAGCCACCGTACCCTCTCCTGCGCCTCTGCCACGCTCCGTACATCTGCCACGTCTGTTGCGGCGGTCACGGCGCCGAATCCGTTGGACGCGTTCCGAGCACGGCCTTCGCCAGCGTCGGGAGATGAATTGGGAGCTGCATGCAGCGTACGCGTGTTTTTGTGCTCTCCCTCTCTCTCCCTCCCCCCTAGCCGACCCCTCTCCCGGAGAGGCTGCTTTTGTGTTTGTTTTCCCGCCGCCCCGCCCTCTTTTCCAACCCTGCGAGGTGAAAATGCCGACGTCCTGAGTCGACCGGACGCTCCCTTTCGTGCAGTCTTTTTGTTTTCAAAACAGCGCATAAGCGATGTCAACCCTTAATGGTAAAAGGAGAAAGCGCTACACGAGATGTCATGAGATCTGTTTGCACTGTACTTGTTTTTTCTTATCTCCTCGTCCTTCTTCTTTCCCTCCTTCCCAAATAGAGAGTGGTCGATTGGAACTGTCTCTCTCTCTGATTCCTCTTGCTATTATTACTTTTTACGCTGCGAATCAATCGACTTCGCCATTCCCCCGCTGTAGAAGGCCGCAAGCTGCGTAGACAAGCTGCCTCCCCATAGACAACGCCATCCTCCACAAAAACAAACAAAGAGGAGCAAACAGCCGCTATATTTTTCCTTTCATACGCTCCACAGCGTTTTGAATAGCACATCTTCCTCCCTCTGCGTCACGTCGTTTATTTTGTTTTGTACTTGCCTCTTTTTTTTCCTTCCTTCTTTCCTCTTCCTCCATCGTCGTTCTTATCGAGTTTTATTTGTACTACTTGAATTATTCTCCAGCAGTAGAGTTCATCACACCGCAAAAAGCACACCACATTACTCGTCACACCGCCATGGATCGCTTCAGACACCTTAGGATCGTTGACAGCAGCGATTCGGACAGCGAGGAGGAGCCGACGCTGCAGCCGCACGCCCAGCCGCCCAGCGACGCCGCACGTGGCAACGACCCCGCCTCCGCCTCCGTCGGCCCAGGGCTGGAGGGCAGCAACGCAAAGTGCAGCCCACCTTCTCCGCCTGTTCTGCAGTCAAACGAATACGCGGCCCCGCAGGAGAACCACGCGTTTACCCCTCCCCCGCCGCCGCAGCCCTCAAGCGAGAAGGGCAGCTCCACGCAGGGTACGCCGTCGCAACAGGCAGTGGCCCCGACTGTGTTGTCACCGAAGCCACACAACCCGAATCAGCAAGCAGGCGAAACGGCGTCTACCACCTCCTCGCTGCACCGCTCCCGCCTGTCCGAGACGCCCAGCGCGGCGCAGGTCTCCATAAAAGCATCCTCCAACGCAGGAATGGCGAAGAGCCCGCTGTCCGATGTCGATCGACCAGCGGAGGAGCTCAACGCTTCGCACGATACGGTCGTCGAAGCAAAGACCGGGCAAACACCACCGGCGGCGAGCGACAAGTCTTCGCTGCAGAGCTCCCAATCCAAAACGGCACCAACGCAATCGGCCCACTCCGCTGCGGCACTGCGCGACGAGCCGTCTTCCATTGCCGCCAACACCGGGGCCGCCGCGGGGTCCGAAGTCGCCCTTCAGTTTTCTCCCGACCAAAACAGCGAACGGGACAACGAGGCGGTGGCGGCCGAAACGCAGACGGCGGCGACGAGGGGCAGTGCCGCCGACGCCGCTCCGTTAGAGGCGGGGGCGCCCACCCCGGCCAACGCTGAGTCGAACACCGCCCCTGCCGCAGCGGCGGCGACGGAGGCCCCAAGGAAAAAGAAGGCGTCCGCAGGCTGTGGCCCGTTCTCCTCGTCCAAGAAAAAGAAGAAGGCGGAAAAAGAGAAGGCGGTGGCGCAGGCGAACGGGCCGTCACCCGCGGCCGACGCGGACGAGCCCGCACCAGCGACGGAGGCTCCACGGAAGAAGAAGACATCCGCCGCGTGCGGTCCGTGTTCGAAGAAGAAGGCGGACAAGAAAAAGGTGTCAGGGGCGGGAGAGACCGCAGACGAGCAGCCGGCTGACCAGGCGGTGGATGTCGCCGTGGACGCTGCCGAAGGCGCAGCGGCAACGACGTCTCCCCACCGCGAGGGCTCGGCAGGTGCGCTGAGCATCCCCGTTGCGGCCGGTGCGGAGCTCAGCGAGGACCCTCGCAGCGCCTCGCAGCAGGAGGAGCCCCCAAAAGAAGAAAAGAGCGACCTGCAGCACAGCGCAGACGCATCGGCAGAGGCACCCGCAACGTCGACCGTTACCGGAATGGAGGAGGTGCCTCATCAACCGCCACAGGAAAATGAAGCGGCTGCTGCTGCTGCGGCAGACCCCAACCAGGCCACTGCGCCGACGCCCCAAACGGCCTCTTCTCTGTCTTCTGCGTCTCGTTCGGCGAGCTTCAAGGAGCACGCGGACGGCGCCGAGGAAGAGGATAGAATGAAGAAGGCAAAGAAAAGCGGGGAAGCTGAAAGCGCGAAGGGGGCGGTGCCGGCTGCGGCTACGGCGGATAAGGGGGGAGAGCCAGAGAAGCTCGCCAAAGGCCACCACACAAAGCGTGTGAAGGCAGTGGTGCGCAGGAAGCGTGAGAAGCCGAAGGAGGATGTCGCCGGAGACACGACGCGTGAGGACAACAGAGCGAAGGCAAGCGACGCGAAGGCGCATTCAACCTCCCGTGACGCAGCGCAGCAGCCGGAGGAGGAAAAAGTGAGCGTCAAGGAAGCAACGCAGGGGTCAAAGGCTGCCTCCACTTCGCACCTCACCTCCAAAACGAAGGCCTCGTCTGACAAGCTTGCCGCTGCCGATTCTACGGCACCAGATCGTGCATCTGCGAAACACTCCAATAAGCGTGCCAGTCTCCCGCCAAGTGCGAAGGAGCCTCTCAAGCACAGCGGCTCCTACGGCAGTCATAGCAGCTACAGCGGCTCCGGCTCGTACTCCTACTTCTACTCCAACAGCTACACCGGCTCAAGCGAGCGGGACGCCTCCAAGAAAGGGAAGGGCGAGCAGGAAAACACAGTTCTGTCCTTCTCAGCACCGCCCCTAGCATCATCGAAGCACGCAGCCCACTCTGCACCCAACCCACAACTGCCCTCCCCTCCCGCGGCGTCCGCGCTGCAGCTTACTCAGCAAACGGAGGGGTCGCGCCCGCAGAACGGGGCGGAAGTTCACTTCCCGCGCTGGAGTGTCCGCGCGGACGATCTCACGCTGCGGGAGGTGGAGCTGCCCGCCACGTTGCCGGCCTATCAACGACGCATTCTGCTCGACCTGCGTGCCCGCGAGCGCCGTGACGCTGAGGAGGCGGCGAGGGATCTGCAGGAGCTGACCTTCCGTCCGCGCATCCACACCCTGCCCGGGCAGGAGGTGTACCGCAACAATCTGATCGAGGAGGACCGCAGCCATTCCCCTATAGGCGGTGGTGGCGGCGGGGGTGGTCGGCGCAACGAGTCGCCGTCGTACTCGGACGTCTCGCCGCGACGTTACAGCGTTCGCCACCTCTCCCCTCGGCTGCTGGAGCCTCGCAAGGCTCCGCCACAGCCTGCTCTGCCCTCCTTCACGCCGGAGATCACCGAGTATGCCCGCAAAGAAGTTTCGCACGACCGCAGCGTCTTCCAGCGTCTCTACAACCACAGCAGCCCGCCCTCGCCGGGGAGCGCGCCGACGTACTCGCACAGGCCGGAGATCTCCGACTTTGCGAAGCAGCTGTACCCCGTGCCGCGTGGAAGGCGGCTGCCGAGCCGTCCCAACGAGAGCCGTAGTCGCGACAGAGAAGACTCGGGGCTGCGGCGGGAGTCCGTCTTTGATCGCCTGTACCGCCAGCGCAACTCTCCTAGCACGAGCCCCAACACGTCGCCGTCGCGCAGCGGTGCCCGCCCCCCGTCCTTCCATCCACAGATAACGGCGATGGCGCAGCGGCAGTGGGAAGGGGTGCCGAAGGAGCCGGTAGGCGACCGCCTCTACCGCAACGCCCGCTCGCCGCGGCGCGAGAACCGCAGCCCGTATCATCGAGACAACGACGACGACAGTCGCAGCGACCTTCTCAATGGGCATCGTCCGCACGACAACAAGGAGGTGAACGTGAATGACCAGGGCGAGTACGACCCACAGCGGGACTACGCCACGCGGCGGGAATACGGAATGGGCGAGGCGGTGGTGCCGCAGAGCGATCGCACGTCGTGGACGTCGTCGTCGCTGTCGCGGTCTTCCTTCTCCATGAAGGGACCGGCATCTGTAAAAGGGGAGCTGCGCCGCACCTTCTCAGAGAAGCAGGCAGCTGTGGAGGCAGTTTAATGCTAGAAAGAAAGAGCGTGCCGTGTTGTGCGCGTGCAACTCGCCGCCACTTGCTTTTCGCTTCTGTTTTTTTTTTGCCTTTGTTCTGCGTTCTTGGCCGATAATGCGTCTGCCCTCGCTGCGTTGTATCAGTATGGATTCCCTTTCTCTTGTAGGTTTCGCCGCTTTCCACCTTGAAAGCTATTAAAGTAGCAGCCATCATCGTTTTTTTCTCCATATTTCTATGACTCCATGAATCTTTTGTTTTTTTTCTGGGGGTTTTACTTTTCCGTGCGTCAACGTGTGTCTTATGAGCTCGTACGTCTTCCATGATGATTGCTGTGATGGTTAGCGGCAACTCCTCTTTTCTTTTTCTTTTAGCCTGGTGTGCTTGTTTGTGGTCTCGCTTCAACGCACCCATCGCGGTGGCATTTGGCTTACCTTTTCGACTGTTATGTTTCATTTGTTCGTTTTCGTTGACCTGTACCGAGTTCGTGCATCGCTGATGTGGACCGTTGTGTTCCCCCTTTGTTGATTTCTGCCCTTCGCTTTGTCGTTTCGGTGTGCCTCACCGCACGAGGGATAAGTACACACACGACTGTCAAATCCAGTGAGAGCTTTGATTCAAATCAGGAAAGGCCAGTCGTGCCACAGCGGGGTGGACCGCGGCTGCGGCGCATCAGCAGCCAAACGGAGCGACGTTTCATCCAGGTACAAGGTGAATAGCTCCTGGTTCCACTTTTCGCGGCCAAGAAGCCCGGCGCGCCCTCTTTTCGTTGCGACGCGCTCTCTCGCTTTCTTTCCATCTATATAGTTTTCTAAATGAAGGTTGAATGGCTGCTTTTGAGTTTTATCTCTCCTCTGCTTTCAGTCCCGTTCTTGTGCGGCTCACACGCCACCTCGACGTCGCCCATCGGGTTGCCTCCATCGTCGATGCATTTTTCTCTCTTTTCTTTTCGAACGCAGTTTCGTATGCTGAGTGTCACGCGTTGAGGGAAAGGATAGTCGCGAAACAAACAAGGCTATAGACATACAAAACCCGCGACGAACAAACAGCCGCTACCCTCCGTTGCCGAAAAAGTCTTTTATTTCCCATTTGTGTACCCTTCTTCCCTCTCCCACCCACCCCTACGCTTATGTGGGGAAAAAAGGCAGATCACCGCTTAGCCCGTCTCGTCTTGTGAGCTGCGTTTCTGTCGACGCGTACCTTTCATGTCCACCTATCGATGTGCCTTGTGCCACTCAAGTCATGCAGACACAGAGCTGAACTTCTGCGTCTGCTGCCGCAATGCAGTGTGCGACAACTGCACTCGACTGCGCTATCCAAATCGCACCAACGTAGGCGTGTGTGCGCGATGCACCCCGCCTGCGTTTGCGTTTCGCTGCGGCCGCTGTGCCCAGCCGATTCCCTACGCGGAAGTTGAATTCTTCTGTGATCTGTGCGCCACGCCTATCTGCTTTAGCTGCGTCGCCGGCGGCGGTAGCTTCGAGTGCGGTCAGCTGAAGTGCTTTGACTGCTGCGACTACCCGATGTTGCAGTCGCCGCGCAACGCGTACATCCGACACGACGTCGACGACCTGTTTCTGCGCAACGTGCCGCTCCCTCTGGTGTCGAGCGCAAGCCCGGTCGCTGCCTCGCCGCCGCCGGCCCGCATCGCCGCGGTGGCCGCCGCAGCGGTGAAGAGCACGAAGTATCGAAAGTTGCTGGGGAAGGAGAAGTTGGGCGAGGGAGCGCAGGGCGTGGTGTTCAAGTGCCATACCGAGGAGAACGAGGTGGTGGTGCTGAAGGAGATGATTTTTAACGACACCGACGTGGGCGCCTTCGAGTCGCAGGCGCGACAGGTCGAGCGGATGCGTCAGTTGAATCATCCCCACCTCATCCGCTACCTCGACGTCTTTGTCGTAGACAGCCCGCTGCGTATTTGTGTTGTTATGCCGTTTTACAATGAGGGCGACCTCAAGAAGTTCATTGAGCGTCAACACAAACCTGTGACGGAGGTGAAGCTGTGCTCGATCGTGCTGCAAATTGCCGGGGCGCTGCATTACCTGCACACCCAAGACCCCCCGCTGGTGCACCGCGACATTAAACCTGAGAACATTCTGCTGCTGAGTCACGAGGAGCAGGTGCTGCTGATGGACCTCGATCTCTGCCGCACGGTGGACGTCACGACGAGTGTCATTAAGCGTCGGGAGCAGTCCCCCACCTACGAGTATCGTGCGCCGGAGTTAGAGAAGAGTTACGGCGACACCAAGGCGGACGTGTTTAGCCTTGGCGTCGTTATGTTTGTGTTAGCCACCTTGCCTGATTTCCCGTGTGTGCGGACGGTGTCAGGAGATATGCTGGTTCTGTCCGCCGCGGAGTGGACGCCCGCCTCGCTGGAGCGCGCCATTCAGCGCGAGATCAAGAGCGTCCGCCGCTACACCTACTCCGATGATTTTAGGAAGCTGGTCGTCTCGATGCTCGTCCACCAGCCGGCGGCCCGCCCCACCGCGGAAGACGTCATTCATCGCCTACAAGCCATCATGGAGCACCGGCTCATGGAGGGTAAGGAGTAGCGCACATGGATCTTTTAGGCAAAAGGCGCCCACAGCAACATTAGCAAAAGCTGTTGAATATCTTTTTTTTTCCTTTTACATTCACCGCGAATATCTGTTTGACGTGCGGAGTGCAACTTGCTTCACCCCTTGTCGCTGTCTTCGCTGCTGTTGCTGCTTCACCGGCGATCTAATCTCCTCCGTTTGTTGTTGTTTTTGCTTCGATTCGATTTATTGTTCTTGTTAATTTGTTTTTCCTCCATCGAGAATGTGGCGTTTCTCTTTCGTTTCTCGAGTACGTAGAGAGGTATCGGGAACACGTGGACAGGTCATCTTTGAAAAGGGCGTTTTCGCTTCGGCGCTCTTGTGCGTTACACGGATTCTTCCGTTGTTCTCGTGTCTGCTTTGAGGGGAGGCAGCACCAGGTACTTTTGTTTTTTGACCTTACAGCTTCGTACTTAGGCACCAACCAAAGTAAAAAGGAGTTAAGTTACGAAACGACACTGCAATGAACCCGTGTGCAACCGCACCGTTGTTGTGCTCCTCTCAGGGGCTCAACGTTTGTCCGTGGGATGCACGGACGAAGTTCCCGTTGCATCATTGCGGTTTCTTTGCCTCTCATTTTGCAAAGCTGAACCGTTTCTTTGGAGGTGTACGCATCGCATGCGGACCGGGACCGTTACTTTCTGGCGCCGAGCACTTCATGTTTTCTATTTTCTTTTCTGGACGAACTCCCTCTTTCTTATCTCCATCTCTCTTTGTGCTTCTCTGACGCAACTATCATTTTTTCTTTTCTTCCATCGCTCATGCCATCCTGATAACAATTACCACCTTGGACGACGTCAACAACGACCGATTGGGTAGAGAATATTGTTTCCTGTTGAGTGATTTACTCTCTTCCATTCTTTACGTGCCTCTGCGTTGTGTCTCTTCCCTTCTGTCGAGTTTTTTTTCCCCTACAATACGTTTTCTCTTTCGGGGTTTGTGTGTGTGTATTTGTCTTTTGATAGTTGTGCTTTGCGGCACGATTTGTGGTCCTGAAGCCTGAGCAAACACCTCTAGCGTTCCTCTTCCTCTTCACCCGTGCCCGCGTACATCTTTCGAACAGCACGCTTCACCTCGTCGGGGGAGAGGACAAGTCTGTAAGCATATTCGCTGGTTTAATTCGTCGACTTAACCACTCGTTTCCTCCTTTATATATATAGTATTCAACTGTCTTCTTTGCTGCCTTGCTTTTCTTTCTGCCTGGTGTTTGCGATTCTCTACCCATCGCGTTCCGCTTCTTTTGTTCCTTTTGCTGTTTTTCTTTTTGTTTCTCTTGATTTACTTGTGTTGTCGCGATGTCCGTGGATTTCACCAGCAAAGGCGTCGAGCTGTTCAAGAAGGCGGCGGCGCTCGATGAGAGCAAGGAGTATGAGGAGGCGTACCGCTGGTACATGGAGACGATCGACGTGTTTCTCACTGCGATCAAGTACGAAAACAAAAACCCCACGAAGCGAGAGTATTTGAAACGTAAAGTGTCGGACATCATCGCACGCGCAGAGAAGATCAAGGAGTACTTGGACAACTCCCGTGATCAGGACGCCGGCAATCAACCAGGCGCTAACGCCACCGCCCAGAAGACCGCCTCCGCGAGCAAGAAGGCGAAGGAGGACGACGAGGATAAACAGCGCATGCGCAACAACCTCGACGGCGCCATCGTCCGAGTGAAGCCGGATGTGAAGTGGGATCAAATAGCCGGTCTGGAGGCCGCCAAGCAGGCGCTGAAGGAGTCCGTCATTTTGCCCATGAAGTTTCCACAGCTTTTCACCGGCAAGCGAAAGCCGTGGCGCGGCATCCTGCTCTACGGCCCTCCTGGTACGGGTAAGTCGTACCTCGCCAAGGCCGTTGCGACGGAGGCGGATGGCACCTTCCTCAGCGTCAGCAGCTCCGACCTGCTCTCGCGCTGGCTGGGCGACTCCGAGAAACTCGTCCGCAGCCTCTTCGAGATGGCGCGCGAGGCTTACAAGACAGAAGGCAAGCCCTCCATCATCTTCGTGGACGAGATCGACTCCCTCGTGTCGGCGCGCTCCGACAGCGAAAACGACGCGTCGCGTCGTGTCAAGACGGAGTTCCTCGTGCAGATGCAAGGCGTGGGCCACGATGACGAGGGGGTCCTCGTGCTCGCCGCGACGAACATTCCGTGGTGCCTCGACAGCGCCATTCGTCGCCGCTTTGAGCGCCGAATTTATATCCCGCTACCGGAGCTGCCGGCGCGTGTGCAGATGTTTAAAATTCACATGGGCGATACCCCCAACACCCTCGTCGACGACGATTGGCTGGATCTGGCGAAGCGGACAGAGTGGTACTCGGGCAGCGATATCGAGAACGTGGTGCGCAACGCGCTGATGGAATGCGTGCGCACGTTGCAGGTGGCGACGCACTTTAAGCGGGTACCGGGCCCCAACCCACACGACCCAACGCGTACGGTGAACAACCGCCTCGTGCCGTGCTCGCCCGGCGACCCCGACGCCTTTCCGATGTCCGCGGTGGAGATCCCAGAGCCGGAGCTGCTGATGCCGATGCCGGTGACGAAGGAGGATTTTATTAAAGCGCTGCGCACCAGCAAGCCGTCGGTGAACCAGGACGACATTGACCAGCACGTCAAGTTCACAGCTGATTTTGGCCAGGAGGGCTAAGTCTCGAGGCGTGTACCGCTGCCGTGCCGTGCAAGGGCACGGAGACGTGAAGTCAACCACAGTTGTACTTCGAGCACGCTTGCGGGAGTTGAGGGATGTCGGAGGCAATGAGCTAAAAAGCCCTTAAAAAGTGCTATAGAAGGGTAAGAGAATTGGTGGTGGAGCCGAAGAAAAGTGCCACACGTGGCAGGGCCTCCGTGCCTTTCTCAGAGTGGTTGTTCATGTCGACGAGATGTAAGGCAGCCAACCGGCTGATGGTGTGGTGGTGGTGGGAAGGACTCCTTCACTCTCTTTCTGTATATCACTGGTGCTATCGGGTTTAGTATTATTGTTATTATTATCTCGAAGCGTCCAACGCAGCTCTCCGTTGTCTTGTGTTTTCCAAACCAACTCGCCGCGTCGTTCTTTGGAAGTTCGAAGGCGTCGTGCGTCTCCTCTTTTTTCTTTTCCTCGTTGCAGTTGTGTTGCTTTAAAAATAGGTCTCCCCTGCCGCTTTTATTGTCCAATGAGCGGCCCATCTTTTGTATTTGCTTGTGCTCTCCGCAGCTTTCCGGCATTCCTTCCTTCACCACGACATGTATTCTCACTTAGAGCCGGCAGTGCAGCACCCCGCGGAAAGAGGGAAGGGAAGTTGCAGCTTAAAGCGGAAGGCGTCGAAAGAAGAAGAAGAGGAGGAAGAAGCGGAAAGGCAAAGTTGCTTCTTTATGGGCGCTTGCGCTCGAGTCTGTTTCGGATGCGACGGAGCGGGTGGGCTCGGCACAGCGGTGTCGTCCGCTGAAGCCGCGATGTAGCAACAAGGAAGAAGCACACTGTAGTGAAAGCAGAGAGGCCAGAAAACGTTGGACGAACCGAGGTAGGGTTTCTTGGCTTGTTTGTTTGCGTGCTGTACGATCCTCTCGTCTTTTATTATTATTTCATTGCCAGCAGCGTATTGCAACTCGAAACAGCACCATGCCACAATAAGGTTTGTTGTTGTTGTTGTTGTTGCGTATGTGCGCATTTCTTGTTCGTTTGCAGAGATAACATGTCCTGTGCAGCATCTCGATTCGTGCCTGTTCCCGCGTGCGATGCGAAGCATTGGATACGGTACGGTGAGCTGAAACGTCGGAATTCGGATCATTCGTCTACTCTTTTACGCCTCCTCTGTTTGTGTGCTCTTCTCATGTATCGCGTATTTTTTGTTTCTCTGTGTATGTGTGTGTGTGTGTGTGTGTGTGTGTGTGTTCGCCCACGCACGCGTCGCTTCTTGTATATACCTCTACACGCCTCTGCAATGCTTTGAATTCAACACATAGTCTTCCAACTAGCGACTTCTGCCTCTAACTCTTGCTCCCCAAAGAAAAACTCTTTTCTCTTTAACTACTCCCTTCAAAAGATAACTACCCCATCACTTCATCATGCCGCTGAACATCGACTCCCGCCGGCGCGTGAACAGCAAGATGGTGCGGGCGTACCACGCGCCCCTCAAGTCTGTCACCGCTGCGGATCTCACCGTGGAGCGCATGCCCGGCTGCAAGTACATGAACCCTTCCAAGAAGCACATCGCCCGCGCTGAGTACCGCGACGAGGTGGAGCACATCATGTACGATCCCCGCCCCCAGAAGGGCAGTGATGCTGAGTTCCCGGTGTCTTGCAACGAGTTCCAGTTCTCCGCGTCGTCGCTGATGCCGACGGTGATCTCACGCACCTGGCGCCACAGCGCACCACGCAGGCTCACCACACGACGCACAGACGTGGCCACCTTGATCGGCACAACAATGTAGTTGTTGTACCGCATCGAGATCACGCAGCCCGTGGCACCGGCCATCGCCTCGTGCACGGCCAGCGTCGCCAGCGAGGCGCAGAACAGCGCATCGTTCGACGTCGGAGCGCACGCACGCACCATGTAGGAGGGGTCGATGTACTTCACCGTGCCGTACGGGTACTTCTCCTTGTTATCCTTCAGCCACCTCTCCACCTCCTTCTTCAGGATCGTGCCGATGTCCACAAGCTTCTTGTTGCCTGACGCGTCGTGGCCACCGCTGCCCGACTCCCAGTCCTGGCCGAAGCCCTCCGCAACAATGATCACACAGTTGCGGGACTGCTGGAAGCGGCGCTCGATCAGGCGCAGAACCGTCTCCTTCGGCAGCGGGTTCTCGGGAATGAGGCAGATGTTCGCCTGCGCGCTAGCCACAGCCGTCTCGGCAGCAATGAAGCCGCTCTCACGGCCCATCAGCTTCACAATGCCCACGCCCCAGTTCAGCGACACAGCCTCAGCGTACGCGGCGCGCACGGCGAGCACGGCCTGCTCCACGGCCGTCTGGAAGCCGAAGGTGCGGTGGGAGAAGGCGAGGTCGTTGTCGATCGTCTTGGGCACACCAAACACGGCGATGTTCTCGCCGCGGCGCTTCGCCTCCTCGTAAATCGTCAGCGCACCGCGCTGCGTGCCGTCACCGCCGACGGTGAACAGGATGTTGATCTTCATGCGCACCAGCGTATCCACCATCTCCTTAGGGTTCTGCGGGCCACGGGAGCTGCCCAGGATCGTACCACCGAAGCGGTGGATCTGGCGCACCTCGTTGCGGGACAGCTCGATGGCCGTCTTGCTGCCCTCCTTCGACAGACCCCAGTAGCCGTAGCGGAAGCCCACGACGCGCTTCACGTGGTAGGCCATCGTGCCCGCCAGCGTGATAGAGCGGATAACGTCGTTCAGACCCGGGCAGATGCCGCCGCAGGTCACGATGCCGATGGTCGTCTCGGACGGGTTGAAGTGCAGGTGCTTCCGGGCCGCAGCCAGCTCGCACACAAGCAAGCAGGACATGCGCCGTCAGCTGGAGTCGCTGAACGTCGAGCGCGAGCGCATTATTTCCAAGATGTCTTCCAAGGTCTAAAAAATCAAAAGAATGACTATGAAAGATTAAGGTGCCTTTCGCGATCTGAAATGGATTCTTTCGTGTCATGAAGAAGAACATCTTCTTTGATATTGTTTTGTATATCTATTTTGCCAGTGTTATTTCTCTTCTTTTTTTTTGTTTAAAGCAATTGTTGGGAAGCGACGTATGAACAAGGGAAGAGTCAGGTGTTGTCGCCTTGGGATCAAGTGTTGGGGTAGCGAAGCTGCATCTCTGTGAGTGCTGCGGCGTGGTCGTTTTCGAATTTCGGTGCTTCGCTCATTGGCCTGGTGAAGGTCTTTTCCAAGCAACGCACTTCGCATGAAGGGCACCGCCGCCCCTTTTTGTTTTCGTGTCTTTCTTGATGATCTCACCCCGTACCTCTGGCAGGCATGTGCGACGGTCCTGAGGTTGCAAACCGAGCTCCTACCTGCCTCACGAGTGACTCGGGATCCTCGCCCCCCCCCCCCTCCCTCGTTGTTCCCGTTGCAACCGGTGCTGACTCCTTTCTTCTTGTCTTTTCCCTTTTCGCTCAGAAGTGGCAGAGATTTGTTTCTGAAGAGCGTGGTGTTGCGATGGCGTCTTCGCTGTTTTCTTCTTTCCTCCTTCACTGCCATGCAGCGGCATTTATACGCCTTTTTTCTGAAGGAGCAGCGAAGGAGTTCGCCGTCGAGGGAGTGCATCTTCACAAAGATGGAAGCCTGTTCTGCACACGCGCACACGCATATGAATGTCTTCCAGCTGTTCTTCCTTCCTTCCTTCTCGGTGCTTAATGATGTTTTCGTTTCCTTTTTCATTCTGCCTTCACTCTATTACCTCCTTCCACGCTTCGCTCGCTGGCTTTCTCCCTTTTATTATTCCTTTTCTTTGTCTCTTTCGCCGCAGCAGCATTTGTGTCTCTTACCTTCCCCACTGCCGTTCTTCCGGTGTGGCGCCCCTCTCTGTGGATGCTCTCGCGTACTCGGGTAGGTGTGCCTCTGCGGAGGTCAACATCCGCCGGCACGATCTCGTGCCCGCCACGCCGTTCCTTGACTGCGAAATCGAGTGTGCCCGCACCACCATGCGTCATACACCCATCAACAACAACGCAACATGGAGAAACAGAAGGGAGAGGGCCACGAAGCAGTTATATACAAACGAGGAGGCGCAGGTGGGGTTTGTTAAGGCCACGGCAGCGTCGATGTCGGTTGCGTGCCAGGCGAGTGCTGTAACTATCGTAAATGAAAGCCAACATATATCACTGGACAGTGTAAATGTCGCCGTTCCCCTCCCGTGTCGGGAGTGAAAGACACCAAAAGAAGAACTGCCCAACAACCGAAAGAAGGAAAGAAGAAAAAAGGGCGAACCGCACCGTCAATCTGCTGTGCTTTTTCTGGAGGTACAAACGAAGAGGGCACGCGTCGTGGTTTGCACTTGGTCAACCACGTCGACACCATCACATGAGAAGCTCAGCCGTGCGAACAAAAAATAATGAGACGACTGCTGTTGAACCGTCTGCGTTCAAAAAATGGGGAAAAAGGGTGAAAACACTGGCGCTGTGAGTAGCTCGCACCATGCAACGCCGCTGCTAAGTCTGCACGTTTTGTGTCGTGCGTTTTCACGAGCCACACGCTAGCTACCGCTCGCACGCATCTGATGCCTTCCTTCTCGTTTCCTCTTCGTTTTTCTCACTGCCGGACTCTTTTCTTCGCCCAATCACGATCAATAAGCAACAGCTTTAGCAAACAAAGAAGAAAAATATCACGTGGACACCGCTACCCAATCGTTTTTCATCTCCTCCATAGCCATGACCGCTTCAAAGGAAACCGAGCACAAGATGGTGTGCATGCACGACGCCCCGCTTTCCAAGGTGACCCCCGATGACCTCGTCGTGGAACGCATGCCCGGCCGCACATTCCTCAACCCCTCTCGGAAGCACATCGCCCGCGCTGAGTACCGCGACGAGGTGGAGCGCATCATGTACGATCCCCGCCCCCAGAAGGGCCTTGATACCCAGTTTCCGGTGTCGCGCGACCGGTTCCAGTTCTCCGCGTCGTCGCTGATGCCGACGGTGATCTCACGCACCTGGCGCCACAGCGCACCACGCAGGCTCACCACACGACGCACAGACGTGGCCACCTTGATCGGCACAACAATGTAGTTGTTGTACCGCATCGAGATCACGCAGCCCGTGGCACCGGCCATCGCCTCGTGCACGGCCAGCGTCGCCAGCGAGGCGCAGAACAGCGCATCGTTCGACGTCGGAGCGCACGCACGCACCATGTAGGAGGGGTCGATGTACTTCACCGTGCCGTACGGGTACTTCTCCTTGTTATCCTTCAGCCACCTCTCCACCTCCTTCTTCAGGATCGTGCCGATGTCCACAAGCTTCTTGTTGCCTGACGCGTCGTGGCCACCGCTGCCCGACTCCCAGTCCTGGCCGAAGCCCTCCGCAACAATGATCACACAGTTGCGGGACTGCTGGAAGCGGCGCTCGATCAGGCGCAGAACCGTCTCCTTCGGCAGCGGGTTCTCGGGAATGAGGCAGATGTTCGCCTGCGCGCTAGCCACAGCCGTCTCGGCAGCAATGAAGCCGCTCTCACGGCCCATCAGCTTCACAATGCCCACGCCCCAGTTCAGCGACACAGCCTCAGCGTACGCGGCGCGCACGGCGAGCACGGCCTGCTCCACGGCCGTCTGGAAGCCGAAGGTGCGGTGGGAGAAGGCGAGGTCGTTGTCGATCGTCTTGGGCACACCAAACACGGCGATGTTCTCGCCGCGGCGCTTCGCCTCCTCGTAAATCGTCAGCGCACCGCGCTGCGTGCCGTCACCGCCGACGGTGAACAGGATGTTGATCTTCATGCGCACCAGCGTATCCACCATCTCCTTAGGGTTCTGCGGGCCACGGGAGCTGCCCAGGATCGTACCACCGAAGCGGTGGATCTGGCGCACCTCGTTGCGGGACAGCTCGATGGCCGTCTTGCTGCCCTCCTTCGACAGACCCCAGTAGCCGTAGCGGAAGCCCACGACGCGCTTCACGTGGTAGGCCATCGTGCCCGCCAGCGTGATAGAGCGGATAACGTCGTTCAGACCCGGGCAGATGCCGCCGCAGGTCACGATGCCGATGGTCGTCTCGGACGGGTTGAAGTGCAGGTGCTTCCGGGCCGCAGCCAGCTCGCACACAAGTGAGCAGGACATGCGCCGTCAGCTGGAGTCGCTGAACGTCGAGCGCGAGCGCATCATCTCGAAACTTGCCTCCAGGGTCTAAGCACCAGGCAAGGCTGAAGTGCGGCTTCCGTGTACGTGTCCCCTCACATGAGGGTAGGTACACGGACAATCCAAGTCGCTCACCCTGTATCAAAAATGAATCTTCTAATACTAACGTTAATCTCTTCCTTTTGAGTTGATGCTCCGCAGTAGCGCTGATAGGCTTGGAGCGTGAATGCAAGATACGGCTGAAGAGCGTGGATTTTCGACCTGCGAGTTTTAACGATTGTCGTCCAGTAAGAGAAAGAAGGAAAACAAAGCACAGTTGGTGTGTGTGGTTGTGGAGACGAGGAGGCTTCCAACCGTTTGTCGGCAGTTTTGTTTTGTTTGTTTGTTTGTTTTCCTGTGCCGAAGGTGGAAAAGCCGTTTCTGTTGCTTTGTGCGCTGAATGGACCATGGGTGCGTGTCTCCGCTGCGACGGCGGATATCCGCATCTGCTCACCGTTTTGCACCGCACCTTCCTCTTGGAAGGAAAACTCCTCTTTGTTCTCCTTGAGTGAATACTCCGAGTCTTTTGCTTTTCCTGATGGTAGAAGGCCACCGAGTGCGTTCAAGAGAGGAGAGCGAGAGGGAGAAGGAGGCGATCGCAGAAGACGATCGTAGAAGCAGTTGTCAGCGTCTGGTAGGGCGAGTTCATCCGAATAAAAAACCTGTGCTGGAGGCCTCGGCTTTTCGTGGGCGGGTTGTCTGAGAAGCCTGGCCAAGTCTACTGGAGCGCTGAAGCTACACGTCAGCTTTGATCTTCGCCTGAACTGCGTCTGCTGTAAGCCTGGCCTCATACGGCATACGTAGGCGCTTTACGTTGAAAAAGGAAGCAACGGTAATAAGGGATAATACAGACTTTCCCCCCTTGTTCTTTGTACCTTTTTTTTGATTTACCCTATTTTCAAAAGCATTTTCTTGTTGGTTTTTTTTTCACGTGTACGTTGTGCACTAGCGCTATTCCGTTGATAACCAACATTAACATCAAAAGAGTCAAAAAAAAAGGAAGGTCATCCAACGATGTTTAACCACTGCACAAGACGTGTATTGTTTCCCTTCTCCTTTCCTGTTTCCCGTTGTTGCTGTTTTTCTGTTTTGCTGTTGTTTGCTAGCAACTCAAGCTTCTTTTGCTCCTCTTCATGTTCGCAGCAACCAAATTCTCGCACATCTTCTCTTCCCCAATACGTGAACGGGTTTCAGCGGATGCCGTTTTCTTTTTTCTTTATTTTTCATTGTTTGAATCAGGGTGAACGTGCCACCGTTGAACAACGGTTGTTTGGCGTGGATGGGAGAGGTGGAAGGGAGAGGCTTGGTGAGTTGCGGAGCGCGCTGTGCGAACCAACAAAAGAAGACATGCGGACCGCACGGGAAGCACGAGCTGCCGTCGTTTAAATGTGGAACATGGAGAAGTAAAGTACAGGAGAACACCCCGAAAAAGTTCTGGTTGACGCCTCTTTTTTTTTTTAATTACTATTTTAATGTTTCTTCTATCTGATCACCAGAACAGGCTAAAAAGACACCCTGATGTATATGCATAATGCTGAGATGAGCAGGCATGAGATCAATTATGTTGCACGTGGTGTTATGGGGAGGCAGTGAAAAGAAAGCGAAAAGGAAAATGGAGAGACGAGCATGCGCGTGTGTGCACGGGATCCAGTCCGTTTTTGTTCAGGTGTGCGCCCGTATTCGTCTTTCGCAGAGGATCTGCGTTCGACGTGCTGTCGTCTGACGTACCCGCGTTTTCTTTTTTTCTCTCTTTCTTTCTCTTGTACTTGTTCTCTCTTTTTCCTAAAGAAAAAAAATGTTTTATATATTCAAAAAAGAAACACCATGTAATTAAAAACAGAGAGGGATAATATCCAAAAAGACTTTTAACGCGCATTCATTCCCGCAGCTTCTATTACTCCTCACGAGCAGGCACACAAACGAACAAGAGCCGAAGGATTAGAGAACACACGGACAGACTTGGATTCTGCTCCTTGGACAAGCTTTCCCACCTCGCATACAGCTGTTTCTTTGGGGACGTTTTTTTGCTGTTTTGGCCAGAGTCTCTGTGGGTAGCTTATTGTGGTGCTGAGCGCTCTCGTGTGCTTTCCGGTCCTAATGGAAGCGTAAAAGAGACGTAGCCGTACGTGAATAACAGCGCGGCTTAGACGGCGTCAGACGTACGCCGCAAACTACTAAACCAACCAGCTGCATCATTTTTTAAAGAATTTACGCTGCTGTTTGTTTGTCCTGTACGCCCCCTTTTCTGTTGAGTATCTTCACTTCTTTGCTCCTCGATTTTTTGCGTTCCGCCGCCCGTCAGCTGTGGAAACGCAACTCCACACCCTCCTTTTTTTTTTGAAGAAGGTCGCCATAACACAACGCCGCGAATTGGCCTCCGCTCACAGCTGAACCACTCCAGGGTGTGCTACGATAACGGATTTCGGTACGTGTAAAAGACGAGTAAATACACGCAAGGCATGCCCCTCGAGACGTCTGCGCAGGTGCACAACGCGCACGACGTACTGCGCAGCATCCGCCGCGTCAAGACGCAGATGCAGTTGCAGGAGACGTACGGCGGTTTTCTCGCCTTCATTCGCACCAGCCGACAGAAGATGCTGGAGCGTGCGGCACGCGCCGAGGCCGCGAGGACGAGGAGTAGCCCCAAAGACCCCCTACGCACCGCTGCGTCGGCGTCACCGTCGCACGACAGCCTCGAGGCCCAAGGCGCGATGTCGCAGCTCAAGCAGGTTTCCCTCCTCGCCGGTGCCTTTTGCCGCCGCGTGGAGTACGTACTGCGCAGCACTTACGCCTACGCAGACGTGGACGACGCCATGCCGCACGGCCCCGCCACCGTGCGCGTGAACACCTGCATGGCGGAGCTCGCGGCAGAGTTGCGCCTCTTCAACACTCCTGCCCTAAACCGATTTCTCAGTGTGGCGGGAAAGGATGAGGCGCCGACGTGGTCTGCAGCCGGCTCGTCGCCGGTGGACTGCACGCTGTCCTACGCCACGGGGGACCTCAACGACTACTGTCTCTACCGCCGCCTGCGTGCCCACGACTACCTCCAGCAGCTCCTCGCCCAGCCGCAGTGTAACACGGCGTCGATCACGCGTGTCATCGTAACCATCAACGAGACGCTCTCCGCACCGGTCGACGCCTTCGAGCTGTGCGCAGGGGACGAGGCAGTGGAGACGACGTGTGTCGTGACGCCCCTGCGGGACCCGATTTCGCAAACCGTGATGCGTACTCCCGCGCGGGGTTCGAACTGCGTGCACCTGGAGATGTTTGACGTGGAGAACTTTGTGAAGGCGACTCAGCAGCGGTCGCTGGGCACGGTGGACGTTGGTGGGCCCTGCCCGCTGTGCTCCCAGTTCATCAGCCTCGCCGCGATTCGGGTGGATCGGCGGGCGATGGAGGCAATGGAGGAGTACGAGAAGTTCAATGGCGACTCGTCCGATACGGCGGCACGGGTGCCCCTTGACGCAGACTGCGCGCTGGAGTGGAACACGGAGCGGCGCACGGTGAGGGTGGTGCATGGTAAGCGGTCCGCGATGGACGCCTCGACGACGGCGCTGACGGAAGATGGGAATGACGCCGATACACCGCGCAAGAGCTCCCGCAGCGAGCCGGCGGGGACGGCGACGAAGAAGCGGCGCATTGAAATTGGCGGCCACGTCCTGTATGCTGATTAAAGCCTTTTCTTTCCTCTGTTTTTTTTTTGGCTTCCTGTTGCCTTTCTCCTTCTGTTGACGGCTCAGTCGCTTCACCCTGCACGCATGTTCTCGCCGCTGTGCGAACACTTATGCGAAGAAAACCCCCCAAATCATGCAAAACCACAAAAAGGTTTGAAAAAAAAAAATGCTGAAGAGCCTTCGCTGTTCGCTGATGAATGGAGCGCAGGAGCGGGGTAACAATCTGCTTCGAGCAGACACGGTTTTGTTTTCCCTTTGGCATCTCTCCTTCACCGTGCGGACTCAGGTTGCAGTTTATTTGTTTTGGCTCGCAAGCGAAGCACCTTCACCTCCTCTCTTTCTGATTTGCCCTCTTGATTCTTTTGTGGTTGTTATGTTCTGCTGCAACCTTTGGAAAAAAAAAAACCCGTTAGGAAACAACAACATAATTTGAACTATTGTTCTTCGCTGACAAGGAACGCACACGCACGCACACCACCACCATCACCACCGCATTTCTCTCTTCTCTTTGCCAGAGCTCTGTGCCTTTTGACTGACTTTTAATTCGCATTTTTCTTGTTTGTTGGGAGACGCGTTGCACCTTGCCCTCCAACACCTCTCACCATGAAGAAGAGCATTTCACTGAAGGAATTCTCCACTACACCGACGGTGTCGTACATGCTTAGCAAGGATGGCCACAACGTCGCCGCGCCGGCGGACGCGCAGGGCCGCCATATGAATCCTCCACCGCAGCCGCCGAAGACGGAGAAGCCGCGCCAGGCGCCGGTGCCTGACGCGGATGATGAGATGTACGAGATGGAGTAGCGGTGTGCGAGGCGGATATACTCTCCAGGGAGATACGAAGTGAGCGGCCTGCTCTCCGCACCGCAAGCGTCAATTGCAACGGACGCGTTGGTTGGGTTGTTGTACACCACCTTAAACCTCCACATATAAATATGGATTGTTGCCTTCTGCTCGATGCGTTGTTGCTGCACGAACGGAGAAGAAGAGCTGCTCACGGCGCAAGAAAATGTATATGATAGGTAGTTATATCAAAAGAAGGAAAGGGCTGTAAAGAGCACGGCGATGACGTGGGGATATCTTTGAGGGATGCCCAGCGTCTCCCCTGCAACAGATCGCAAAAGGCGGGCCATCGCGAGCGTCTTTAGGTCGCCAACGGGAGCGAGTTCGTGTGCATTCACCAGTCGTTCCTGCGGCACCGGCATTTTCTTGAGCAGCTCTTAAGAAAAATAAGAAAATCAGTCTTCTCTACCTGAGTTGAGTTCGTCTTTGTGCTCTGCTTCAGCGTCCTTCTCTCCCAATGTACTCGGCGTGATTTCCTCTCTCGCTGCTGTAGGCCTCCGTTTGTTGAGCAAGTCATCGTGGGTCGCCGCGGCGTAAGCTGGCTCCGCGATGACCAGGGAGAGGATCACTCCTAGCACACTTGCAGAACGGGGTCAACGTGGATTCGAATCTTTCTGGGAAGATCAAGCACCAGCTATCATAAAACGGCTTTCATCCGAATTAAAACCAAACAAACTACGCATTTGCTGTTGCTGCTGTTGAACGTGCCACGGCATTACGAAGTCGGATAGCTGCAAGCACACCTTATTATTTTTATTATTATTTACTGGCGTCCGTCTCTGTGTCTTCGCCGCACATCTGCAAACGTCTTTTGTAGATCTAATTTAAAGAGATAAGTAATGGATGGCAGTAAAGTGGCTAAGCAACGTAGTTCAATTGCCACCGCTCCTCCATCTGACAAGGCGGACGTGAGCGCTCTCTCTTTTTCTGCCCCTTCGTCTGTTTTGGTTCCGCAGTACGCGGCACTTGGCGCTGAGAACAAGGAGAAAGGCAAAGCGATCGACAGTGGAATAGCAGTGTCTGTGAACGGAGCCGATGACGATCGAGCCGTACGTGCGTTGTTTACCCCCCCCCTCCTTTCTCTCCTTCTTCTTCCTCTTCACCGCACCTGCGTTTCGTCACCCCGCACATCCTGTCCCCGGTGCATCCGAAGCAGCAACGGGCCAACACCAACGGGCCAACACCAGCGCAGAGAGCCGTGCCTGCAAAGGAGAGAACGGGGAAAATGAGCAGAAATCAGAGCCGCAAAGGTGGCAACAAGCGGGTGCGGCCCGACGAGTGGAAGATGGACGCGCGCGAGCCTGGCTCGCTGCAGAACAGGGCCTTTGACACCTTCTACAAGGATAACGTTGTGCCCGCGTGCGAGTGGGAGGCATTCCTGTCTTGTCTGCAGACCGGTCTCCCCATGGCTGTGCGCTTTAACCGAAACGTGCCGCAGGTGGCGGCCATCGACGACTTCGTGTCGCGGCACCTCTCGGAGGAGTTCGAGAGCAAACGTCTGCCCTTCTTCCCGGACCAGCGAGCGGTTCAGTTCACGGTGAGCCGTGGCGAGTTGAAGCGCAAGGCAGACCACAAAGCATCGAAGAAGATCGTCGCGGCGATGAACGAGGGCGGTTACCTGACGCGGCAGGAGTCCGTCAGCATGCTGCCCCCGCTGGCTCTGCAGGTGGAGCCGGGAATGACGGTGCTGGACATGTGTGCCGCGCCGGGAAGCAAAACCTCGCAGATGTTGGAGTCGCTGCTGTCCGGCGACCCGGAGAGTGGAGTGGTGGTCGCGAACGACGTGAACGCGTCCCGCCTCGACGTGCTACACCACCAAACCGGACGGGCTGCAGGAGCGCACATGCACCTCATCATCACAAACACCGACGCCACGCGCTTCCCGCTGCTGCCACTCGCGGAGCGCTTCGACCGCGTCCTATGTGATGTGATGTGCTCTGGGGACGGCACGCTGCGCAAGTCCCTCGACATGTGGCCCCGCTGGAGCACCCTGCAAGGGGCGAACTTACACCACTCTCAGATTCGAGTGCTGTTGCGAGGCATGGCATCGTGCAAGGAGGGCGGCATTGTGGTGTACTCCACATGCAGCTTAAACCCTGTCGAGGACGAGGCAGTCGTCTCCGCCTGTCTGGCGCAGTCGAAGGGCACGTTTGCGCTGATGGATCTGTCCGCCGTGCTACCGGGCCTCATCTCGTCGCCGGGCATGACGTCGTGGACGTTAACCACACGTGACCTCCGCACGACGCTGCACAACTATGAGGAGGCGAAGGCGCACATGGCGGCCTCGACGGAGCGCCGCGGTTTCCAGTACGCACCAAGCATGTTTGCCAACACGGAGCTGCTCGCCCGGCAGCATATCACACGGACGTGCCGGGTTTTACCACACGCGCAGGACACCGGCGGCTTCTTCGTCGCCGCACTGCGGTGCATCTCGCCGGTGCCGGAGGACACACGCAGCAGCACCGCCGCGGAGGGCCCCGACAAGTTGGCGGCAGCCGAGGCACCGATTGTGCCCATCTCCGAGCAGCTCCGCGCTTCGGTGCAGAAGTCGCTCGCCCTGCCCGACACCTTTCCTTTTGACCACCTCGTCGTGCGCAACGAGGCGGCGCGTGACCAGAAGATTTATCTCGCCAACGCCGCGGCGATCGCCCTGAGCCAAAGGCTGGGCAGCCGCGTAGTGCACGTGGGGTCGAAGGTGTTCGAGTCGGTCGTGAAGTACAGCAACGACAACCTGCGCTTCTGCGCGGACGGCGTGGCGGAGTTGGTGCCTTTCCTCCCCACCTCCTTCGTCGTGCCGGTGGAGCCAGCGGTGCTGCTGGAGATGGCGGAAGACACGCCGATGACGTACGGCACCTTCGCGGCCAAGACGGGCCGCACCAACGAAGACCTCCCGCCGAACTTTGTCCTGACGACTTCATGGGCGACGGTGGGCTCGATGTACGTGGTGGCGGAGAAGTCGGTGAAGCTGGGGAAGATTGTAGCGAAGGTGAAGACGTGGCACGTGACGATGTGCAAACTGGCGTTGAACATCCCGTTGGTGGGGGAGGGGGACGCACGCACCAACGACGGTGACGACGGCACTCTGGAAGGTGCGGATGGCGAAGAGGCGGCGGTGGAGACTCAACAGCGTCAAGAGGCAACAACCGAAACGAAGGAGGCGGCGTAGACTTCTGTGGGCTGTGCCTTCGCTTTTGCAGCCAAGACGGAAGGTGGTGGGAAGAGTAACCTGTCGTGTAAGAGGACGACGACGACACTGAGGACCAGTGCACAGCCACACACACGTGTGTGTTCGGCCTGGGCTACGGTGCGCGTCTGTAATAGTAAGCAGAAAGCAGAGTTTGTTTCGCACTTCACGAAACTCAATTCTGCACAGGCGTTAAACGGAATTACATGTGCACACGACTCACACGCAGCGTACTTCTATTCTCTTCTTGAGGTGGATGAGGAGCACCGAAGAAAGAAATTGGTATCGTATGTAATGGGGGCACATTGAAAAGATGCTGTGAACTTGAAGACGCACGTTTGCTTTGTTTCTGCTGCCGTGCGCACCGCACCTACCAGCGTTAAAGAGGTGACTAAGAGGAGAAACTCTCGCGAAGAAGATAACGAGGGACATCTTTCCTTCCTTTCTTTTTTCTTCTTTGGGGGGTTTCGGCGCTGCGCTGACGCCATTTGCGCAAACACGAGCCACAAAGATGGAGGAAGAAGGAAATGAGAGGGGTTCTTATCCGTCTTCCCTTGTCGATTTCTTCTCACCAAGCTTTTTTTCCCCGATGTAGGTAAATGCGGTTGTACGCGGCGCAAGAAGCAAGCAAACGTAGAAAGACCCGTTGTGTCGTCTTGCAATCAATCCTTTTTTCTTTATGCGCCCTTCGCGTCAGAGTTCGAGCAGCAACCAATATTTCTCCCTTCTTTTCCTCTGTTTTTTCCCCTGGTGGTTTTCCTTGGTGTGCAACACTGGACACTTCTCAACGGTGTTTCTCCTCCGCACTTTCGGTGTGGAACACTTAGAAAAAGAAAAGGTGTTTTTGCTTCTTTGAGGAGGAGGCTGCGGCGGATCTTCTTCTGTAGAGTCTTCGCACACACACACACACAGCTGTCGAAAAGGAGGTCCTTCTCACTGTAGTCGAAGACAAGCAGGTGGGCAATTGACACGTATTTATAGTGAGAGAATAGACCCGGGCAGCTCTCGACGGCGTCCACCCGCTCATCATCCGGCTGTATAGTTCAGTGACACGGAAGCGGAAACAGCGCACTCAGAAGACGAGGTGCTAACGCCTTTCTTCCGTCCGTTTGTTTCTTCACTTCCGCTGCATCGACGTTTGATCGTCTCGTGTTCAGCACGATTTCCGCTCGTCGTCGCTTTCAGCCGTCTGTTATTGCCTTTTCCCTTCGCCTCGCACCAGCTTTGCCACTGTGGGCGGGCTGCCGAGAAAGCTCCCATCGCTGCTCCCGCATCGACTTGTTGGGAGAGGTAGAGTGCGAATCCACGTTTGCTGATCTTCTTCGGTTGCTCGCGGGTACATTCAATCCGCTGAATCAAAAAGGGAGAGATCATCTTGTCTGGCTTGGCTGAGCATCATCACGGTCGCAACCTCCGCCAATTCCCCCCCCCCCCTCACTCGCTGACCTGGGCGTGAGGTGGCGGAGGTTTTTTGGGCAGTAGAACGAGAGAGGAAGGAAGGCGGAAAGATACTTTGCTCCTTTCCTTTCTTTGCCTTACACACACACACACACGCACTCCCACATCCCCCAAAATAAATACGACCCGTGTCTTTTTTTCTTCCCAATTGTTATTACTATTGTACAATTTCTTTTCTTTTGTATCATTCACGCAATTTAACACACGTTGAGATCGGCCTTTGCCTTTGTTTTCTCTCTCTCGTCTCTTCTCCTTCTAAAGCAAAAAAAAAGGAAAAGAACGAAATCAACATCTACTTCGCCCGGTGCGTTGTCGTTGTAGCTCCCTTTCCAGTTTCCACCTCACATCTTTGTTTTGTTATTGTATTTGGTGCACTGCAGCGTTTGGCTGGCGTGTGTGTGTGGATTTTTTGTATTCGTTTTTTGCTATTGCTGTGACTGCGCAAGGCGGGGAGAAGCAGTTGCCTACACACGCTGAGGAGGCCGCAGAGAAGAAACAGGCTGCAATATTTTCTCTCTTGCACACCCAGCGCGTCGTTGGTGGAAGCTGAGTTCCTGAAAGGACGGTAAATACCTACATATATATGTAAGGTGCACTCGGTAGTTATAAGAAGCTAATATAAAGGAAACAATTCGGTACGGCATACTCCAAGCAATAAAAGACCCGTGTAGTTATACACGCACAATAATATTTTTTATTTTTGTAGTATTCCGGGTGGCATTTGTTAATAAATAAGAATCTCGTTTTTTCTTTGTTCTTGCTCAGGCGGTGCATCGAATTATAGCGCAGGTTCCTTCTATATTAAAGAGTACGTTAAAGAAGCTAGACACACACCACAGCAGGAGCAGAAATGGCCACTGCAAAAGCTATCGCGGAGTTCCGCAGCGGCAATGTGGAGGCGGCGCAGTCCATACTGGATGAAGCCGCCAAGGCCCAGAAGGACGTGGGCGATCTGCTGGCGATCCACTGCCTCCGTGCAACCTTCGCTGCCATGAAGGGCAGCACCGATGTCACTGGCATCGTGGCGCAGCTGTCACCGGGCGAGGCGGTGCGGGTGCCGGTGCAGAACTACTTAGAAGGCATCGCCGCCATGGCCCGCGGGGACCTGGTCACGGCAGGACGCAAGCTAGAGACCGCCGTCGAGCGGTGCGAGGGCTTTGCAGCCGCCATGGTGTGTCTGGCCGCCGTCTACTACTCGACGGGCCGCTACGAGAAGAGCTACCGGCAGTACTGCGACACACTGAAGATGCTCGGCACGGAGAGGACGCCGCCCGTGGTGCGGGTGGGCATGGGGCTCTGCGCCTACCGTTTGGAGCGGCCGGTAGACGCACGCCGCATCTTGGAGAGAGCTACGCAGGTGCACCCCGACGATGAGCTCGCATGGCTTGGGCTCTTGGTTGTTTATTTGGAACTGCGCATGCTGCACCAGGTGCACACCACCGTCCTACAACTGAAACGCCTCATGCCGCAGAACACCACCGTGCTGCTGAAGGTGTGCGATTTAATGTACTTTCGCTCCTTAGAAGACGGCCGTCTGAAGAGTTCCACGAGCCGGCTGCGCAGCCTGCTCAGTTACATCCGCCAGACCGCCTCGCCGGAGGAGGCAGCGCAGGTCGACTTCCACGAAGGCCGCCTCTTGCTCGCTTGCGGCGAGGTGGCGGCGGCGCAGCCGCTGCTGGAGTCGGCGGTGCGGGCCAACCCGAACCTCTTAGCCGCGCGCATCCACTACGCACGCCTGCTGCTCTTCACGAAGCGCGAGCGCGACGCTGAGGCGCTGCTGCTCGAGGTGAACAAGACATGGCCGAACGAGAAGGAAGTGCTGCAGATGCTCGCCATCTTGGCGACGCGGGCGGGGCGGCACAGCGAGGCGCTGCGGTACAGCAAGACACTCGCGATGAGTGTCGCGCAGGGCGACGTGTACTCGTGGGCGCTCGCGTCGGTCTGCTCGCGGCTAGACACGGAGCACTGCCGGCGGCTGGGTGCGCACGTGCAGGCGATCCAGCGGGAGCTGCAGCTGCCGCAAAGTTGGAAGCTGAGCGCCAACTTAGCCACTTTGGCCGAGGACGTGGAGGCGCTGCAAGGCATCGTCGACGCGGAGCTCGGTGCGGGCTTTTTAATGGAGAACACCGCCGTCGACGTGGCCTACGTGCCGCTGCTGTACAACTTGGGTCTGCTGCGCGAAAAGGGCGACGCCGCTCGGGCCCGGCAGATGTACGTCTACCTGGTCAAGCACCACAGCACCTTCGCTGCGCCGTACTACCGCTTGTACTACCTGGCCAGGGCAGCCGGCCACCTTCACCAGGCCGTTGCGTGGATGCAGTGGCTGCTGAAGGTCCACCCGCAGGAGGCCACCGCGCAGACCTGCACGGCGCAGCTCTACATGGAGAAGTCGCACGTGCGGGAGGCCCTCGCCATCTTTGACAAACTGCACGCCTCGAAGTCACAGCTGCCCGTGGCGCTGGCCGTCGGCGCGACCTCGCTGCGAGCCTGCCAGCAGTCCCCCTCGCAGTGGTCGAAGCTGCTCGCCTCGGCCCGTTCCTTTTACCGCGCCGCCCTGGCGAAGGACCCGCGTAACATTCTCGCGGCGCACGGCTACGCCTGCTGCGACGGGATCGAGGGCCGCAGCGACGCGGCGGAGTCGATGCTGAACAGCGTGAGCGAGGTGACGTCGCTCTCGCCCGTGCCGACGCTGAACGTCGATGCCCACCGGGCCAACGTGAAGATGCTGAGCCACGGCTACAAGCAAGCCGCCGACTACTTCATTCGCATGCCCATCCGCACCTCGGAGCAGGAGGCGATGTACTCCTACTGCATGGCAGTGGAAGGGCGCTACGAGGAGGCGCTGAAGCTCATCGCGTCGGCGTCCGTCAAGGCACCCGGCGAGGTCCCCATGCTCACGTACAACACCGCACTGCTGCACTTTATGGCGTTTGTAGACGGCCTGCGCGGCACCCGCGCTCTCTCTGGGGCGAAGGGCGAAGATCTGCTGAAGCACTTGGAGGCGGGCCTGGAGGGAGCGCGGCAGTTGGACGCGACAAAAGCGAAGCACGAGGTGATGAGTAGAGCAAAGCGGTACCTGCGCTCCATCAGCGCGTACTGCGAGGGGCACCGCGCCACGGTGAACACGCTGATCGAGGCCGGCCGGGAGCGGGCGAGGGAACTGATGCAGGCCGCTGAGGGCTGGAAGCGCGTCTTTGCGGACCACCTGGCAGAGCAGCAGCGGCACGCGAGCGAGGAGGAGGCGGTGCAGCAGCAGAAGGCGGAGGAGCTGCGCATGGCGGAGCTGGGCGTGTACGCGCGCTTCCTGGAGAGCCGTATCCGCAACCCCGCCGCACTCATGGACGCCGACCTGCTCGCGGCGACGGTGGCGGAGGCGCTGAATGAACCCATGCCGGGCGAAGACGCTCCTCCGCTTTTTGCGGAAGACGAGATGCCGTAAAGTTAGACGTGAACAGGGCTTTCATTTAGTGTCTTCTCGCCCTCCTTTTCCCGCCGTATTCCATGTGTGTAGGTGTGCGTGTTGGTGTAGGTGTGCGTCGACACGGACCACAGCAAACCTCGCCAGGGTCTGGTGGGCAGATCAATGGAAGGATGCCGCTGCTTTGTTTTTGCGGCATCACTTTCGTCTTCGTTGGCTTTTTGAACACCTACTGCGGCCTCCCTCTCGTGATTTACGCTGCGCGCCAACGTTGCCTTCTCTTTTTCTCTCTTCCCGTGTTGTGGAGGACGTGGTGTTTGTGATTGCCTTCCATACCACGGTGAGGGTTGCCTGCGGAAAGAAAAAGACGGTGAGCGAAGGCGTCCTGGGCGTTGTAACGGGAAAGGGTGGCAGGCGGAAGAAAGGGCGAGTGGACAAAAACAAAAATTCAAAGAAATTATAAACTATGCACGTTGGTTTTGTGTGTGTTGTTGTCTGCGCAACTCACGTGGGTATTCTCTGCTGATGTCTGTCGTTTTGTGGAAGCGCTACATCTCGCGAGTGCATGTTTATGCACATCTGTATGCGAGCTGGCATGCGATTTAAAGAAAGAAAACAACAACAACAACAAAAGTCAAACGTTTTGTATAAGATGTACGCGTTCGTGCTCGATGCTCGGTATTTCCGCGCAACGTGTTGTGGTGGTCGTCTTTTGCCCTAAAGTGGTTTCTGCCTTTGAACGATCCCCCTTGTTCTTGTGTGTTTGATGTTTTCTTACGCTCTTACAGTAAGGAAGAAGACAAAATCAAGTACGTGTGGTTCACGTGGAAAGAGACAAGTCGTGGGATACAAATTCGAAAAGGGAGGAGAAGAAAAAGGTCCTGCTGAGTGTCCTCGTGCTACGTGTGAGGTTGAACACCTTTTCTTTCTCCTGGTCTGGGTGTTTCGCTTCCTGGTAGAAGAGATCAAAGTGAGCGTCGGTGAGAGCACCTTCCTCGCCCGACGAATACCACAAGCGAAACGCGTAGGTTATCCGCGGTTGTGGAACGCTCTTCTGCAACTCGTACGTGCGCACCATCAGCGCAGTCTCAGTGGCGTAATTTCGTTGCTTTCTTTAGTTCTTCCTCAGGTTCTCTCCTCCCCTCGTCTTCCCCACGTTTGATCGCATACCGTCTCATGTTTCCACGCGGTTGTGTTGGCTTCGGCAGTAGTGATCGCGGTTCCACTCGTTATTACTAGTATTATTATTGTTAACCATCCCTCCCCCTCACGTCGTGTGGTATTTTCTGCGTGGCGCCATCGTTTCGCTTACAAGAAGCAAAGCACCGAGGAATACCAAACGTAGTGCAAGCAAAGAGGAAAACGTTTAAGAAGAAACCGCCAACTGGTATTCAGCCATGACGGACAAGAGCGCCTATGGAGGTCTCTTTCAGGACCCGCCCTACCTCTCTTCCGACCCGGACCCCAAGAAGACGGACCCCTACGACAAGCAGGACTGTATTCCCTCCCGATACCTGGGTAAGAACATGACGGTGGGCGGCCGCACCCCACACGGGGACCTGCCCGACGCCTACTTCGACAAGCAGTACCTCACCCTCGCCTCGGTGGAGCAGAACGGCGGAAAGCCGGTGGGCGACGACGAGGACAAGTGGAAGAACGCGGCGGCGGCGCAGCACAAGAAAAGGGCGATCTCTGACAAGGAGTTCCGCTACTCATCCTATCCGCACAAGAGCACCGGCCCGGGTAGCTACTTTGGCTGCTTTCAGGACAAACCCTTCGAGTACATGACGGAGCCGTGGGATGACGGGTCGAAGAGCAAGAAAAGGAAGAAGAAGAACACAGCGCGGGACACGGAGGCGGAGAAGACGCACCTGCCGAACATCAAGACCGGTCCGTCAAAGAAGGGCACCTACGGCTACCCGGGCCTGTTGCTGGAAAACCCGGTCTACAACGAACAATGGCGGGCGGACCACGACGCCGCAGAGCGTGAGGCGGCAAAGAAGGAGCAGAAGCAGGCCGGCTCCGCGAAGCCGCCCAATCCACCGATGCACATCTCCGGTGTGAGTCGCGCCTACCTGGACGAGATGCCCAACACCGGCTTGTCGGGTGTGTACACGCGCCACACTCCCCCGCCCGACGACGCCGCGACGAGGAAGCAGAAGGCGAAGAAGTCCATGGCCGCTGCTGCACCGGTGGTCCTGCACGAGAAGCCCTTCACGGCGATCGCCTCGCGCTCCGGCGAGCAGGGCTGCATCAACGCGTTCCCTAATGCTTGGGTGAACCCCGACGACGTGAAGCCGTCCAAGACGGCGCTGCTCAAGCAGTCGCAGAAGGCGAAGGAGGAGGCCGCGCGAATGGCGAAGGCGCCCCCGGTGTGGAAGCCGAACGCGTTTGAGAAAACCTCCGTCGTCTCGTCCTGTCTTCGACGCTTTTACTAATGAGGAGGGGTGAAGTGGGGAAAGCGCGCAAGTTGCCCCGAGAAGGCCAGCAAGGGTGCTGCATACGATACCTCCTACCGTTTCTTTTTTTATTTGAATGTACAGTAGAGAGTGTTTGGGTTTGCGTGTGTGTGTGTGTGTGGATTTGCAGCTGCGAAGTTGAGGGTTTTTTTTATATTGCCTCTTCTTTTTCCTTCATTATTTTTCGTTGTATGTACAACTTCTGCGTTACTTGGATATGTAAAACACGCGGGTCCACCGCTTTTGATTGGATTTTTGAAAGCCCGTTTGCCCGCAGCCAACCAGCATTCTTTCTTTCTCTGTTTCCCAACACGCTTTTCTTCGTGCCGTTTGCGCTGTTATGATTTCTTTGCCGCGTATGTATCCTACGGATGATCGCTTTACTGCCATGCGATCCGTGCTTTTCATCTTGTTCTCTTTTTCGTACAACTTTAGTTACTCCTTTTGGAAATGCCTCAGGGACGGTTCGAATGAACGTTGCCATGCGCAGCTAAACACGTGGAAGGGAAGACACGACGTCAAGAAGTTTGAAGAAATGCGAAGTAGGGAGCCACATGATGTAACTGGAGCTTTTCTTGTCCACGGCGTCTCCACGGCCGTTCGTTACCCCTTCGTCCTCTTCTCCCCCCTCCCCATTTTTGTTTTTCTTGTGTGTGCTTTTTGTTGTTGTTGTTTTTCGTCTGCCCTTTGCAACGGTGGCGCAGTCAGCACCCGATACCACGCCGAAAGTCTACCGTTACCGTCTGAAAAAAAAATTAAGTAAACGAATAGTTTTGGCCTGCTGTGCGCTTCGACCCGTGCACTTCAAAGCGTAGAATTTGAACCAACCAACCAAAGAAAGCAAATTAACTATTGCAGCTTAGCGGAAACAAAGTACGTGCGTTCAACACTTCTGTGTTTTTTTAATATATTTATTTTGTCCTCTTTTCTCCTCTGCGTGCTCTCCGTATCTTTATCCGGCACTTTATTTCTGTCGTTGCTGCTGTTAACGGCGCGTCTGATCGGTTTCGCGTTAGGTGAGGTCTGCTCTGAAGCTCTTGTTTGTGACCCCCCCTCCCCTCCCCACACACACACACACACGCACACGCAAAAAGCATTGCAGCGGCGGAGTAACTGTCACTTGAAAAGTCGCCTCTGTCATACACACGCACACACAACACACCTCCCGACGATCGACCCTGCGACGGCGTCTTCGCTTTTCCCGAACAGTTTTATTCGAGTATTCAATTTACCTGTGCTTTTTTAACTCTCTTATATATAGAATTTATTGTGTCTTTACCCCTTCCTTTCTGTGTGCGAAGGTGCCAGAATCTTATTTGCCGCACTTTTTCTTGTTTTCTCCGGCCATCCCTTTCGTACCGTCGATTGCAGCTATCGTGGCGTTCTTGGGTTTCACCAGAACAACTCGGACACCTCCCCAACTAACAAAATCAAAAAAGAGAAGAAACACGGCGAAAAGAAGAAAGCTAAACAAGCAAAACAAACGAGGAGAAAAGTCATCATGGCGCAGGTTGCAGATGAGTCACGCGCGATGGAGAGCGAGGTGTTCCGCAATAAGTACCGCCGCATCAAGTCGATCGGACGGGGCAGCTTTGGCGAGGCCGTGCTCGTGCGCTCGAAGGCGGATGGCAAGCGCTACGTCGCCAAGGCCATCGACTCGACGTCCATGACGTCGAAGGAGAAGCGCGATGTGCAGAATGAAATCCGCATTCTCTCGGCGGTGGACCACCCCAACATCATCCGCTATCACGAGCACTTCGAGGACGGCTGTCTCATTTTCATCATCATGGAATACGCCGACGGCGGCGATTTGAACTCGCGCATTAAGGAGGCGAAGAAGGTGGACCCGGCGCAGCCCTTCGACCCCAATTTAGCGATGTTTTGGTTTCTGCAGATCTGCATGGCGCTCAAGTATCTGCACGACAACCACATCCTCCACCGCGATCTCAAGACGGCCAACGTCTTCCTCACTTCCAAGAACGTGGTGAAGCTCGGCGACTTTGGTATTTCGACCATCTTGCAGAACACGATGGCGTGCGCCAAGACGGTGTGCGGCACGCCCTATTACTTCTCGCCCGAGTTGTGCCAGAGCAAGCCGTACAACAACAAAAGTGACGTGTGGGCCCTCGGCGTCGTGTTCTACGAAACCCTTACCCTGCGCCGCCCCTTCAACGCCAAGTCGCTGAAGGATCTCCTCAAGAAGATCCTCATCGGCCAGTACGATTCGATCCCGTCGACGGTACCGGTGGAGATGCGCTCCTTGTGCGCCAGCCTGCTGCAGGTGAACTACATGCAGCGCCCGAGCATCAACCGTATTCTAGAGAGCTCCTACGTGCAGAGCACCTTGCGCGGCTTCAGCGAGGACCTCGCCCGCCAGGTGGAGCGGGACAAGATGGAGTTCGAGGCGAAGCAGCGCAAGGAGGAGGAGAAGCAGGTAAAGCAGCAGCGGACGCCGCCGCCGGAGCCGGTGGTGGAGCAGCCACCCGAGCCGGCCAAGCCGCAGATGAGCGAGCGGGAGCAGATGGCGGTGCTGCGCGACATGGACCGCGGCAAGATGAAGGCGATGCTCGCGAAGCAGGCGGCGGAGGCGAAGGCGGTCCCGCCGGCGTCCCCGAAGCAGACGGCGGATCAGACCATCCACCCCGACGTGGACGACGACGGCGACTACATCGCCCAGAAAAACGCCATCGTAATGCAGACGAAGGACATCGTCGGAAAGTCGAACCTCGGTGGCCACCCGGAGGACTTCGGCGACGGCCCGGCCGACAGCGCGCCGCAGGTAGAGACGATTACGCTGCCTAACGGGCAGACGGTGCTGGCCCGCGACGTGCGCGGCCACCTCGAAAAGGAGATGGGGTCGAATTTGCTCGACCGTGCGGTGGAGATGTACAACGCGGGGGCGATGAGCGGCCTCACGAACTCGGAGGTGCAGCACGAGCTGAACGCGCTAGTCGGGCCGAAGTTTGCGCACAACTCCAACGCCATCACCAAATTAGCCGTGTGGGAAGGTAAGCAGAAGGTCATGAGCGCGTAGCGGCAACCTCATCCTTCGTTTTCTCGGTTCGATGTCTCATCTTTGTAGTCACTAGTTGGACAGCGGGGGCCCACACCCTCCCCTCCTACTGTTCTCCCCACTATGACACCTTTTAAAGGCAGTTGTCTTTGTTTTATTTATTTTTGCTTCCTCTCTCTTTTTCATGTATGTACAGCGCCTTCAGCAGGAAATCCCTTCTCCCTTTTACTGCAATGGCAATCTGACGCCGCAAAAGGAACGAAGAGAACTAAGAACGACAAGAAATAACGCGTTCTGCTGGCGAAGTCTTTTTCTGGGCGGTACTCAACGCCGTTGAACGTTGTGTTCGCCGTGTGGAGGAGAGGAGCAGATGAGTATATAATAGAAGAAAAGAAACACGCTACACATATCTATGTTCATCATTTTTTTTCCTGTATGTGAGTTTAGGTCGGCTGAGCCTATTGATGTAGGTGGGGCTGGAGAAGAAACGGAGGCGCATCGCTAATATATATATATATATATATATATTTGCTGCACTGTGCGTGTGTGTGAGTGAGTGTGTTTTTCTCTGTGCAGACGCACTGCAGAGCCGTGTATCGATTCTATTACACGCTAGGGTGTAGAAGCCGCAAAGCAAATGCAGGCGTTTTCTTCGTCGATTCTCTTCCCTCGACCCTTTCAAAGTGTTCTTTGGTTTTCTCTGGCGCTTTTTTTTCACAACGTTTGTGGTTCGTAGATGCTCCTCATTTTTTTTTAAAGTACTTTTATCTCGTTTTACGAATGCCGTCTCAGCTCTTTCGATTATTACTGTTGTTGATGTTGGATATATGATGCTTCACCGTTTTCGTGTGTGCTTGTATTACGTGTTCCTTTCGTTTTCATTTTTTGTTGGTGTTGTTCATGGCTTTTGCTGTCTTTTCTTCTCCCGCCGTTCATCATCCCATCTTACCTGTTTTACGTCTTCTTGCAGCATCCTTGCTCCTGTTGGGCCGCGTTTGCGTGCATTTGATAGAGGAATCTGTTTTGTAGCAGTCAAATGAGTCGTGAGACAACCGCGGAATAGTAGTGAAAAAAAGAAAAAATCCAATGAACACTCTTATCTGCTCTGCCTTCTCCCCCCTTCTCTCCCCCTATGGAGAACTGCAATGAGCATTGCGGTAGATGGAGGAAACAGTTTCTAAGGCAGAGTCGGCTGCATGTGGATGTCAGGGGGTGCGGCTTCGTCGACCTCCTCGTTGTCAGCTTGCGTCTTTGGTCATTAGCACCTGAGAGACGACTGCAGTAGAGGTTTTTTTTTCCCCCTAAAATGTTGAAAACAACGCCGTTTGCGCATTCGATGAGCTCCGTTGTTTTTGTTACTAATGTGATGATTTGGATATTATTCGCGATAGGGCTCCCCTTTGGAATGAACTTCTTTTACGCCAACTCACGCCTCCTCCTCTGCTTTAAAAAAACAATCTTTCCCTTCTTTTCGTTCCATCACTTTCATGCTGCTATTCTTTTTCTTTTTGCATAAAGCAGCTGCGCCTTTGGTGCGAAAGGGTTTCTTTCATTGTCGCGTTCATCTCGCTTTATCAGTCCTCCAACCGCCAAACCCCTTCTTCGTGGCAGTGAAACGAGCTATTTGACGGCGATCCAGCGAGCCTCAAACACCGGTTGTGCTTCCCGGCAAGGAAAACCGTGGAGCTACTCTTCTCTGTTTGCTTCATAGAATACTCTACGTGATGTTTCGCGATCGCATCCGTGTTCGGCCAGCCGGCGGTCGCCCGTCCTTCGGCTCCCGCGACGTTCTCGCCGACGACGGCATGGACGGGGAGGATGGTCGCCCCTACCGCCGTCAAGGTGCCGCAGCCGACAACGCCTTTGCGTCCTCGCTGAATTTCTCCCACCGCGGCGAGGCGTCTTCGTCCGCGGATTTCGCAGCGGCGCCGTCGGGAGAAGCGTGGCCCTATGCCTGCCGCGTGGCCCGGCTCGCTCTCGACACCGTCAGCAGCGTCTTTGGCGCCTTAGGCACCCGCGCGGGCGACGAGGCGAAGGTCCACGACGGTTTCGCCGGGACGACGGCAGTGCTGCGTTCAGCAGCGGCGCCACCCACATTGTCGTCTCCCACCGTGCCGCCCAACACGCCGTACGACGCGAACGTCGCCACGCCCCCCACCTCCCATTTCCACTGTGCGCCGTCGGCGGAGGGGGCGTACAGCGCTGAGCCCGCTGAGGGGCGTCCCTCCGGCCTCATCGAGCGTCGCAGTGCTCGCGGCTACGCTCATGACTATTCAAGTGCACGTGTGCCGCTTCGAGACCAGCCGGCGATGGACCAGCCGAACGTGGCCGCGGCGCCGCGTGCTGCAGGGTCGGTGTACTTCTCTCCGCCACCATCCGTGCGCGAGGCCCCGCAGTACCAAATCACGGTGAATCAATACTTCGCCGCACCGGAGCGCAGCGCCTATCCCGTTGTGGCGACCGCACCCAGCTACCTCGAGCCGCGCCGCAGCACCGCGGTGGGGTACCGCCCGCGCGTCAGTCTTCTCACCGTGCCATCTGCCATCCACCCACACACGAAGCGGGAGCGCTCGACCACGTCGGCGACGGCGACCACGAGGGCGTCGGAGGCCCTCGCAGCGAAGGCGGCCAAGACGACGTCGACAGCGGCGGCGGTGAACGCGTTGGACGTGTCGCTCAGCAACGCCCCCTCCGCCATTCCCCTCGGCTCCCCTGAGAACTCCCTCACCGTGCCCATCTCCTTCGCAGGCAGCGGTGGCAGCGCCCCGCTCTTCGGCAGGGCCAAGAAGGCGGAGGAGTCCGCCCCGGCGAAACCCGCGGAGTCAGGCCCGCTTTTCGGTGCCAAGTCGGCGACCCCGGTCACTCCAGCCTTTGTCTTCGGTGCGAAGCCGGCCGCCACCACCACCACCGCCACCACACCGGCCTCGGCTCAGCCCTTTGGCGGATTTGTGAAGAAGGGCCCACCGGCAGTTGTGGCGGACGACTACGGCTTCGCCCCCAACGCGGATGATGGCGATGCGGACGACAGCAAAAACAAGGACGCGGACTCCGCCACCACTGCGGCGAAGCCGTTAGGCTTTTCATTTCACGCATCGGGGCTGAAGCCGGCTTTCGCTAGCCCCGGCACCACGACGACGGCGACGACGGCCTCCGCGCCAGCAAAGGCAGCACCGCTCCCCAATCCGTTTTCTTTCAGCCCGAAACCGAAGGAAAAGACGGGTGACGCGCCACCGGCCTCCACGACAGATTCTGCCACTACGTCGGCGAGTGCAGCACCCAAGGGGAACGGCTTCGTGAAGGCTGGGCCACCCGCCGTCATGCCGGATGACGACGGCTTCGCCTCCGGCGCGGACAGCGATGACGAGGATGAGGCGAATGCGCCGGCGAAGACGGAGAGCGCAACTGCGACGAAGCCGCTGGGCTTCACCTTCAACTCCGCGAGTTTCAAGCCGGCCTTCAACAGCGGCTCTCCGCCTCCCTCCACCGCGCCAAAGCCCTTTTCATTTGCCGCGAAGCCGGCAGAGACTGCAGCGCCCCCCGCCGCGCCCTTCGGCAGTTTTGTGAAGGCCGGGCCGCCCGCCGTCATGCCGGACGACAGCGGCTTTGCGTCCAACGCGGACAGCGGCGGCGAGGACGGGGAGGACAACGTCAAGAAGACGAAGACGGACACTGCGACGCGCGCCACGGCGCCGTTTTCGTTTAGTGCCAACGCCACCGGCGTGGCGAAGCCCGCGTTTGGCACGGGAGGCACGACGTTCGGCTCCTCTTCAACGCCCGTCAACAACAGCAGCAGCCCCTTCACCTTTGCTGCAGCGGCGTCGTCCCCGTCGTCAGCCGAGGCGCCGGCGAACCCCTTCAAGTTTACGCCATCGCCCACGGCTGGCAGCCCCTCCGCCGCCACGTTTGGCTCTACCGGCTCGTCACCTTTTGGAACCGGTCAGTCGGTCAACTTTACCTTTGGAAAACCGAAGTGAGAATCTGGGGGGAGGGGGTTGCTGATACTCACGATTCGTTTGAATCACCAATGCCCGCTGTTACACGCCTTCAACATCACCAAGGTGTGACAAACAACTAAACCTTTTCCGTGTGTGTGTGTGTGTGTTTGTGTGAGGGAAAACGTGCAGACTCGACGATGGCTCAAGAGGCACCTCAATGGGTGCTGTGTGGGCGTATGCGTTGGTGATGGCGGGCTGCCGTCGTCGTTACCGCACTTTGGGCGAAATTCTTCGTTCAAGTAGCAATGGCTATTGAATGTTGTGTTGGTGTTGTTTTTCCATGTTAAATCGCATATAATAACTGTAGGAAAGGACTTTGTTGTCTTGGTCGCTGCCCTCCCTTTCTTTTGTTTTCCCAGGTCATATTGGTGAAGGGTGCGATGCCGTTGAGAAGGAAATGGTTAAAGGATGCGTAAAGAGGCGTAATAGGATGCGGCTCTACTACGTTTGACGTTGTACAACGCAAGCAGCCGACCACCACCACTTCAAAAAAAAAAACAACAGAACCCCCTTCGTCAGTTAAGTGTTCTTTTCTTTCTTTCGTCCTTCTGTCGCTCCGGTTACACAGCAGTGCCGGACCGACAGAGGTGTCTGTATCGCGTGGGTTTGCCACGTTATTAACCAGCAGCTGAACGAGACATCATTCGCCTCGTCGGCATTCTGTTGCTCTTGTTGCTGCAGTACTCCTACAAAAACGAAAGCTTCAACATTCGTGCCAATGGACAGTGTGGCTTACATGCCGCACGGACGGCTTCACAGCGGATGTAAGAGGTGCAGATCCCGGCTGTGGTGGCATCAAATCGTTTTTTTCTTCTTGTTCCCCCCCCCCCTCTCGCTACTCGTGGCAACTGTTCAGCTTCGCTGTGTGTGCTCGTGTATTTATTATTATTCACATTTCGCTTTCTGCGTGTCCCACAGTCTATTTGTCGTCCGCCCGTAGAGAGGAGCGCCACCAAACTACAGCGTCGCCGCACCGTGCGGAGCATTTATTACTATTATTATTTTCCTTCTGCGCTTGTTCGCCTCTAAACCGCCGCTTCCCATTTACTTTCACATTCATTGCTATTCTTTGCATCGACCTCCCCCCCAAAAAAAACGCACAGCCCATTTGGACACATTAGCTAGCCAACCTCAACCGACTGTTATTCGCCCATCCTTTCCTTCGTCTCTTCACTTTCTTTGTGTGTTCTCCCTCCTCATACGTAGCTGCATCTCCTGATGCATTTGTATTTGGTGTATTGTGTATCCTTTTCCGTTGCTGTTCGGCTTGACGTGGCGCTCTCTTTCTTCCTATATATATATATTTGCACCACTTACACACACGGATAGAAATGACGTCGGCTGCCGCAAAGCGAGAGGAGATTCAGCTGAAACTCCAGCTGCTGCGGGAGAGGCGGGAGCGCGAGCAGGCCGCCTTTGACGCGCTCGCCGCGGCGCACCCGGCGCTGTCCGCGACAGAGATCGCGGCACTGGCGCATCAGCAAGCTGAGGAGGCGGCGCCGCGGTGTCTTGTGGTGGACGGCAAAGAAATCAGCATCGGCGACACGGTGACGGTGAAGGACGATGTTCACCTGCTACACCGCGCCGATCGTGGCTACTTTGGGCCGGATGTGCTGAAGCCGATTTACTGCGGTGAGCGCGCGGAGGTGGTGCGGGTGATAGAGTCGTTTCAAGGGAAGCCGGCCATGGAGCTGCGCTTCGCCGACGGCGTGGCGAAGGTGTTCTTTACGGAGTGCATCGAGACGGACGCCGGGAACGGTGGTCGGGCCGGTGGTGCCACCGCCGCCGCCACACGCACGGCGAACGCCAGCCACGTCGACCCTGCTGAGGTCCCTGTTTTTGTGCCGCCCACGACGGCGGCGCAGCCTTCGCCTAAGGCAGAGACGCTGCCGGGCTGGAGCCAACTTTCGATGCCCCACCGCAAACCCGCCGACGGAGGCGCCTGCACCGCGGCGTGGCCTGTGGCACTGCCCCCACCACCTCCACCCACAGTAGCCGCCATACGCACCGGCCAGCCCACGACCGGCGTTGCGAAGGCGAAGAACGACGCGTCAGCTGGTGCTGCTGCTGCGGCGGCGGCGCCCCGACAAATGCCCCAAATGAACGCGGCTCGTGGTAAAGCATCACAGCCAACCGCACCAGCCGTTGCGGCCGCCGCCACCGGGAAGGGAGCGCCAGCGAAAGCCCGTCAAACGTTGCCCTCCGCCGCACGAGAAGCTGCAGCTCCCACTGCGCCTTCGTCGTCGTCGCTGTCTGCAGCTCCCGTTGCGAATCCTCCCTCTGCGGCCGCCGCTTCCGCCGCGCGTAACGACGACGATGACATCGGTGGCCTTCGCTCCTCTTCATTGCAGGTTGAAAAGGGGGGTGTGCCACAAGCCGCAGCGTCAACCAAGGCGGCAGACGAAGGAGAGCAAGAGAGAGAGGACGTGGTCAATGCCACAGACCACCAGCTGCCCCGGGCGTGTGCGACGACGTACCAGGCCAAGTACGAATTGCAAGACGGCACCTCACGCATTCCACGACACCCGTCAATCTCTACCCCAACCTCCGGCACGCGGACGTGCTGGGTGTGCGGCCTCGTCGCGGCAGACGCACCGCTGTCAGAGCCGGTGCGGGTAGCCTTCCAATCACAGTGCACCACGATGTTCTCCCTCTTCGCCGTCCTGACCCGCAAGCTGCAGTGGGACAAGCAGCAGCGCACGGCGTCGCGCCTCTTCACAGAGCAGGGCAAAGAAGTGAAGACGGCCAGCGCGGTGCAAGATGGGATGCGACTGGTGGCCACAGCCGGCTGCGCATATCAACCCGGGCCGGATGCAGATGCGTTCCGCTCCGTACCGGAGGCTCGTCCTTCTCTGGATGTCCCACCCCGCTCGACCGCCTCTGCGAAGAAGTCCCAGGCACCTGCAGCGTCCTCCCCACCGAAGAATACGCCGACGACTCCCCAGCGCCGTTCCGCACCGACCGCCGCCGCCGCTGCCAGCCCAAAGCAAAAGTCAGCTCCGTTGTCGCTGTCGGCTGCGTCGGCGCCCAACAAACCGAGGCACATCCGCGTCTACGAGAACGGCCTCTACGACGACAACATCTACCGCACCGTGACGGTACGTCCGACCTACAGGACGCTCGTCGCACTGAAGACAACCATCACCCGCGAGCTGCAGTGGCGCGATGGGAAGAAGGTGGATCTCCTCTTTGACGCGTGCGGGGCGGAGATTAGCGACCTCAACGAAATCAGCGACGGCGATGTCGTGGTGGCGTCGGCGGGGGACCGATTTGTCATACCGTTCCCGAACACGCCGATGCACTTGGAGGCGATGAAGCTGTCGGAGCGACTCGACCCTTCGCGAAGGTGCTAGGCGGCTCAGAGACGGCACCGAGCCATTCATTCATGACAAATGCACCCGTACGTTTAACGACATCGTGCAGGGTTTTTTTCTCTTTCGCCACGCTGTTTTTGGCCGGCTGAACCTGGAGTAGACCGTTTTTCGCAGACGGACAGTTTGTGAATGCCCTGAACGTGTTTTCTTTTTCTTCATTGGGAGACTACTCTCCCACATGCACACAAACTACCGATCAAAAGGACACGCCTCTCCTTCATCGCCTCTTCCGTTGATTGGGGTAATATTATTTTTTTATTTGGAAGAGAAAAGGTGAAACCACGCCGATGCTTCCCCTTCCTCACTTCGTTTAAGAAGGAGAGCCTCAATGCTACCTGTTGTTTCGATGACACCACACGTTCCCGTGCAGATCTGACGGCACTCGTTGTCGCAGCTGCCAGAGCGCTCCCACGACTTGAGTGATGCGTGACGGACAGCAGCGGATGCCAACTGAGCACTCCTCTTTTCTTCCTTCTCTCCTTATCGCTCTTCGTCTCTCCCTCTCAACGTTTCGCTGCGCTGCCCCTCCCCCCCCCCCACCAACTCTCTCTTCACAACACGTTTTGCGATCTCGCCTGATTTTATGCAACGACGAGGTCCGATCTGAGGGCTGGCGCCTTCATTTTCATACGGAGCAGCATCAACAACAAAAAACCCGCGGCACGGGTTGCACACGAAATATTGCGAGTCTCAAAGCTCGCAGACTCTTAGAGTGCTTTATATGTTTACAATGGAGCGCGAATCGACCTCAACGTTGTTCAGGTCTCTGCAGGAGTCCGTGAAGCCAAACGCGAGGGCCTCGGAGGCGCTGCGCGGCGCCACACAGCAGTTTTCAATGGAGAATACGGGCGACGTAGTGCAGTTGGTAAACGGACTCATTCAGAAATTCTTGCGTAGTGCGCTGCCGTCCACGTCGAGTTGGACGAAAGTGTACACGTTTGGCTCCAGCGGCCTCGGCGCCGCGATCGCCGGCAGCGACATCGATTTGTATGGTGAGACATCCTCCTTTTCTTTGCTTCTTTGACGTTAAGTTCCCCCTCCCCTCCCTTCCCCTCCCCTCCCCTTTTCATGTGATTGCCGATTATTATCATTATTATTTGTGCGTCTGTGTTTGTCTGTGTGTTTCGCATCATCCGCTCTGTGCTTGTCACCCCTTCAACTCCTTCCTTTTCTCTCCCCCTCCCATCTCTACCCCGCAACGTGACGGTGCTGCTCCCGCGTCTCCGCTGGTGCCTTCTCCCTCCTCCCTCCTCTGCCCTCTTCTCTTTCTCTGCTCGGGCGATTTCGCTCCTGCAATGATCATCTCTTATTTATTTTTCGGTTGTTTGTCTGCTTCAACGCCCCGCCTCTTGAACGGCTCGGCGTGCGCGTGTGTACGCGAATTTGATGGCGTTTCTCTTGCTTTGCGATGTGTTCGCGTATGGCGACGATGCCGAAACGCTCGCATGCAACGCCGTCCCCGTTCTGATCCTGCACACTCAACCACCCACACACCCACACGCACACGCACCACCCACAAGAATCGCGTTGTGCTCCTCAACGATCGACACGAACCTCTTCTTTGCTCAATTCCCTCACTTCACCAACGGAGGTCTGGCGGACCTCGTGGTGGTCACCTCCACCCGCGTCCCCCTCATCAAGTTCACCTTCCACGCCGTGCACGTCGATCTCCTCTTCGCCTCCGTCGACCTCGCGGAGCCGCCGAGCAACGACGACCTTCTGCGCGACGACTTCCTTTTTCGCGTGTCGGAGAACAGCCGTGCCACGGTGAACGGCATCCGCACCATCTTAGAGATCTACCGCCGCCTCCGTCTCCCACAAGAGGACTACGCCTGCGTCCTGCGCGCCGTGAAGTACTGGGCCACGCGGCGGCAGGTCTACGGTAACCTGTACACCTTTCCGAATGGAGTGTGTCTAGCCATCATGGTGGCCCGCGCCTCTCAGCTGTGTCCGGTGCAGGACCCCAGCGCGCTTCTAAAGTTTTTCTTTGCGCTCTACGTGCGGTGGCTCTCCCGGAGTACTCCCACTGCGCCAATCACCATCGTGATGGCAGAGGACACGACGACTGCCATGACCGCCGTGCCCGGCATGACGCGAGCGTGGGACGCCACGCGGGACGCGGCCGACCTCCTTCCGATCCTCAACCCCGCCCGGCCCACGGTGAACGCCGCCCACACAGTGGGCCGCAGCGGCCTGCAACTCTTCTACGCGGAACTGCGGCGTGCGCATCGGCTTCTGCAGGATCACTCCGCCACAGCGGACGCGCCGCCGTATCGGCAGCTGTGGCAGCCATACAACGTGTTGCAGGAGTACCGCTACTTCGTCAGCGTGCACATCGCGTGCGTCCACGCGTCCTCCACAGCGTGCGAAAGTCTGCTGAATGTGTGGAAAGGCTTTATCGAGAGCAAGCTGCGCATCTTCCTCTACGCGCTGGAGTGCGTGGCGGAGGTGCGGCCCTTTCCTCAGTCCGTCGTGGACAAACCCAGCGACGAAATTGTTGGCGGCGGTGTCACGCTGCGGCGCGCCTCTCGCGCTTTCTTTTTTGGCGTCCGCCGCGGCAACAGTGAGCTGCAACAGAGCTGCTTTGCGGAGGCATTTAAGGAGTTCCGGTACGCGGTAGCGGAAGGCACGACACCGCCCTACGGCTTTGAGCGCGACGAGCATAGCATGCTCGGCCCGTGGTTCTCGTTCTTCGCCAAGGAGCAGACGGCGGCGCCGGGCACGGCGTTGCACGCCCTGCAGGCCGCGTGTGCAGAAGCTGTCTCAGGGGCGTTTTGAGTGTCAGAACCACAATAGGTCGCTACTGTGGATCGCTCTTTTGTGGCTGTTATTGGTGTTCCCTGTGTCTGCTGGGACTCACTCTTCTGTATTTCGGCCGTGCAAGAGAGGCCACGGGCGTGTTGCGCAGTCCTTTGTCGGAGTCTTTCCTTTTCTGTTGTGAACACCGCAATGCGGCGGCAAAGGCGTTGCGCTATTCAAAGCCAGTGTGCTGCGTCGCTCTGGTGGCTGCTCTGCAGTTGCATTCGAGGGCGTTTTGGCATGGCGGCGTCCTCGGCGCACCGGAAACAAAAAATGACTTGTGGCAAAGGTGGAGAATCAAGAACGACCGCTGGAGGGGGAGGTGGTCACTCTTTCCATTGCTCTCTCCGCTTGGTAGAGAACGGGACGAACCCCGACGGACACCTGACTGGGTCGCGTCTCACGATGGCGTCCTCATGTAGCGCTGCTGCAGGTTTGTTTTTCTTTTTTTAATGCACAGTTCCGTGGGTTAAAACACCGTTTTTACTCCTCCTTCTCCTGCGGATAATAGGCGGTATTTGCGTGATGCTCCTTTCTTCTTTCTGCAACGCGACGGAATAGTTTTACCTTCCCGTTAACTCCACTCCTCTTTGCTGGCCCTCCTCGACTTGCTTCCACCTGAGCTGCTCCGTTCCACCTCTTCCAGGGATACAAATATATACATATATTTATTTGTTTATTTGTTTATCTCCTTCTCCCATATCGGTGTTTGAGGGAAGAAACGGGCTGTGCCCGAGCACAAGATGCAACAGTAAAGAAGGAGGCGAAACAACAGAACATGAGTTTCTTCTCGAACCCGCTCGCGGAGGAAGACGAGGTGGTGCCACCCGACTACCCTCTCGAGCAGTACGACGAACGCAAGCGCGAGGATGACTTCAACGAGCTGCTCGTGCGCTCCACGAAGCTCGAAACGGCGCAGCGCAGCTCCGGCGACGCAGCGGCGATGGCGCACCCCGACTTGGTGCAGTGCCTCCAACAGAATCAGCAAATCCGTAGCACCTTGGAGGAGACGTGGGGTGAGATAAGCGACTACGATAAGCAGAGACAACTTTCTGCGTTATCATCGTCCTCGAAGGTGTTCCCAGCGCTGCCAGGTCATTCTGCCGCCTCCGCTTTAATGAACACGGTGGATGCGGTGAGTGTGCAGATGCAAGCGCAGGCGATGCAGCGTGAAAGCGTCACGAGTCATTTGAACAAGACAGTAGAGACGGCGTCGGCACGTCTCACAGCAGGCGGTGCGTCCTCGCCTGTCACATCGCCCACGGCGAGCGCCTACACCGCTCTCCACACCGCGGCACTCCACCCACACGCACAACCCTCCCCAGCACACCCCTCTCACTCTGCAGACGAACTCCCTGTGTTCGAGACAGAAGAAGTGGACGACGCAGTGCGGGCGTTGGAGGCGCAGCTGCCGGGCATGAGTGCGGAGGAGGCCGCGCTGGCTGCCGCGGCTGTGCAGCAGCTTCACTTCGGTCTCCGCTCGTGGACGGCGCTGGTGCAGCGACACGCAACGCTGCAGCAAAGTGTCGCCGCCAAGACGCAGGAGCAAAGGGAGGCCCACCTCGCCCTGCAGACCTTTGCACGTTGGACGGCAGCGCGGCAGCTGGCCTGTGAACAACAAGCCGAACCGGGCAGCACAGCAGCGAAAGCTTGTCCTTCCTCTGGATCTTCCGTCGCACTGGCTGCCCCTCCCCTATCCTTTGACCTTGCCGTTGCTGAGTCGCTCAACAAGGAGCTCAATGAGGAGAACTGGCGTCTGGAGTCGGTCCTGGCCCGACTGTTGTCCCGTCAGCAAGGAGCGCCACACACCTCCTTGGCAGGCAGCGCACTCGTTCAGTACGTCAGCCTTCTGGACCACACCCGCGAATTGGAGCAGGAGGTGGAGCGGCTGGGCAGTGCTGTGCTGTACCTGCGTGCCGCACTAGCCGCTCCTCCGTCTGCGGATGCGCAAGAGTTGGTGCGCATCGCGTCTTCTCCATCGCCGTCATCCGGCACCGGCACCGCTACTTCCACCGCACAAGAGACTGCCTGGGCGGCACGACTGACGCACCTTAGTGCGATGGAGCAGTCACTGCGCTTGCCCTCTACGGCACACGGCGATGCGGACAGCGCAGACAACAGCGCGCACGCGATTCTCCTGCATGGCCTCACAAAGCTGCTGGAGTTGCACGACGCCGGCCTGCACGCCGTTGCGCTGCTCAGCACGTACTTTGAGAAGCAGTCGGCCAGCGCGACATTCCTCGTGCGTGCCATGCGGGGCGGCGGATCCCTCGAGGATGCCACGGTGGAGCGCGTGCTAGATGTGCCGCTGCCGGACGAGACGTCGCTGCGCCGCCCGCTCGAGGACGTTGCGGCGACGTGGGGAGAGGTCAAAGGAGAAGTCGGCGCGTCGGTGCAGAAAGCGGTCGCGGCCGCGGCGGCCACGCTGGCGCGTTGGGCTGCGGTGCGCTCGCTCCTCGCACGCCTTCTGCGTGAAACCCTTTCCACGTTGGAGCAGCAAAGCGGCGCCGGCGGTGACCGCGAGGCGAAGGAGCTGGCCGCCCTCCTCGCAGGTTACGCAGAGGAGGAGAAATCGCCACGAAAGGTGGATGCGCCGGCGACGGGGTGCGTGCGGGCAGATCCGAGTTGGGCCACAGCGTTGCAGGAGGAGGTGGAGGCCTTCAAAGCAGAGAAAGATGCGCAACGACAGCAGACCAAAAACTACTGGCTGAACCAGCGAGACGAGGCGAACAAGAAACTGACGTGGCTGATGAAGCAGCCCAACGCCCCGCTGCTCATGCAACTCTGTGCCGCAGAGGAAGAAAAGGAGGAGCTGGAGCAGCAGTGGAAACTGGTGCACAACACCTCCGCGGACACCTCGGAATTGCAGCACACCTTGGACGACATTCAGAGACAGGTGGCAGAAGAGACACTACATAATACCAAGCTGCAAGAAGAGTTGAATGAGGCGCAGTCGCGTAAGCAAGCGTTGGAGCGCGAGCGGGCCAGTCTCATTGCGTCGTCCTCGTAGGCTTTTTTTATAGCTTCCCTGTTTCGTGTGTGTGCGTGTTTGGTCGTGGACACGCAGAGTGCGACACGTTGTTGTGTGTTTGCCGCCACCGCCGTTGTGCATCTCAGTTCATTTTGTATTTTGATTTTGCTGCGAAGAAACCGCCGAATTCCGTCTTTTCCAAGGAGGCGAATAGTGCGCTGCACGACCACGAGAGGAGGAGGGTAAGGGTGCTGCAGGCCCTCTTGAAGCAACGTATGTATTCGCGATGCGGCTAGCGCTGTTTTTATTAGCTGCCTGGGTTGTTGCTGGGTTCTCTTGTCGACAAACTGAAGGTTCATGGGTGCGCATAGAAACGTCTCTGAAAGTCGTTGTGCTGTCATGAAGCTAAGCTCCCTGATTCGAGCAAGGCCGAGGCGGACTCACGGTTATCTTCATCGCCCTCGCACGTGGCAGCTCATTTCGGTTTTCCTAATGACCTCCCTTATTTGTCTCTTCCCGCATCTCTTCTTCTCTTCTGGATTGCGGCACTAAACAGAGCTCGCTGCTCCAACGTTTCTCTCTTCTTTCTTTTTAGCACTCTTTCACAAGATCAGCGTTTTTCTTATTGGGGCGTCACTGCACTTCACTTTGCGGGAAACATCTGTAACACTCGTTCTCCAGTCGCACACCCCAGTAGTAACCATGTCGTGCCAGGTGGGTCAGCACAACTGGATCTTCACCGACTCCGCGGCGTGCAACGTCGGTCCGGATCTGCGGCTCCGTCAGTGCATTTGCCCTCTCACCACGTGTACCCCGACGACAACCGGCTACGCCTGCCAGCTGACGACGTCGATGATGGTGCTGGGCTTGCTGCTGTTTGCCGTGTGGATCGTCGCTGCGTTCGCGTACGTGTACGTGTCGAACTACATTGGCGAGCTGGAGCTCGAGTCACGCGTGGAGAAGGTGGTGTCGCTGAGCCGCGACTACTACTACAACAAATTGTTTGGCACCGGCAGCGCGGCGTCGCCCTCTAGTGTGTACGTGCCAACTGACAAGTGACATGTAGCATGCGCGATGTGAGGTAGCACTTGGTTTCGTAGCTAACCTTAGGCAATAAATAAAAGCACTTAAAGCGGCAGGTATTCCACGGGCTGCCACTCAAGCGCCAGGCGTTCACCTTCAGGTGCGTGCGGTTCGACGTTCGTGTGGGAGTACCCGAGGAGGAGCGAGAACATAACGGCAATGGTAATACATAAAGACACAACTCTTATATACATAAGAAACAAACTGCTTTCCACTTAAAAGGAAAAAGAAAACATCGATTATGAAACTCACGTTTTCCGTTGCAATCGATCGGCGGTGTGTAGGATTTGTTTCTTTCCCTCAGTGCTTCTACTGCATCCCATTTTTTCCTTTTCTTTTCCTTCTAGTTCGTTGTGGAACCGTTACCCCCCCCCCCCCTTTAGAAGAAAAAACCTTTGTGTGTATGTGTCTGTTTGTGTCTGAGATTCTTCGATTATTTGCTACGTATCGATGCTGTCATTTGTTTTAAAAGCATATAAATATCGAAATATGGACCTCTGGCAACTTTTCGTGCTTCAACGCGGATTCGAGGCGAACGCGTTGTGCCGAGAGACGGAGAGGGAGAGAGGAAAGCACGGGCGCCTCTTCTTTTCTGTGTTGCGTTGCCTGCTGACGTGACGGTGCCGAAGACCGTCCCAGCGAAACGTAAAAGCAAAAATGTGAGCCAAACGGGGGGTTTCCTGTCTCTTCCATTGAAGGATACAAAAACAGATTATTGTTTTTCTTTCTTTGTACTCGTTAAAGGAAGAATCGACCGCATTACATTTTATCCTCCGGCTAGGTTGTCTTCTTCGCGTTCTCGTTCGATGAGCCCTTACATATATAAGCAACGATTGAGAAGTAGTTGGTGGGCAGGAGCGGTGACTATGACTGCGAACCCCGTTTCATGATTCGCGTGTCTCGCTGTTAGTGCGATGGCACCGCGATCTGCTTTTTTCTGAGTTTCACGCTGTTGCGAACGATTTTGCAAGCCTTTCTCCTCTCCGCACAATCTGACGATGTCTGTTGAAGATGCCAATGTGTTTCGATGGCCTCGCTTCTGTCAAGACGAGGTGCGTCGTTCAACCGTAAACTGAATGCGATTCCACTAACTTCTATCCTCTTTGCATTCTGCAGCTTCGCTCTTTTATTTTTTCTTTGTATCTTCGGCTTTCTTTCTGTGCTTTTCTCCGTGGCGCTGACTCCGTCTCCGACCGCCACTGAACGGAAGCCAGAAAATATAGTTATTAAGACAGAAAAGAAAACATATATATATATATATATTTTGCATTTCCCCGTGTGCAGTGAAGTTGGCTCAGCAGAAGCAGCGAGCAGCGTTTCCTGATCCACTTTTTGTTGAGTACGTCGCGATCACATTCGCCTGTTATTCCAGCACAGGCTCGTAGATACCCTTTTGTATTTCTCTTCTTTTTTTTTTCTAATTCACAGATTGACCCGCGTGTGTATTTCTCACATTTGTTGGTCAGATACCCGGCTCATGTCTTTACTGAGTCCCCCACAGAAGACGACGTTGGTCGCCGTGGTGGCCGGGGCGGTGGCGGGGGTCGCCGCCTTGACGTGGAGCGTCGTTCAGCTCCATCGACGCCGCGACGCCAGCAATAGCGAGAGCGCTGGAGTGCCGCCGGAGAGTTGGACCAAGGCGCAGGTGGCGGCGTGGTTGCACGACAACGGCGTCAGCAAACACGCGACTGCCCTCTGCCGCCGCTTTAACTTGACGGGCGAGGCACTGCTGCAGGTGACGGAGCGCGACCTCTACCGCATGGGTGTCCCGCTGCGCGACGCGCGGGTGGTGCTGGCCGCCGTAGAGGACTTGAAGGAGAGTCCGGTGCTGCTGGCTCGCGCGTCGCAGGCGCGGACTTCGCGGCAGCCGTCGCTCGCCAGCATCTCGTCGCGCCTCCCCGCTGCGGTGGCCACCCCCGTCACCACGGCGTCCCCCGGGGAGCGCTTTGAGGCTGCGTGGAACGCGCTGGTCCGCACCTGCGTCCTGCCGTCTGATGGCGCCTCGCCGACGGAGCAGCAGCAGCGCGTTGTGGTGTACACGAGCGCGCTGCTGGAGTGCTTCCAGGCGCTTTCCTCGCGAGAACAGGCGACGGCTCTGGCGCTGGTGGCCGCAGTGGAGGACAACGCTGCGCCGGCGCCGGTTGTCTCCTCCGACGCCTCTCCTCGATCGCCGCCTGTGAAGAACCCAGCGGCACCAGCAATGCCGGATGCGGCGGCCGCTGCCGACTCTCTTCGCGAGGTGGAGACAAAGCTGCAGCCACTGCACTCCATGGTGGACAGCTTCTTGAAGTTTCTGCAATCTCCTGAGTTGGACGCCGTGTCCGCCGCCGACTTCGAGGAGCTCAGCGCGCGTGTGGCGGGGCAGGTGAAGCGTGTCGCGCGAGTGTGCGAGCAGCTGCCAGCCGAGATGGGCGGCCCGCTGCTCCGCAAGTGCGAGAAGGTGTTTGAGGCGCTGGCACGTCGCCAGGTCACGGCGGCCGCGTCGCTGACAAGCCAAGAGGAAACCCGCAAGCCGGTCATGCAGGCGCTCTACGAGGTGATTGCCGAGGTGAAGGACCCGGCAACCCGTGACCTGCCACCGGCGCAGCGCGTGGCGGTGCTCTCCGCACTGGTGGAGCGTGCAGAGTCGATCGAGGCGCTCGCCTCCGGCGCCGTGGAAGGTGCTTCCAAAGATGACCAGGCGCTGCAGTTGGTGCAGCCGCTGCTGCGGTTTCTACGGGAAGCCGTGCGAGTGGGTGCCGAGACGGCAGCGTTAGAGGCGGAGGGGGAGGCCGCAGCGGCCGCACAGCAAGACGACGTCGACGAAGAGGAAGAAGAAGGCGCGGAGGGAAACGGAGAGGGTCGGGAGCGGGGGATGACAAACGCGGACATCCCCGTCATTGTGGACACGATCCAGCGGATTCAGGAGACGCTGCAGTCCGCCGAATTTCGCCACGCCCCGGCGGAGGTGCAGGCACAGCTGTGCGCCGTCCTCACCCGGCGCATCTCCGCGCTGGAGGACCGCATCGACACGCTGCCGGCTCCCACGCGGAGCGCAGGACGGGAGTTACTGCAGAACACCAAGTCTGTGCTGACAGCCGTGGGCAACGCCGCTGCGGTCGCCGCCCACCGTGTCGCTGATCCGGACGAGGTTGCCAATGGAAAAGATGAAGGAGACGCGGCAGAGGGGGCAGAAAACGCGGCCGCGGTTGCACCTGTCGGCACTGTCGGCGTCGAAAGATGTGTGGCGCAGCTGGAAAAGATCTTTGAGTTTCTGTCTTCCGAGGCACTGGAGCAGGCGCCGGCAGATGAGCGGGCGAAGATGGCGAATGAACTGGTTCAGCGAGTGGATAACATAAAAGACACACTCAAAGGCAGTCCTGCGGAGGGTCCCATCGTCAAGGAGCTCATCCAGCCGCTGTACGACCTCCTGAAGAGCGTGGCCACGACACAGGTCTTTTCCCAGCAGTTTCTCGACATCACCGCCCCTCTGCGCGATGTGCAGGAGCTGCTGAACAGCACCCCCTTTCAGCAGCTGCCACACGTTGAAAAGATGCGCATTGCGCGTGGCATCGTGCCGCAGCTGCAGCAACTTACCACGACGCTTGGGTCGCTGCCACCTTCGGAGAGGGCCGCCGCGGAAGAGTTGGTGCGCCCAATCAGCGAAGAGCTGCTCCGCATTGTACGGGAGCGACCCGCGACGGAGGTGACGGCGCAAAGTGTGTTAGGCCGCCTGCAGACCGTCCTGCGCACCATCCAAGGCGCGGAGTTCACGACGATGACGCCGGCAGGACGCAGCGAGTGGGCCGCCGACGCCGTCGCGGAGTTGCAGCGCCTCAGCGACGACTGCGTGGCCCTCGGACCTGAGGGGGACGCGCTGCGGCCCATCGTGGAGAGGCTGGAGAAGCAGCTGCGGAGCCTCTTCTCAGCGGACAGCAATGCGGAGGGAGAGAAGGCACCGGCCACGAATGCCTCCACCGATGCGCCAGCTCCGGAGAGTGGGACCGCAGCGGCACAGTCACAGGGCGACGACGACGCTCAGTCTATTTGGACGACGGTGCGTGCGATGCAAGGTGAGTTGGCGCGGACGGACGCGCAGGGCACCTTCACAGCCCCTGCGCGGCTGCAACAAATGCTGAGCGTCCTCGGCGAGGTAGCGGAAGCGACCTCCATGACCGACGCGCAGGAGCGCCTGCTGCAGGACTTCGGTGAGGAGCTGCGCAAACATGTCGAGGGCGTAACAGCCGCGCCAAACAACGCGGAGGGAGAGGCGGAGGCGGGAGAGGAGGCGGCGGACGACGCGTTGGAGTCGTTGCGTGTGTCGCTGCAGACGCTGCTCGACGTGGCGCAGGAGGACGGCGGCGCCTCCGGGGCTGAGTTGGCCTCCATCGCCGCCAAAACGGAGGAGATCATTTCGATGGCGGACGAGGCCGGTGTGAAGTGGCGCGACGACGCCCAGTGCGGTCGTGCCGTCCGCGGCATTTTGGGTCTGCTTCAGCAGACGAGGACGGCGGGTGGGCCGGGCTCGGGTGGTGGTGCCGCCGCCGCCGCAAGAGGAGGGCCCAGCAAGGTGGAAGAGGTTCTCCAGTCTTCCATTAAAGCCCTGTCCGACGCACCACCGACGACGGAGGAAGACTTCCTGCCCTTCATGCGGGTTCTGCAGCTCGCCCAGCCAGCTGCGGAGCGGATGACCAACCGAGAGCTTGTGCTGCTCAAGACCCTGCAGGAGTCCGTCATTGAGGCGATGCGGCGCTTACCCGAGCCGCCGCGCCCCGTCGGTGAGGTCGACAACAACGGCGCCCATGCGATGCAGGAACGAGAGGAGGAGCAGGCGGAGGCGGGGGCGGAAGAGGAGGGAGAAGGCACGGACGACGTCGACGCCGTGTTGGATGCGCTGCTAGACATGTCATTTAAACTCCGCGACCGCTCCTACACGTCCGCGCAGCTGGACGAGTTTGAGGCGATCCAACATGACTTGGAGGACCTCCTGACGCGTGCCGGGGTGGACGCGACGGAGGCGATGGCTTCGGTGCGGGAGCAAATCCACCTGCAACGGAAGTCGTTGCGCCTCGCCGAGGGCAACGACGATGACAGCAGCAGTTCGGCAGCGGGGGAAGGTGAGAACGAAGGCGAAGACGAAGACGAAGACGAGACGTCTCCGTTGGGTGCCGCAGTGGTGGTAGGCGAGGAGGCAGACGGAGAGGAGGAGGGGGCCGCTCGGGCGAGTGAGGTCATTGACGCCTTCAGCGAGGACGACGACGACGGTGCAAGTGACGGGGCCGCGGTGGCGGCGGCGGTGGTGGCACCGACCCACGCTCCACAGCAGGCGGAGGACGATGGGGAGCGGGAGGCGGGCGAAGAGATGCAGGAGGAAGTCGCCAAGCCGTGAGGGGCAGTGGGTCAGCTGCTGCTGGTTTTTTGATTCATCAAAAGAGAATATATATATATATATAGGAAAAACTAGCGCATAAACGTATGTACTCTTCTTTATTGTTTTTTTCCGTTTACGCTGGGGCGCACGTCTCTCCGAATGAAGTTCGACGGGCGGAAGGCTTTTTTTTAAAGGTTCATTGGGAGAGAAGCACGACGCAACGCCGCGCGCCCGTTCTCGTTTTTTCGTTGGGCCTCACCTTCGATTTTTGTTTTGTGTGGGTGCCTTTCTTCTGTTTGTTTGTTGCGGGTGTAGAATGAGCGGCCACGTTGCACCGGACGGCGTGCCGTTGCGCTGGGGTTCGGGGCTTTGGCAGCGTGGACGACTCCTTTCTGTTTGTTTGCTCCATTTGAGAGGTGTGAGATTGGTGCTGTGGTTCTCCCGTGGGGCTGTGTATATGTTTGCGTAGCATAGCGATAGTGAAGGAAGTGGGATAATCAAGTTCAGCGGCGACGTCAAGAGGCGCAGCGAGTCGTGTCCCCCCCCTTCTCTTTTCATGAAGCCCTCAATATGTAACGCTAAGCGGATCTATTCATGGAAGGGGCAAAAAAAGGTTCACTTTAGCATGCGCAGCGTCACCGCATCGCTGCGGCTGAAGCGCAATCGAAGCGCGACTGCAGCTGTGACCGAAGCACATTACGCTGGAAGGCTCCATCGCACTCTCTCCCTTCAGTCCTCTTTCCTTTCCTTCTCGTGTTTGCTTTCCAACAGAGCAGCAGAGGAAAGCAACATACGTCCGTCCGCCATACACATATCTGAGTGCGCCGACGTGCACACGTTCGCATAAGCACACACACACACACGCACCTTCAATCGGTTACGACCGTCTGACAGTTTTTTTTTCTTCCTATTCGAGAGCAATGGCGGAAGCTGCACGCACCACGCGGCACTACGTGAGCGACAGCCTGGCAGAACGGTACCCGTATGACGCAAAGAAAGCTTTCGCGGGTGCACGGCAGAGAGACACCGGGGCCGTCTTCAGCGGCTACGACGCGCTGGGCACCACCAACTTAATGAACAGTCTGACAGATCCTGTCGTGGACAGCGAAGGCAAGGCAAAGGCAGCGCATCACCTCTACAGCCGGTCTGCCTCCCAGGAGACAAAGATAGAGATGCTGCAGTACGGCATCGTGCCGCTGCTGGTGGCCACGCTGAACGGGGCGTCGGATATGCTGTTGATCCATCAGTGTCTGCTGCTGCTCCGTTCCCTGGCCGTAATCCCGCAGGGCTGTTACGCGTTGGTCTTCCAGGGCGCAATGCCACCCACAGTTAAGGCCCTCCACACCGCCGCCCCCACCGGGGCCGCTTCTGCAACGCAAGACGAAGCTGCGAATTGTCGCGTGGCAGCCGCACACGTCATTTATCAAGTCAGCAGCAACATGTCCGGGATGCGCTGGCTGCTGGGGCTGCCCCACGAGACTGCCGTCGCCGGTCTGAAAGCGGACTACAGTGTTGCACCTCTGCAGCCGGAAGAACTCATGCGCGAGGTAGTCGACGTCTTGGCGGAGGACCAGGGAAGAGACTCAGGCGCCACAACTATGGCCGGCCACCTTCTGCACGCACTGGCCCACCTGACGAGTCTTCCGCGTGGTGTAGCGGCGCTGCTCTCCTCCGCAACGGCGATTCGCACCATCTCGGCGTACCTCACGGAGCTTGTCTCGAGCAGCGCCTTTGCTTCTTCTTCGATGCGATCGGAGGTGGCACTGGGTGAGGCGGCGCTAGAAGTGATGTGGAACGTGGGGCTGGATCGGGCAGGTGAGGTGGCGCTCGAGGCCGCCGCCGTCCCGCCGCTTCTCTTCGACGTCTTCGCCGGCGTGTGTGGCGATGCGAGTGCGCCTGCGGTGTCGCTGCAGCGGCAGCTGACGGGTGCCCTCTCGGCGGTCTATCAGCTCACGTCTGTGAAGATGGCGAGCACAAGCCCGATGCTGCCCGCGGAGAAGGGAGGGGACAAGACGGGCACGCGTCTTGACGCCCTCCTTCAGTACCTGCGCCACTGGAACGACGTCATTGACACGGAGTACGCGAGGCGGGGCAGGGCCGCGCCAAACGGTGTCGCGGCCATCGTGAAGAACACCGTGCAGTGTATTCGGCTGGCGTCCGAGGTGAGGGCGGTGCGCGACGCCACCCACGCCTTCATCAACGAAAGGGAGCGCGTCGATGCCACGGAGGCGTTTCATCTGCGCCACCAACTGTACTTCCGCACCAAGTGGGAGGCGGAGTACGGCGCCAGCGTGGAAGTGTGAAGTGCTCTGTTTCCTCTGCGCGAAGGGCTTGGGCGGGCTGTTCTTGAGGTGGTTGTCCTCTTGTTCATGTACTACGACGTCACCGCCTTCTCTCTTGTTTCGCGTCTGGTGCGCTACCGATGTTTTACCCTTCTTTCCCTGTTTCGCTGCGATCGGCGTTGTGGCGCGCGAATGCTTCTGATGTATAATAGCGGCCACCTGTGCCCTTTACCCACGAAAACGGAACCCTTGAACTCGTAGTTGAGGCGTGTCCTTCTGTGGCGTGTGTGCATTTGTACTTCTTGATGGCTGCACTGGCACGTTCTTTGCTGAGATGGACGCGCTTTAGCGCCGTTGTACAGGCGCGAGTTGAACGGCAGCAAATACACAAAGAAACAGAAAGCTGCTGCTCACGTTATCTTCTGCCCCTCACTCTCCTCTTCACCCATCTCTCTTCCACCCTCCTTTTGTTCTCTAAATTCGACGCCGTCTACCATGAAGGTCACAGTAGAAGATAGCGTGAGGGCACAAAAATACCGACTCGCCTCAACGCTGTCCAACCAATCGACAAGAGCACCCCGACAAAAGAAAGAACATAGATCAGTAGAGAGTCGCAAACAACTCATACACCGGCCCCCTCCCCTCCGAAATAAAAGGCGTTAGAACTTCAAGCGGGCAGCAAACGGGGCAGCTTCGAAAGCGATGGGCTCACGCAACCAAAACGCCACCGCCGACGGCCACGTGGAGGCGGTGGGGCGCGTTTTCCAACAGGTTCACCAGAGCGCCGCCCACGCGCAGCGGTGCAGAAAAGAGCTGCTGAACCTTGGCAAAACGGACGCCGCCCAGCTGGCCCAAGACGTGAGTCAAGTCGTTCTGCTCGTTTTGCGGCAGGTGAGCCAAATCACAGCAGATGCGTTGCGCCGCCACTACGCCTTCTTGGTGGACCTGTGCAAGTCGTTTCGCGAGGCCTTCGACTCGGACGAGTTGGCCATCGCCATCCTCAAAGCTGTTGCTCCCTTTCACAACGCGATGGATAAGGCGGTGCGCCTCGCCGTCGTGTGCACCTTCGAGGCGCTGCTCAAGACGGTTGACCAGGCCAACGCTTCGGAAGAGCGGCAGGACTTTTATCAGGACATCGCCGAGTTGCTGAAGCAGCGGGTACACGATAAGTGCCCCCAGGTGCGTGCCAAAGCGGTCACCGGTGTCGCTGCGTTCCAGACCGGCAAGAAGGACTGCGACGTGACGCAGCAGCTCATTGCGCTGCTCTGCACCGACACCAACGCGGATGTGCGCAAGCAAATCTTGCACGCCATCGCGCCGCGCAAAGAGTTCTTGGAGGGCTACTTCCACGGCATGGTTCGGTGCACCCGCGACGTGGTGGCGCGCGTGCGGGCCGAGGCGTGGGACACGCTCGGCCGCTTCCCGTGGCGCTACCTGACGGCGTACGCGAATGCTAAGAACGTGAAGCTGCCGGAGATGCTGGCGGCGGGCCTGGACGACGCTAACGCGTCGGTCGTCATTGCGTGCCGCGCCGCCTTGACAAACGGTTGGGTGCACCGCGACTCCAAAGACGTCTGTGAGGACTTCTTGAACAGCATCGCCTGCGGCTTTGTCTTGCCCTCGCTCCAGCCGTACGAGCGCATCAGTGGGGAGCTGCTCACCTACGCCCAGAAGCGCAAAGCGGCGACGCACTTTCCGTTAAACTTTGCCGATATCAACACAGGCGGGTTGTTGATGTGGAAGGCGGACTGCCGCGTCTCCTGCGACACGGAGGGCGACGACGAGACGCAGCTGCTGCCCCCGCTGGAGCAGTTCGGCGCGATTCTACAGGACTCCGTTTACGCCTACGCGCGGCCCGAGGTGGAGCCTAAAACGGTCAAATTTCGCAACATCGAAGACGCGGACAACATGCTGCGCATCCTGCTCTCCGTCTTTGCCATCTACGACGACAATGGCTACCTGGCGCACGCCGACAACACCACGCGGGCCGCCCTGCTGCGCCTCATCAACTTTGTTCTGAAGGTGGTGCCGGACGAGGACCCGTCGCTGTTCGTCGACGTCGCCGTTTGCGCCCTCAAGTCGCTGGCAGCACGGACCCCGGAGGAGGCAACCAAGACGATCACCTCCGCGTTGGACTCCCTCTTTCGCAGCTTAAAGCTGCCGCAGCGCTACGCGCTGGGCTTCGATGACGTGGAGGCGATCGGCCGAAAGAGCCGCGAGCGACAGCAGGAGCTGGTGAAGCGAAAGGTACTGTGGCGCTCCGGTGAGTCGTCGGAGGAGCACTACACCGAGTTGAAGGAGGAGATGGACCGCGACGAGAAGTTTCTGCGGCGCATGCAGCTCATCGTCCTCGCCTTCCTCTCCCACTCGCAGCGCGGCGACGACGTTCCGATGTTCTGCTACCACATTATCCAAATGGGCCGCCACCTCGACCACGAAAAGGTGCGCGTGGCCGCGACGCAGTCGCTCTGTCTGCAGTGCCTCATCAACCCCGACAGCGTCCACACCTTCATGCCGCTCATCCTCGCGGACGCACAGGAAAACGCAAGCGGGTCCGACATGGAGCTCCCCATCGCGGCGATTGGCGTCGTGTTTGATTTGATCATGGAGTACGGGCTGCGTTTCTTCGACACGGCCAAGAGGGCGGGGCACGCCGGCGATGCCGCTGCCGCACCCGCCGCCGCCGCGGTGGTGTACAACACCGAGAACGAGGTAGAGGCCCGCCTGCACCACGAGCAGGAGTTGGCGGAGGAGGACGTGCACAAGGTCGGCAGCCGACGGCTGCTCAGCACGCTGCAGTCCTTTTTGCAAACTGGCAACGAGCCGAAGCACATCATCACGGCCTCGGGCTTCTGCAAGCTGCTCAGCTGCAATCGCCTGCCCTCCGACGCGGTGCTGCACGTCATCTCGATGCTGCTCGTCCACTACGCCGGTGCGCTGTCCGCCAAGAAGGACAACGACACCACCGCCGCCTACATGGTGGACTACCTGGGCACCTTCTTCCGCAGTTACGCAGCGAGTCACCCAAAGCGGCAGGAGCAGCTGTGCGAGGGCGGCCTCACCGCCTTCCGCGTGGTGCTGGAGCGCAACACCGCCATGGCGATGAAACTGCTGGAGTTCGTGGCGCGGCTGACGGACGCGTACACGCTGACGCTGATCCGCGACATCGACCCTCAGGCGGCGAAACGCGCTACTCGTGAAGCGACGGAAGAAGTGCTAGGGCAGGATGAGGACGCCAACCGCAAGAGCGCCAGAGCCAACGCGACGCGCTCGTCCATGCAGTCCGGCCGCCTCCTACGCGAGCTCAGCCGCAACTCCCTGCACGAGCGGCTTTCTGAGGGGCTGCTGCTAGAGCTGGCCCAGAACAGTCTCGCGGAGAGCCGGACGGTGTGCATGGACGGCCTGGAGAAGTGCATGTACTTCTACAGCAGGGAAGCGCAGCCCTTCTTGCTGCACTGCATTACGGAAGCGCTCACAGCTCTCAGTGCGCAGAGCGCGCAGGCCCTGCATGAGCGATTAGCGGCCTGGCAGACTGAGCTGCTTCAGCGTTACCCCTCCATGGTTTCTGCAGAGCAGCAGGTGGGCGATGCGGCAGTGGACGAGCTAAACCACCGGTGGGAGAGCGCAGCGCAGACGCGCAGCGAGCACCTCGACGCGATGCTGGAGGCGGGGTTTGGCGGATTCCCCTCCATCCCACCACAGCTCACCACCGCGGCTACTGCTGCCGGCGCAAAGGCAGAAGCAACGGAGGTGAAGCGCGAGCGCGACGCGGATTACTTCGACGTGGAGGCCATCGTGGGCTCGCGCAAGCGCAGAAAGTACTGAGTGGTCAGGAGCGACTCGTTCGTGTGAAAGAGAAGAAGGAAGGCAACTTCGGATGGGTTTTTTTTTTTGGGGGGGGGTTCTCCTGCTGCTGTGCAGAGCAGAACACAAACAAACGCAAACACGTTCAAATCCTGTCTGTATAGAGTTTATACATGTATAGAAGGAGAGTGCAGCGTTGGTCGTCACAGCGCGTTGACGGCTCATATCGCGCATTCTTCGTCTTATTCCAGAGAGATGTTCTCCCTTTTTTTTTGATTACATCGTTAGTTGTTATTATTAACATGATTTCTGCTTGTCTTGGGCTGCGTGGAGTCACGTTTCTGCCATTTAGATGCAACATCGCTAGAGAAAAGTTCCTTTTCTTCCCAAATGAAGCTGGCACTTCTGCGTTGACGGTGCGTTCAAGCCGCCCCGGTTTCCTCAGTTACGCCTCGGTGTAAAGAGAGAGGTTCACCACACACACAAAAGGACTGTTTTTGTCGGAGAGTGCAACGGCTGTGGACCCAAAACGCCTCTTTCTCCTTTCGCTTAAAAAAAGAAAAGGTCCTCCTCGTTTGCATGAACTCCTCTACTTGTATGTTGCCGCCTCCCTTCTGACGCGTCGCGGCGTTCGACAAGAGGAAAAGAAAAAGGCTGATGACAGCGTCAAAGGTATATTCTTGTCACTTGGAAAAGGTCGTTCGTCGATCGCATTTAAAAGATACGTACATAATAATTACACCCTTTCACATACGCATGCACGCTCGCACAGACGCAAATACATCATAGAGCTACATAAACTCGCGCAGCTTGTGGTCGCTGTGCGACACCGGTAGCGGTCCTCACATCACACCATATCATTTCATACAATCACAACTGCCCCCCCCCGAAGCAGAGAAAAAGGTAATGGCGGAAATCGTGGTGTCGGGCATTCCCGTTTCCTTCCCCTTTCCGCCCTATCCGGCGCAGGTGGAGTACATGCAGAGCGTCATCCAATGCCTCCAGACTGGCGCCAACGGCCTCCTCGAGTCGCCGACCGGCACCGGCAAGACACTGTGTTTGCTCTGCGGCACGTTAGGCTGGCTCGCCGCCTCTGCGCAGCCCACTGTTGTGCAGCACAATCGACGGTCATCGTCATCCCCTGCTGCCGGCGCCGATCGACGGCGCGCGGTGCCGCACAAGGTTGTCTACTGCAGCCGCACCCACGCCCAGCTGACCCAGGTCGTGCGAGAGCTGAAGCGCACCGCATACGGCGCGCGCTTCACCATGGCACTGCTTGGCTCGCGGGAGCACATGTGCGTCAACCGGGAAGTGACGCGACTGCCCTCGTCGCAGGCGCAGCAGGCGATGTGTGGGGCGCTGCGAACGGATCGCAACTGTCGCTTCTTCCGTGGCCTGCAGTCCGCTACGGCGGGGGCGTCGCTGCTGCCGGTGGAGTGCGCCGTGCACGACATGGAGGATTTGGTGCGAGAAGGACGCAAGAGCGGCTTCTGCCCGTACTACCACGAGCGCGACGCTGCAAAGGACGCGGACCTGGTCTTGATGCCGTACAACTACGTCCTCGATCCCTCGCTGCACAAGCAGCTTCCGTTTGACCTCGCGCACTGCATCCTCATTGTGGACGAGGCTCACAACTTGCCCTCGGTGCTGAGCAGTGCCGGCTGTTTAAGCCTGTCGCCGCTCGACGTGGCCACCGCCATTCACGACTGTTCGCGTGCCATGGCGATGCAGCGCGTGGTGGCGAAGAGGGAGGAGATGGAAGAAGAGAAGGTGGTCGCGGAGGAGCAGGAGGTGGCCTCGCTGAAGATTCTGCTGAGTCGCTTAGAGACGTGCTTGTATGAGGAGCCGATGGCGCCAAACAACGCGTCGAACGTCGCTGCTGCGGCAGCGGCCTCCTCCACGGATCCGTGCGACGTGGTGCGCGATGGCGCACACATCTTCGAGTTTCTCGAGAAAGCCCTCATCACACGCGACGTCTTCGGTGGGGAAGGAGAAGGCGCAAGCGGCTTCACCGGCTTATCTGGTGCCATGAGCAGGTGCGTGACGTTGCTGGTGGACAGCGAACGCCCAGCCACGAGCATCGTACGCGTGCAAGAATTTCTCACCGCCGTCTTCGCCAGCGATCCGCTGCGGTTAGACTCCACGCGGTTCGTGCTACAGCAGCACCTCGTCGCGGGCAAGAGGGCTCGCACACTGGGCTTCTGGGAGTTGGACAACACGTACCTGATGCGGCAGGTGGCGGCACCCCTGCACTCTATCTTACTTACCAGCGGCACGCTGTCACCATTAGATCAGTTTGCTGCGGAACTCGGGATGGCGTTCGAGGTGCAGCTGAGCGGCAGTCACGTGATCCAGCCCGATCAGGTGCTGGGCGGGGTGCTGTGCCGCGGCCCCAGCGGGCAGAAGCTGAACGGCGGCTTCGCCTTCCGCAGCAGCGTGGACTACCGCGTCGGCCTTGGCATGAGCCTCGTGAACATCACTCGCAACACCCCCGGCGGCACGCTGGTGTTCTTCCCGAGCTACGCCGCGATGAACTCGGCGGTGGACTTGTGGAGGGCGGGCAGCGGACGTGTCGGCGATACGAAGACGGTGTGGGGCCTGCTGTCGGAGCTGAAGCCCGTCTTTGTGGAGCCGAGCAACTCGAGTGACCTGCCCGCGATTGTGCAAGGGTTTCAGAAGGAGGTGGACACGTCTCCGCTGCGCGGTGCCATCCTGCTCGCCGTCTGCCGGGGCAAGATCAGCGAGGGCATCGACTTTGCGGACAACCACGGGCGTTGCGTGCTAGTGACCGGCATCCCGTACGCAAACCACACGGACCTCTTCGTCCGCCTGAAGCGTGACTACATCACGGCGGTGGCACCCACCCGGCCACTCGTGCACGGGAAGCCCTTCACGGGCGACGACTGGTACCGCAACGAGGCGATGCGGGCCGTAAATCAATGCATCGGTCGCGTCATCCGACACAAAGACGACTACGGCATCGTCATCTTTTGCGATGAGCGCTTTGAGAACGTGCTCGGCAGCATCTCGGACTGGGTGCGGCAGCGCACACGTGTCTTTCGCGACTTTCGTGGCGCCTACGCCGCCGTCGCGCAGTTCTTCGCCGGCTACCGGCAGCGCACCTCGGCGCTGGCAACAGCGGTGGCCGCGGTGCCCTACGTTGTCCTCCCGGACCCAGCAGCAGCAGCGGGTGTGGCGGACGTCCCTTCCTCTGCTATTCTGGCGAAGCACTTTGCGGAGGCGCAGGCGCAGCAGCGGGAGGAGCAGCAGCAGGACCACCGCCGTCGACGACTGGAGGAGGTGCGGGAGGCGAAGGCGAGCGCGGTGCCGGCGGCCGTGTCGTCGCCTCTCCCACCTCGTGCCCCCGCGCCGTTTGCTGCTAGCGGCGGCGGTGCATCGTATTCGGTTCTGGCGCCTCTCCCCTCCGCTGCGGCGCCACACCGAGTGAGGGCTCTTCTGTCCGTTGTTACACCACCCAACGCGGTGTGCGTAGACGACAGCGCTGCCGGGCCTCCCACGATCGGCTCAACCTCGAAGGAGTTCTGCGAGTTCGTCAAGGCACGCGTGCCCGGGGAGGTGTACAACCGCTTCAAAGTCGTCCTCGCTCAGCTGGCGGCACTGCGACCTGTGATGTCCGCCTCACCGTCCACCGCGGCTGAGCGGATGGAGGAGTTGCTGATCCCACTGCAGGCCATCTTTACCGCAACGGATGCGGTGCACTACCGCGTCATCTTTGCGGAGTTTGGCCGCCACATTCCGGAGGTCTTCCGACCGCTCTACGCCACTCTGCTGAAATCGCATCAGCTCACTTGAGCTGGTGTTGGCGCCATAAAACTGCGCTCTCACGCCTTCACTTCATTGTCCCTAACTGACACAGAAAGTCACCAATTCATATGAAACGAGAAACAATAAGTGCCTTTCCGATGTCTCCTTGTGCTTGTGATTGCGCGAGAAGCATCTTTGGGAAATCGCATATGAAAAACAAGAAGGCTAACGGCGCTGGCTCCATATGAAGAAGTGAACGAGTTGGCGTGCTCAACGGCTCTTGCAACTTGACAGCGACGACAAAGCTGCGACATGAAGCGCTCCTCTTACAACTGTTGTATCGCTCTTTCTTTTCGACCTTATTTTCACCTGTTTCACTCTTGTTTAGTTCTTCGGTTCGCATCAGTTTTTGCCGTTCTGTTGTCGCAGCCGCTTAGCCGCGGTGCAGCTGCTCTTTAAGAATCTCTTCGGACTCCTCTTCCTGGTTTATTTTTGTTAATGACTTTTCGTGTTCCATCTCCTTTACAATCTCTTCGTTTCTCCGTGCGTATCGTTGAACATATCTTTTCTCTTTTCTTTCTCTTTTGTATGTTTGTTTGCTTCATATTTAGTGTCTATTGAGCATAAACAAATCTATTTATATATCTCTTTTTCTCAGACGTGCACCTGTTGCGAGCGTGGGAAGACGGCATCGTACATCGTAGAACGGCCTTGCAACGGCTGCGCTGGGGGGTTTGGTTTGTGTTTGTGTTTCTCACCTGCAATACGCCGGCCTTTCTCAGACCGCTACGCTGAACTGTGCGTGGTTGAACCGCACAAACGTCCTTCTGGCGATCCGTGTGCCACCGCTGCGTAGAACTTACACGTTTTTCTTTTTATTTATTTTTTTTTGCCGGCGCGATAGCAAATCATCACGAGCGTGGGGTCTTCTTCTGCCGCTGTGCTGCGGTTTGGCTTGGTGATTGCTGTCTCTACCATCACGGTTCGCTCCGTCTGCCTAGCCTCGGTGAAGCAAGCAAACAAACAAAATGCACGCCGACGCCGATGCGGATGCGAACCGCATGAAGGATTATGAGGTGTTCGAACACATCGGCTCCGGCGCCTCCGGGGACGTGTACCGCGTCGTCTACAAACCCACCAATCGCACCTACGTATTAAAGAAGATGTCCCTCGCGAACATGAGCGACGAGGAGCAGCTGCGCGCCAAACAGGAGATTATCGTGATGGACGAAGTGGACCACCCCAACATCGTGAAGTTTCGTGAGAGCTTCAGCGATCCGGTCGACAACACCGTTGACATCGTGATGGAGTACTGCGAGTTTGGCACGTTAGAGGGCCTCATTGAGCGACAACGCTACGAGGGCCGTCCTTTTCCCACGGACGTGCTGCTGGAGTGGATGGCGGAGCTTCTTTGTGGGCTGGCGCACATCCACTCCAAGCGCATCCTGCATCGCGATTTGAAGTCGAGCAACATCTTTGTCACGTCGAAGAACCACCTCAAACTGGGCGACTTCGGTGTGTGCACTATATTGGCCTTCCCCAACGCGAAGGCGGAGAGCATGATCGGCACGCCGCTCTATTTCGCACCGGAGGTGTGCAACAACGACGCCTACGATGAGCGCAGCGACGTGTGGAGCCTTGGCGTGGTCTTTTACGAGATGTGCACCCTGCGTCGCCCCTTCGAGGGGGACAACTTGTTCAGCCTCATCCAGCAGATTTTGGACTCTGAAATAGCGCCGTTTAACAACGGTGTGCCGAGCGAGTTGGAGGGCTTGGTCCGCTTGATGCTCGACCGGGACCCGACGAGGCGACCGACAGCGCAGGAGCTCATCGACGTCCACCTGGAGGTGCCTCCGAGTCATCCGTCGCACCCTTCTCAGAAACCCTCGCGTGGACGCCTGTTACAGCAGTTTAGCGGGCCGGAGCTGCTTTACACGAAGCCGTGGCCGTCTCCGCCCGGTACGGTCGTGCCGGGAGCCTCGCCGAAGACGGCGACATCGAACAGCGTCACCAGCGAGTGGATTCAAACGAGCAACGCGGTCGACATTCTCATGGAACTCCAGCGGACCACGCACGGTATCTCGAACGGTAAGAAGGAGGAGGGTGCAACGGAGGCGGCAGCGGCGACGCCTGCCGCAAGGACTCCCGCACCAGCGGGCGCGTCCGCCTTTCCGCGATTGTCCGGCAGCGCGTCCAAAGCGAAGTCGGTGAAACCGGCGAAGAAGGTGGGCAGCACGCAGCCGCCCCCCACGACGAGTGTGATAAAGCATCCGCCCAGTCGCGCGAAAAAAGCCCCCTCAAAATCGCCCTCACCGAGGGTGGAGGAGGACCTGCTGAACGGCTCGAGCGCCTCCATCACGATGCGTGACCTGCAGCTGGACATCCAGCGACGACGGACGCAGATGTTTGGCGACGAGGCGAACCTACTTACAGATGAGGTCCCGGTGGTGATCGAGCTGCCAGGTGGCTCCTTCCCCCAGGCGCTGGACTCACTACGCAGCAGCAGCAAGGTCGAGGAGTCTACAGTGAGGGAGGCGTCATCGTTTTTGGCCGACATCGCAGCGGTGCTCGACAAGCACACGACGAATGGAAAGCACATTAACCTCGAGCACCTCGACGACGCTGCGTGCCTTCTGTCGCAGTACAAATTTCTCAACTACGGGCTCAAGTAGTCGTCGCTGCCGTGACTGTTCCCCTTTTCCGTTGTACGCCGATCGCCGTCTTTCGTGGGACACGGCGGCTGTTTCTGTCCGTTCCTTCGCTCTCCTCGTGGAGCCATTCTCTCTCTCTTTATATATTTTCTCTCGTTCGTTTACCAGTCACTTCAAAGACTGTTCGTGAAACTCCAGCGTTGAAGGCCCACAGCTCAGCTCTTGGACGTCTTCTTCTACAAACTATTTTCTCGCCTTTTTCGTGCTGCGTTCAGCAGACAGACACCCGCTATGGTCTCGTTCGCTTTATTATTATTATTATTATTATGATTATGATTATGACTATTAGATACTTCACGTGTTCGGTGACAGTTTCAACGAATACGTATCGCACCGGATCAGGTTTCATCGGTGACACAAAAGAGGAGCAACCATCCAAATTAAAGAGAAAACTCCCGTGAGATGCGGAGGGGAAGCCAGAAACATATTTATTAATCTGAAGTGTTGTGCGCGATAAGCGCATCCGCGCCTCTATTACGTGGTGCTGGAGAAGATAGGGCGTCTTTCACGGCGCTGAAGATGCAACAAGCAAAATAACGAGGAAGCTTGCAGTGGCCTCTTCATCTATTCCTTTGATGCTTCTCATTGTTTTTTCTCTCTTCCTTGCTGTTTTTTGTGACTTGAATCCTTTTTCTGATCTCACGTGTGTGTGTGTCACCTTCGTGTACCCTGCTGGCACGTGCACGCTACCGTTGTCCACGATGCGCAGCACGTTTGGCGCGCCTCAGCACATGTGCTTTACATTGAGCTGAAGGACCGAGGCATACCCGCTTTCTCATTTTTTTTTATTTCCGTTCTGTATTTATTCTTCTTATCATTCTGATACGACTACTCGCCGGCTGTAGCGCGGCTCGTGCAGCCGCCTCCGCATCTTTTCTTCGTATCTGGTTGCCAACCGATCTTTTCCCACCATGTCTATTATCATGCCAGGGTACCCCGTACCTCGCTCACTGTGGGCGACGTCGGGGGAGGCGTGCACCGCGTGCGGCAAGCGCTTTAGCTTCTTCACCTCCAAAGAAAACTGCTCCTGCTGCGGACGCCTCTTCTGCTCCTCCTGCCTTTCCGCGGAATGCACGCTGACACCGATGGGCATGCCTGTTGCAATTTGCCTGGAGTGCTTTCAGAAGATCCAGGACTGGCGCCGCAGCAACCGCGAGCAGCGCCGCGAAGCCAAATCGGCGTCACCTTCGCCCGCCGCCGGCAGCGCCTCTCCGCCTGTCAACCACACTGCGATCGAGGCGAAGCTGACCGCGCTTGAAGGTGACTTCGCGCGTGTGCAGGAAAGCGGGCGTCAGCTGCGCGGGGAGAACGACTCCCTGCGTGCGCTGCTCACCGCCAAGGACACGTACGTGGCGGAGTTGGCAGCGGGGCAGAAACAGGCCGATGCCGCCGCAGAGCAAGCGACGCACGAGGCGTCGCAGATGTCGCAACAACTGCGTGCGATGACGGCGGCGCGCGCAGACGCCACCAAGGACCTCGCCGAGGTGCAGGCGAAGCTCTCCGCCGCTGAAGAGGTGAACGGGTCCGTGATGGCGAAGATGAGCGCGCTGCTGGAGGCCAACAGAGAGCTGAAGGGGCAAACAGCAAGACTGCAAAATGAGGCCGCGGAACTCCGCGCAGACGCTGCGAAAGGCGCGGAGGAATTATCGCACCTCCGCAATTCAGTTGTCGAAGCCTCCGCGCGCAAATCGAAAGCGATGGACGACATAACGTCGCAGCTGCGGGCGGTGTCAGAGGAAAACGCGCAGCTCCGACAAGGCAGGGATGACGCCGCGGCTGCCGCGAGTAAAGCCGCTGCCGAACTCGAGAAGCTCCGTGAGTCGGCTCAGTCGTGGACGGAGGAGCGTAGCGCCTACGAGGAGGAAGTGAAGCGGCTACAGAGCGCTCTTGACGCTGCACAGAGAAGTGTGCGCACGCTGCAGGAGCAGCAGCAGCAGCAGCACACCGCCGTGGATGCAGCAAGCACCACCGCAGCTCAACTTACCGAACAGCAGCAACGAATTCATTCTCTCAGTGAGCAAATCAACCAGATGCGTGTGGCGGTCGACATCCTTCAAAAGGAGAAAACGGAAGCGGACGTCAACTACCAGAAAGAACGTGAGGCGAGGACAGACCTTGAGAGTCGCGTCGCGGCTTTATCGGAAGAGGCTACGCGCTTTGGAGATAAGGAACAGGAGTGGAATGTGCTGAAGGCACACAACGCAAAGAGAACGCTGAAGTTGGAGGCAGCCCTCGAACGTGCAGCCCGAGAGGCAGCGGACAGCGCGGAAAGACACCAGCACGCAACAAAGGACATGGAGGACGCAGTTGCCGCGCAGTTGGCCGACAAGCAGCACGCCGTCGACTCTCTCACCCACCAGCTGCGCACAACGGAGGGCACCCTGCACGCATTACAGGCGGAGATCGCGTCAACGCGACAGGAGGCCACCACCCTGCGCGAGCAACTCCGTGAGGCCGCACACGCAGGGGATGCGACGCTGAACGCCTCCCTCACCAAGGCAGCAGCAGAACTCGAAGAAACGCGGCTGCTGCTGAGGCGGAAGGAGGCGTCCGAAGCGGAGTTGCGCTCACTTCTGGCGGACAGACAACACGCGTTGGAAGCGGTGCAACGCGTGCAGATTACGGCTGCCGCAGAAGCAAAAGAGGAAATCCACGCTCTGCGGCAGCAATGCACCGCTGCACGAGCGACGTACGAGGCGGAACGACAGGAGTGGCAGACGTCGCTGGCGGAGCTGCGCACGGCGCAGGGACTGCTGGAGAAGCAGCGCGATGCGGAAGCCAAAAACGGCGTATCCAATCTCGTTCCTCCGTCAGATGCAGCGGCGGCAAAGTCGGATCGCAGAGGTTCCCGCTGGGCGCGGCCGACGCGGGTGAAAGCAGTGGAGTATTTACTCGGCAACCGCTCCTACGAGGGCATCCCGGCTGTCAAAGGACTCGATAGGTGGGACTTTGACATGAAAGCCGAGGCGGCGCGCGCTGATGTGCCGGACGTGCTCGTGCGCACTGGCTACCAAATCGCACTGGATTGGTTGCTCTTCCCAAACACGGCCTCACTGTTGCAGTGGGTGAACCTGTTAGACACCGTGCAGGCGAACTACTGCGCCAACCCCTACCACAACCGGGTGCACGCAGCGAGCGTGCTGCAGGGCGTGTACGCGTTAGTGCTGCAGTGTCCTGGCCTTGTGGAGCACATGACGACGATGGAGAAGCGTGCCATCGTCTTCGCGGCCGCGGTGCACGACGTCCGCCACCCGGGTCGCACAGAGGTGTTTCTCAAAAGCACCTTCGACGCCACCTACCTGCGCTACAACGGGTGCCGGGTGCTGGAGCAGATGCACACGTCCACCGCCTTTGAGATGCTGGGTCACCCAGAGCTGGACTTCACGCAGAGCGACATGGACGACGCCGAGGCGCTGCACTTCCACTCACTCGTTGCAGACCTCATCGCTGCCACCTTCATGGGCAGCCACGCCGCCTTGATGCACACGTGGTCCCGCCCGTTGCGCGAAGGGGGCGGAGGTGGTGCTTATGATTTCACGCAGGAGAGCGACCGTCACACGGTGCTGGCGATGCTGCTGCACGCTGTCGACATCGGTGCGCAGGCCCGCGGTGTCGACGTGGCGCTGAAGTGGCTCGACGTGGTGGAGGAGATGTACCAGCAGGGCGACGAGGAGGCCGCCTTGGGACTCCCCGTCTGCCCAGGCAACGACAGAGGCGGCGACCTGGTAAAGGGCCAACTCTTCTTTATGGAGGCGTTCGCCATCCCCGTCTTCGACCTCATTCATCAGTTTTTTCCCCCCGTTGAGGCGCCGCTGACAAACCTGCGCGCGCTGCACGCCTATTACAGCGATGCGTTGCACGAGACGCCGCCGCGCCCCTTCCCGCCCCCGGTGCAGTACGACGCGGAGGCGGCGCAGGTGAAGGCCGTCACGGCAGCCGCCGCCGAGCGCGACGCAGCAGCCGCCACGCGCGAGGCGAGAATCAGCAAGCGAGAAAAGACGGTAGAGCAGGCGGTGCAGCGACTTCGCCAGGCCACCGCCGCCGTTGCGCAGCGGGAGGCGCAGCTGACGAAGAAGGAGACCCAACTGGCCGCCCAGCTGTCGGATGTGGAGTCGAAGTCGCATGTGCTGAACTCCACCGACGCATCGATGCAGACTGAGAAGGAGCTGCTGCGGGCTACGAATGCCGTCGTCCAGCGCGAGGAGGCGATGCAGCGCAAGGCGGCGGAGTTGGAGGCGATGACGTCGGAGCTGGAGCAGCGCGAGGCGGTGTCCTCACAGCTGTCGAGTCAGCTCGCCGCCATCGCAGAGCAGGTGAGCCGGCGCCGTCAGCTGCTGCGGTACCGCGAGGCGCAGCTGCGTGCGAGGGAAACGGGGCTGCACGACAACATTGTGAGAGAGGATCGTGTTGGCGTCAACGCCTTCAGCGCAGAATTGAAAAGATCGACGCCGTCATCACAACATCAAGCTTCTCTCTCCCTTCATCGTAGTGCAGAGCTAAATAAGCTGCAGAGCGCCATGGAGAAGTTGACCTCTGCTATGAGCTTTATCTGACCCCTTTTTTTCCGTTGTATCGAAAATAGTATATATAAAAATATATATATTCAGAGACACGAGTGCCCATTCCGTGGTACTTGTGTGACGCTTCGTTCTTGTGAAAGGTGTGCGCGCGCGTTGACGGGCACCGCCTGTACATTTCGCTTCTTCCTGTTGGCCTTCCTCGTTGCGTCCCGACAAATCATCTACAACTCAACTTTGCGGAAAAAGTGCAAAGAGCGCTGTCGGGTGTCTCTCGGACCTGAAGAAAAGCACGAACCCTCTTTTGTCGTTGCTCCTGTCCTTCCAGGCTTGAAAGGGACGTAGGCCACGAATGAGCGAGCGGGTTTGTCTGCGTGACGCCGTCATCGCTGTTCGTTTTCTTCCGGTTTTACGAAGGCCTCACACCTATCTTACAACGCGTTGCTCCGTTCCTCCCCATCGTTCCTCTTCTGGCCAACCCACCTAAACGCACGCTATTCTGATACTCCACCGCATAGCAGCTTTATCGCCGTCTCACACCGTCGTCTTGAAAAGACGTTGCGGCTCTGCTCTAACGCTCACCTCTAATCGCTGTTCCTTACTTAATCTTTTATTTCTAGTATATCTCTTCTTCTGCTATCGCTTGTCACCATGGATGCCGATCGCAAAGCAGACAAGACGTCTGGCACCCCCAGCAAGTCAGAGGCGGCAGTGAAGGGCGCGAAGCCGTCGGTGGCGGTCCCTGCTGGTGGTGCTGGCGGCGGTGGGACCCCCGCCTATGCCGGTGCAGACGGCGTGCCCTTGTCGCAGCCGATGCCGATGCCGGCCCCGATGATGCCCTACTACGGTCAGTACGCCGCGATGTACGCCATGCCGCCCGGTGCGGGCCCGATGGGCTTCCCGATGCAGCCGCCACCGAACGGAGGCGCGCCGCCCATGTGGATGCCGGGGATGGTCCCCGTCCCACCGCAGGCCGGCAGCCCGAGCCAGCCGATGGCGGCGCAGCCCTACGCAGCCCCCTACGGTGCCGGTGCCCAGCCGCTCATGTACGTGCCGATGCCCTACAGCTATCCGCCGTACATGTCCGGGCCGTCTCCCGCAACGATGGGGACCCCTTTCCACGGACAGCCGGTGAAGTCACCGGGGCAAGGCGCCGCCCCGCCGTACGGTGCCGTTGCTGCGGGTGCCGCCGTGGCTGCCCACCCGCACCCCGCCCCCACGGAGCCGGCCATCATTTCTCCGCCCTCGGTGCCCTCTCCTGTGAGCCCGAGCGCCGCCGCTACCGCTGCCGCGGCTGCCGCACCGGCGGTGACCCCCATCGAGTACGTCGTGATGCCGCTGATGCCGAACACGATGCTGCCCCCGGGCGATCCCTTCTGCCCTGCTGGAGTGACGGTGTCGTCGCAGTACGCCGTCTCGTCGCTGCCCATCCGCACCTCCGCCGTGCCGGATCGCGCGCTGACGAACGGCGTCCATAAGCCTGTGAACCCTGCCCCGTCTACCGCGAAGCCAGAGACGACAACGTCGCCTGCGTCTGCGACGACCGCGGCTGCAGCCCCAGCCACCGCTTAAGCTGCCGCGTCACTCTTTTTTTTTGTCGGATAATGAATCGTGTAGCTGGAGTAACTGCTGCGCAGATGTGCATGCCGGTGCACGCAGTGATCGGTGCGATTGTCCTCTTGCCGAGGCACGCGTTAAGAAGCCACTGTTTTTCTCTCCTTGGGTAATTTGGGTTCACCACCTTCCGTCAAAAAGAACAAGAAGAAAAGCTATGCATGCGTGAAGCTACGGCGGACTGGCGAAAAGCCTCAAGTGGAGCAGCACTGCGCACTCTGTAAGCACAAGATCTCTAACGAATAGGAGGCATTTGGGTGCGTTGACGGGGAAAAACGAAAACTCCAAAGCTACGTTTGTTTTCTCGAAATCAGCAGCACTACTCAGTAAGGCTGAGGCTTTCTACTGAAACGTCCTTCACTCCGTTAAATCGACAAAAATAATCCTCTCTTCATTCCGTTGTCTCCTTCTTTGTTGTTGTTGTGTGCGTTAGTGGAATGGGATGTGGGCTTCAAGAGTGGCGCGTACGTTGCGCGTGACGGCGTGTCGCCGCTCTTCGATCTTTTTCGAGCTCTACGGCCGCGCGCCAGAGCCGCCGCCGGCGGAGAAGAAGGAGGGCACGAAGCCGGCGTTGTCGTGCAGCACATCCGTCGACGAAACAGAGTGGGCGACGTGCCGCACGATGCTGCAGCGCTTTCACGCTCAGTTGTACATCAGTCCCCGTCACGTTCCCATCGAGCTCCCCCGCGACACGCTGACGTCCCTCGCGGCCGTTCTGACGACGTCGGCGCGGCGCCGCAGCGGCGCCGCGAGCACATTCTGGAAAGATGCTCTGGAGCTGCGTGCGCACACACCTGCGCTGGACGTTGCGGCTGCCGCCGACACGGCGACCGTCCTCCTTTTTTCAGAGAAGGCAGCACTGGGCTACGAGACGTGTATGGGGCTTCTACACGACACGAGCTTCCGTCAGCATCTCGAGACGGCGTTGGCGGTGGAAGACACACTCCGCTTTCTGAGCGTCTTTGTGATGTGCGGGGCGGCGGACACCAGACGCTACGTGCCGGCAGAGCTGCTACCTGTTTATGAGGCGGTGCTCCACAACGCAAAGCACACGATTGCGAGCACGGAGAAGTCGAAACGGTCTGGTCCGGCGCACGCCGTGGAGGTGCTGGCGTGGTCCTTGGATTGGCTCTACGGAAACACGACCGATGGTGCCACCGAAGGGCTTCAACGCTTGCGGCCGCTCTTCCCACCGTGGCTGCCGTTTTTGTTTGAACCCTATGACCCCTCAGCGGCGAAGGAAGCATTTTCCTCATCTTTGACATCGCTGTCCCCCCGATGGCTGGACGAGATGGCGCGGCGTGCTGGCGACGAGGGCGATCATCCAAGCGTGGAGAAGGTGCTGCGACAGGCGCAGCGGCGCGAGAGCACGACGCCCCTCTACCGCCTCTTTCAACTCTCCGCGCTCGTGGCGGGCACTTTCGTGCGCTGCTTTCCTCACCTGCCCGTCTCTACGCAGGCGGTCGAGACGTACGGGACGGCGCTGCACTGCGATGCGCTGCGCCGCTTTGGCACTACAAAGGACGGCCTCGACAAAGCCGTCGGCCTCCTCACGTCGATGTCGGGGGCGGAGCCCTACTTTGAGCTGCGGCATGTGATGCGCCAGCAGTCGGCCGAGACGGCAGCCACAACTCAAGAGACGGCAGGAGACGTGCTGACGGGCAATCCGCAGCTGAACTGGAGCACAGCCCTCGCCTTCACGATGCACGAAGCGGAAAGCGGCAACCCTCACTGGCGCCGGTACCTCCCCGAGACGCTGCGCCTCCTCAGCGATGCCGGCAAGGCCGCTCCGTTTTGGAAGTTGCTGCAGGAGTACAACGCCGGCGACGGCGCAGCGAACTTGTCGGTGGCGGCCTCGCTTGCGCAGATGACGCAGCGCAGCGGGAAGTGGTGGCATGCGATGGAGGTGCTGGACCTCGTGGCCGGCGCGCCGCCGCCGCGTACTGCCACCGAGGTGTCCCTTCTCGTCTCTGCCTGCACCGACGCATTACGCGCTCCACTGCACAGCAAACGCTGGCAGGAGGCACTGGAGGTGTTCGCGTTGGTGGGGGATGCGGTGCCCGCGCGAGAGACTGCGGTGGTGTCGCAGCTGCTCATGAGCCTGCCTGCGGGCGCGCCGTGGGAGTCGACGCTTCAGCTGGCGAAGGCAAAAGGCTTTGCGGTGCACGACACGGAGGTGCTGCTGCGGGTGCTGCACGACAGCGGGGTATCGCAGCAGCAGCTCTCCCACCCACAGCAGCGAGTTCTCGCGTCGGTCGCTGCGCAGCGTGGTCGGTGGGATGTCATGCGTACCCTGGTGGAGCACAATCCCGGTGATGCGCCGATGTGGCGTAGGCTGCTGCAGGCACTGGAGTGCTGTGCGGACGCCGTGGACGACGCCGCTGGATCGTTTTTGCTGTCTACCCTCCCGGCGACGCTCTCGCTGGACGCCCGCGTCTTTTGCGCGGTGGCACAACTCTGCCTGCAGCACGGCTGGCACCGAACGCTCGCCTCCTACTTGCGTACCGCCGACCCCTCCTCCGCTTCGTCACGTACAAGCGCGCTGCTCTCCAGTCTGAGAAAGGAGTACCAGTACCTGCTCGACTACGTCCAGACAGGCGTTCGACCGCCCCTGACGTACGTCTTCACCGATTCCTACGTCGTTCATCAGTTTATTGCCTGCGTGGCGGCGCGACACGTGGCGGTGGTGGCCATGCTGCCCGACGAAGCGTCTGTCTCGAAGAAGCGGGCCGCAGCCTACCTGCGAGTGCCGCACGAAAATCTCGGCACTCTGCACCACTCAAACACCGCTCAGACGCCTACTTCTCCCTCTTCGTCGGTTAAGGTGTACGCGACGGCGGCGAGCGCGTTTGCGCTGAAGCACGTGCTGCACGTCAGCGCCGATGGTTTCCTGTTTGGGTACAAAGTCCCTGGTGCGTCCCTCTTTGCATCCGCTCGTGGTATGTTACAGACGCTGAAGCTGCCCGGCATCTACCTGCTAGCCTACAACATGTCTGCCGCCAGCAGCGGTGTGTTTGTGCTGCACCCTGCCACCACATCACTTCGACGGTACGTCTTCACCCTCAACGTGCGCTTGTGCCTGGCAAACCTCGCGGATGCCCCGTTTGTGCCACTTCTGGCGACGACGTTTTTCAAACGCTACAACGTTGTGTGGCATGGCGGGTCCCACGAGCGCCATGAGGTGGAAGCGGAGGTGTTGGTGGAGCACGGGTTCGAGGTAAAGATGGTGCTGCGAACACTGAAGAAGGACATCAACGCGGAAGGCTGGGGACTTGTGGAGACAGAGCCCGGGGCGGGCGATCTCTATCACGTTGCCCAAGTACGGTGCGCTGCTCGTTCGGTGGAAGGGCAGATCCTCGACCCTCAAGTCGTCACATGCGGGAAGCGAAATTTGCAGCCGATGAACGCCGACGCCGACGCGGTGTCGTGGATGGACGAGGCGTTAAAAATATGATGAGTGTAAGTGGATTTTTTCAAGGCTCTCATCACTGTCTTCACATCTGTTTTCTGGTTGTATCGACAACGCTCACTAATCCGTTAGAGAAGGTAACACGATTAAAAGGAAAAAAGATTGCAAGCAAAGGCGCAAACCGATGTCGCGCAATGCAGCCCACAGTGAATGAATTAAACGAATATACCGCACCCGTCAACGCGGAGTGCACGCGTGAAATCGGCACGTTCGGTGGTGGGCGTGCGGCTCGATTTCAACGCCCGCATGTGTCGGTGCGTTTCTGGCTCCTCGCCCCTGTGGCTTCATCATCGCTCTTCTTCTTGCCTCTCCTTGCGGTTACTGCCGAAGTCTCATATAGTCACTTACCGGTCGAAGCAAAAGACATTAGCGGAAGCCTCCAGAAGAGTTTGACCATTATTTATTGTTGCTACTATGGCGTCGCGCATCATTGTTGTGGGCAACCAAAGCGGCGCCGACGCGCCGACGCTGACCGCCGCGCTGGCCTGCGCAGCCCCAGGCGACACCGTCGTTGTCTCGCCCGGCGTGTACGAAGAAACGGTGCACCTCGGCGTCGACGTTACGGTCATGTCCGCCTCGCCAGCTGACGATGAAGCGGAGGAGGGCAGCAGCGGAGAGGTGGTGCGGGCAACCGTGCGAGGCCCCATTGTGGTGTCTGCCAACGCGAGGCTGGAGAACATGGAGGTGCACGGTATGGTCAGCGTGCGGAAGGGCCACGCGACTCTGGAGCGGTGCGAGATCCACCACGGCACCGACGGCGTCCGCGCCTACGCCGGCACCACCGTCGAGGTACGCAGCTGCCGCATCCACGACTGCGCGGCCGGGGGTGACGGGGTGTACTTCATGAGTGGCGCCGCAGGGGTGGTGTCGGACACCGACGTCTACGACTGTCGTGTCCACGGCGTTCATGTGCGAGGCAGCTCCGTTGCCCTGCAGGGCAACCGCATCCGGGACTGCACCTTTGGCATATACTACGAAATGTCTGCCTCGGGGAGCTGCGAGGGCAACACGGTGGAGCACGCGCGCCGCTTCGGCATTGTCGTCGCAGACGCCAGCAGCCCCTCCGTGACGCGCAACTCGGTGCGGGAGTGCGGCCTCCTCTGCCTCTACGTCTCGAGCGGCGGAACGGGGTTCTGCAGTCAGAACACCTTCGACGGCTCCGTCCACATCCTGTCCAACTGCCCCATCCAACTCTCGGGCAACAGAATCAGCGGCATGGCAGACGTCGACCCGGCTGATGTTGGAGAAATAGCGGCAATCTAACACACACACATACACACAAACATACATGTTCTGTTTTATTATTTGCGTGCTTGTTTGTTTTTTGCCGTTCCCCACGATGTACATCAATTGCGTGCGGTTTGTCTGTGTTTTTCAAGACGCCACGTCTTTTATTTATTTGTTTTTCTGATCCGCCGTCGCGTTTGTGCAGCGGTACGTGACGCACGGCGTTGGTGGCTTGTTATCTCTCTCTCTCTGTTCTCTAGCGTGCTTGCTCACGCCTTCCACCACTGACAACGCAGCTTGAAATGCACCCACAAATACCACCGAAGAATTGGTAACTCTCACGCCGCTATCGTGTGGCGCTGATGCCACTCCGTACGTCTCGTAAACGCAAATCAAGACCTACCGCTAACTCTAGTAACAAGGTGTCGCAGCCAAGAAAGGAAGATCATATGCGACCCAGGTGCTGCAGCCCCTTGTGGCCACCATGAGGCGGTCCCCAAATGTGAAGGGGAGCACCTGGGACTGCTCTTAGCTCTGCTGCTAAGTGCACTGGCCAAACACACACCCCGCTTTGCCTGTCGGCTCTGTGCAGCCGTACACTATCTCCCACCCACCCCCTCCTTCACTGCTGTGGTATTAATTTTTTTTTTTCTCAAGGCAGAGCTGCTCCTCGTGAAAGGCGAAGCACATGCCTCGTTATTATTTTCCCTCTCATCAAAAGGCAAACCCTTCTAGCTCATTGACGGGAATCCATCCCCCATTATCGCTGCGGCTCAGAAACGCACTGCGGTCAGACGGTCCCTTTTACCCACCACCCAAGAGCCGTCTCTTGTTTTTTGAAGCGGAGGTGGTTTGGACACCTTTTAAAAATTTTCTCCCTTCGTTCTCCATAGATAGATAACATCGGTTACTTACGCGTTTGCGGCGTTTGTTTCGCAAAAATGATGTATATGAGTGAGTTCGAGGATGGCAGGGAGGAGGCGCGGAATGCGAGCTGCTGCACCGTGCCGATGAGCCGGCTGACAAACGAGATGAGCGAAATCAAAGAGATCGCGGAGGGCTCCTTCGGCGTGGTGACGTCCTACCGCCACGACTTCGACGCGAACGAGTACGCCGTGAAGCAGACGAAGCGCACCATCTGCGGGGAGTCAAACTTGCAGCAGCAACTGCAGGAAATGTACGCGCTCAGCTCCCTTCCGCACCGGCACATCGTTCGCTACTTCGATGGGTGGGTGGAGGACAGCGCGGTGTTCGTGCGCATCGAAAAGCTGGACGTCTGCGTTGCCACCCTCCCGCGGCCTGTGAAGGAGAGCGTGCTGCGTGGCATGCTGCATCAGATCGCATCGGCCCTTTACGAGCTACACTCACACAACGTAGTGCACATGGATGTGAAGCCGGAGAACATCTTGAAGCGGCAGCTGAACGATGACGAGTACATTTTCAAGCTGTGCGACTTCGGGCTCGCTCGCCCCATCAACGCGAAGGAGATGCCGACAGGGGAGAAGTTTGTTGGCCTGAACGACGATGACGGTGACCGCCGCTATATGAGCCCAGAGCTGCTGACAAACTTGCACGACGTCGTCGGCACGCTGGCGGACATCTACTCCCTGGGGAAGAGCTGCGAGGCCATGATGACGCACTCGCCAGAGGAAGGGGTGAGTGGCAACGGCGGCCAGCGGCAGGGCGAAGCCTACTCGACGTCGTTTGTTTCCCTCGTGCAGTCGATGGTGGCGGAGGATCCGCGGCGTCGGCCGACGGCGTTTGAGGTGGTGCAGGCGACGCTGCCGGAGCACCTCAAGGACAACGCAAAACTGCTGTCGATGCAGCGGGAGATTGATGCGCTGCGCGCGCAACTCGCAGAGGAGGAGAGGTCGGATAGCGAAGACAACCTCTCCAGATGTGGAAAAACCGAGGAAAGAAGTCTCTGCAGCTTTTAGCTCTGCTTTTCCCAAAGGTTGTGCTCGTCAGCGCTACCTTATGGCGTTTTTCTTCACCCATTTGGCGTGGGAGGTGCTGGTAGGGAACGGCGTTGTTCTCTCATTTGGGTTTTCCTTCCTTGTCGCCTTTTCCGTTTTCCCGCTTTCCATCGATCGATCCACTGCTCCCTGCACGCACATGTACATATATACACGTATATCTCCTCCTCACGTTTTTCCCCTGTTTTTCTGTCCTTGATCGCCCCTCCGCTCAGTAAGCCGAGTATCTGTGAAGCGACGGATAACTGGTGTGTAGGGCCACGCACGTGTCAGTCAGCAACCGCTGGTGCGACTCACCTGCTCCGACCGCGACTCTCTTCGGTCCTTCCAGTATTCGAACGTTGTCGATCTATTACATGAGAAAAAGAAACTCCTGACCTCCTGCAACTGTGGCGTGGCAAGTTCGAAGTGCAACGTGTGCTTTCGACGCCCCCCGGCGTAGGTGGCCGACCAAAGGCGAGCGCCTGCCTTTACGGAATGCCGTCCAGCCGCAAGGGACGCCTGCCGGGGCAGAAAAGAGCCATGCCTTCCACGCACAAGTCCTGTCTTCATCCGATCTTTCCCCTTCTGCTCCTCCGTCTTCTCCGTCTTTCACGCCTACATTTTTTTTTCTTGCCTCCCACGCTTGCTATTCCGCTGAATGCACGTCCGCACAAGCACCCCTAGTCACCGGTACGAGAGATCTCCCCCTTCTTTTCTTTTTCTTTTTTTCGTTTCTTTAAAGTAAAGCGATCCGCGTGGCAGTGAACAGAGGGAGGTTGTGATGGCTCACCCCGACGACAATGAGCGCTACGCAGAGTGCCAGGGCTACCGTTATATCTTAATGACGCTGCCTCACTTCCGGACCTTTCGCGCGTTAGCTCTCTCCAACGACCAGGCGTGGACGACGCACTACTCGGATGATGTGCTTCGTGTCGAGTCAAAGCCGCCAGGGGACGCCTCCACGAGTCTGAACATTATCCGCGCCACCCGCACCATGCCGAACGTGCCCCCCTTAGTGTTGTACAACCAACTGCACGATGCGCAGTACCGTGCCACGTGGGACAACAACATGATCGAGGGGTACAACATAACCCAGCTTGACGCGCACAACGATATCGGCTACTACTCGGCGAAGTTCCCGTGGCCGCTGAGCAACCGCGACTTCTGCAACCAGCGGTCGTGGATGGAGTTCACCAACGGCGAGTACCTCATTTTCAACCACTCCGAGCCGCACCCCGACTGCCCGGAGAAGAAGGGCTTCGTGCGAGCGCGCTCCATTCTCACTGGATTCTACATTCGGCCCAGCTCCACCGGCAGCGGGACGCAGTTGATTTACGTCACGCAGAGCGACCCGCGCGGCGCCATCCCACACAGCATCATCAACTTCGCCATGACGAAAGGTGCCCGAATGATTTTGGACAAATGTGAAAAGTACTCGGAGGAGTACCCGGCCTACGCCGCGAAGACGTACGCCGCCGACCACGTCTACGCGTGGCGCACGCCCAAGATGGACTGGGACAGTCCCTATCTGTACCCCGAGGAGGTGCCCACCAGCAGCGGCGCACCGCCACCGGCTGTCAAGCACGCCAAGGCGGAGGCGCGCGAGGAAAACAGCGCGGAGGGGCTCTACGAAGCAGCAGCCACAGAAAACCCGGAGCCTTTTCTTTCCGACGCAGCGTCACCATCCGGCACAGCGCTGCCACTGGCCGGCGTTGCACCCTACCGCATCACGGACGTGCTCTCCGTGCAGCAGTATCGCTCAATCATGCAGGACGCGATGAACGCGGTTGACCGATCTTTTCTTCGCGAAGGCCGTGTACCAACGACGAAGGAGTATATTCTGCGGCTGAAATATATAGTTGAGGGCATTCGCCAAACAACCGTTGACGTATAAAACAAGCAATTCCATTAATTATTTTTGTTTTTAATAGAAGGACTTAACGTGTTGCTGCGGCGCTGCGCTCTTCTGTGTCACTCTTCAAAGCTCCTGGCCTGCTTCACGTGCGCGTTTCGCGCCGAGCGTTTTGCTTTGCTTTTCACGACTCAATTACACTCTTTTGAAGTGTTACTTTTGTTGATGCTTTACGTTGTCTGTCTTGGCGAGTTTTCAGAGATGCCTTTCGCTGCTACTGCTGTGTTGGGCCGGTGCGTGTAGGGTGTGTACCCTCCGCCCTCGCTCTTGCTGCCATCGTTCTGCCTTTAAACCTGTTGATGTTTCTAAATTTGTTATTTTACGCTGTTATTTCTTTAGCCGGTGTGCATTCCCGCTTCAGTGCAGGAGACGGAGAACAACGACGAAGAAACGAACCAAAAACATTTTCCCGAACCGGTGTGCTTCTCCTGCGACGGAGACCGCGGCGGCAAGGTGGCGGCATCGGTGCGCTTCGGGTGTCCTGTGGGCGCACCTTTCAGCGGCCGCTTTGGTGGGCACGGAGAGCTTTTTGTTTCGGGCCCAAAAGTGAGGTGATCCCACGTTTGCAGCGCGACCCGTGTTGATACCCCCAGAAGCGCATTGCGGGCTGCTCTGTAACTGGGCTGTTTGCAGTAGGGAGGTGCGTCGGCGCATGGGACGGCGTGTGCTGTTGCGGACTTTCAGTGTCGTCCGCATTTCTCTTTTGTCTCTCTATATCGTTCGCGCTGTTATTCCTCTTGCTCTGCCTTTGTTCCTCCTTCCCCCGCCTCTATGCAGGCGCTACTACAGTGTAGTGCGACGACAACGACTGCACCAACGCTTCCGCGTGTTCCGTGATTGAGCTCGGCGCAGCAGCACCTCCATGCCGGCCGCAACTCGCCTGACACACCCGCCACTTTTTCGTTTCACGTTTCACTGCAGAAGCAAAAACAGCTCACAGAAATCGACTAGAAAACTCAACCGAAGCTGCAGAGTCATGGAGACGACGTACATTGTGGACTGCGGCCACCACACCATCAAGTACGCGGGGCTCTCCAAGCGCAGCAAGCGCACCGTCGAGGTCCTTGTGAAGGAACGCCGAAGTGAGTGCAACGCCTACGTGGCGGACGACGAGCGTCTGCGCCAGAGCGTGCCGCAGCTGCTCAGCGGGGAGCTGCGCACCGATGAAGAGTTGACGTTGATGCTTCTGTTGGACACCTTCGCCTCGCAGAAGTCAAAGGCATCCCTGCTGTACTCCTGCTTTGAGCAATTCGGGTGCAAGAAAGTCTGTCTGCACTACACCGCCTGCACAGGCCTCTACGCCGCGGGCGAGACGTCCGGCGTAGTGGTGGACATCGGGTACGCCGGTGTGCAGCTCAGCTCCGTGTACAAGGGCGTGGTGCAGACCGCGCTGTCGTCGCGGCTCACCTCACTCGGCACCCGAAGCCTCGACTGCGAGCTGCACAGATTGCTCCGCAGTGACGTCACGGAGGAGGCGCTGCACCGCATCAAGGCGCAGTGCTGCTCCCTGACGGAGCGGGAGGAGCCCCAGCCCGATCTCACCCTGCCCGATGGCACCGTCTTCCCAAGCAAAGGGTTGAAGCGGTCGGAGCTGCACAGGGCCAGCAACGCGCTGCTTTTTTCCACGACGTCGTCCGTCCCCGACAGCATGCGGCTCATCTTTCAGAAGCACTCCATTCGCTACCCCGACTCCACCTCGTGGTTGCGACTGGGTGGGGGATCGCAGATTGATGGGGTAGAGGAAGTCCTCGGCTCGGCCATGGCGCATCCCCTCTGCCGCCACACCCCGAAGGAGCTTCATTTGAAAGACGCCACGCATGGGCCGGTCAGCGGTGGCATCATTCTTTCTCAGCTGAATGTATTTAAGGGCATGTGTGTCGGTGCTGGTGATTACGAGGAGTACGGGCCGGATGGATGCGTTCGCATGCAAGTGGTGGACGCCAGATGATGCATGCACGCCGCGCGTGACCTTCCCTTTTCTTTTCGTTGTGGCGTTGGTGTTCCTTCGTAGGTTGGACGTGATGGTGGTGCTGCTTCTCCAAGGGCAATTTTCAGAATCCACAAATTGATAGTAAAAGGAGGCGGTGTGTTGTTTGTTAGTGTTGCTGCAGAACTCGCATGCCTGCGCTCCTTACGATAGAGTGAAGCGCTCATGTAGTGGGAAGGAGCGCAATCGATCAGGCAAGCTCTTTTCCCTTCCGCTATTCAACATCATGATCCTCTCTTTGGCATGCGTCACCTTCTTTTCGGTATTTGTCTGTTTTGTGATGCGTGCACGCACACGTACGGTGTTTCTACGTCGTTTTCTTCCATACAAAACGCCTGTCTTTTGCTTCCATAACGCACCATACCGTGTTCACAAGATATATTATCGTCGCTGTGACCATGACGCTTCGAATCCTCAGCGCCGTGAGGCATCGGCTAAAGGCCCGCTGCGAACTAGCGCGTGCTCGCATGCAGATGAGGAACTTGATGGACTATGAACTCATTGGCCGTTACTGTGGACTGCTGCTGTTCCCTTTCGTCATCTACTGTTGCGTTGGGCAGATGCAAGGCTACGCCGACGATCAGATCCGTGACCGACTTGCTGATCGGAAGCACGTGCGGTAAGCGACACCCGCTTTAGATCGAAGTATTTTTGTTGTCACTGTTCGTTGTGTCTCTTCACAGATATTGCTGAGCAAAGCCCCATTGCTGACTCTTTGTTTTCTAAATCAGAGCATTGAAGGCGAGTGCGTCGAAGCAGAAGCTCTATAGGGTCATGCAACCAAAATGCGGCTGCGCAACTCGGTGAAAGCCGCACTTCATCGCGTGAATCCTTTCGAAAGAAAAAGGAAAATAGAAACGGTCTCGATTCGAGAGGGCGAAGGTGCAGCATAAATGTGTTTTACTCTCTCGCGCGTGCGCTACGCTGTTTCGTGAAGGGCTTGCGGGTTATCTTGCCGTGCGAGCTACACTTTGCTGTGAAAGCGCACTGCCCATCTCTGACCATCTCATCTCCTCGCTCCACCTACGCCTCGCACACGTCCGCGAATATATATATATGTATTTTTAACGTAGTGTTTACTTCTGCTGCTCCTTTGCAGATCTTTTGTTTTGTTAGATCCACGGGAGGCATTTTCCACCTCTTCTTTGCACCGTCTTCTTCGTGCTCTTCTTTCCTGAAAGCGCGCCCGTACACACACACGCACATACACGCAAAGCCGCAGATGATCACCACAAGCGGCCGCGTTGTCCGCAAGAACGCCAACGCGTCGAATGGGCGAAGGGCGCAGCAGCCCCGGCAAACACCGCAGGAGCAAATCGAGGAGGCGCTGCAGGCCCGCGACTTCTCCAAGGCGACGACCATCCTTGAGTTCTACAAGTCCAGCGGCCAAAGCCTCGGTGACTTCCCCATCAACCCCTGGCTGGCGTACAGCGCGTTTCACGCAAACGACATCGATAAGGCGATCGATGTGTACAAGGACATGCTTGCCTTGCAGAGCTTCGACCCCATCAACTACATCTACCTGGGCTGCTGCCACTACATGAACGGCGATTTTCAGGAGGCCGAGGAGTGCGCCCTGCGCGGGCCGGAGTGTCCGCTGCAAGTCCGTCTGATGCTGCACATTGCTCAGAAGACACACGACGAGGAGAAACTCATGTCCTACCACGGAAGGCTTCAGGACACCGTGGAAGATCAGCTCTCCCTCGCCGCGGCGCAGTACATTCGCAACCACTACACGGAGGCGATCGACGCCTACAAGCCCATCCTGGCCCAGGCCGCCGAGTACCGCGCCCTCAACGTGTACTTGGCGATGTGCTACTTCAAATTAGACTTTTACGAGGTGAGCGTGAACGTGCTGAACGTGTATTTGCAGACCTACAACAACAGCGCCGTCGCCATTAACCTGAAGGCGGCGAACCACTACCGCCTCTTCAACAGCAGGGCGGCGCGCAGTGAGTTGAAGCTGCTCATCGACCTGCAGCGCACCACGTACAACGTGGAGACGGACATTGTGAAGCACAACTTGGTCGTCTTCAACAACGGCGACGGCGCCCTGCAAGTGCTGCCCTCCATCCTCGACGTCGGCATCCCGGAGGCGCGGCTCAACTTGGTCATCTATCACCTCCGCCACGATCAAATCAACGAGGCGTTCGACTTGATGGCCAACGTGGATCCGCTGACTCCGCAGGAGTACATTTTAAAGGCCGTGGTGAACGCCTACGTGGGGCAGAACATGGAGTCGCAGGAGCACCTAAAGGCGTGCAAGGAGATCTTCAACTTCGTCGGCTCCTCCGCCAGCGACCGCGACACCATTCCAGGCCGACAGTGCATGGCCTCCTACTTCTTCCTCCTGCGCGACTTCGCCAACGTGTTGATTTACCTGCGCTCCATCAAGCCGTACTTTATTCGCGATGACACCTTTCTCTATCTCTACGGCATCGCCTGCGCCGGCACCGGCGAGTACGCGGAGGCGGAGCAGAGTCTGCTGGCGGTGAACTCCGAGAAGATCAAGGCCGAGTTCAGCTACACGAGCTGGCTCGTTCGCTCCCACATTATGAACAAACAACCGAAGCTGGCGTGGGACATCTACTTACGGAAAGAAATGGGCGAGTCTATTGGTATTCTCCGCCTCCTGGCAAACGACTGTTACCGCACGAGCGCCTTCTATTATGCTGCGAAGGCCTTCGACGTGCTGGAGCGGCTTGACGGCGATGCCGAGTACGTGGAGGGAAAGAAGGGCGCCTGCATTGGCGTCTTCCAGCAGGTGTTTGCGAATGAGGAGACGTCGGACGCCTTCTTTGATGTGATGAAGATGGTGGATTCGAGCATCCAGCAGCACACCGATGACCCAGTCATTGTGAAGGACTTTACGCAGATCCTCACGGTGATGAAGGAGTGGAGCAAGGACGCAAAATTGAAGCGTCGATAAACTGGAGAACGAGCTGGGGTGGCTAGTGCGGTGGGTAACTAGGCAGATTCTTTCGTACTGCTGCTCAGTCTACGTCACCTTGTTCTACCCTGTTTCCGCTGCCTTCTTTTTCCTCCTCCCCCCCCCCCTCCTTCCGCTGCGTGCACGTTCTCCTCTGAGAGTGCGCCGACGCTGAGGCCGTTTCGCACATGTACAGAGCTGTTTTCTTTACCGTTGCAATGTAGACTTTTCTCAGCCCTTTTTTTTTCATTTCTTCTTTCTCCATGTTGATGCGATCTGACGGCGATTTGGTGTGGACTGAAGTGCGCGCCAGACCGAAGTCGTTGCTTCGTGGGCGTGTGCGTGTCGCTCAACGGATGTTAGACGGGTTGCCCCGCAACGCGCATGCGCCGTGTGTTTTCTTTCGTGTTACCATATATTGGTGTGCTTGTTGCTGCAGTGCGAGGGCCAAAGAGAAAAAGAAGGCTTCGAAACGTTCGTGGGACCGCACTTTCGGTGCGTCGCCCCCGGTGGTGCTTGCATGTGTTTACGCTCAAATTTGTTTGTTTGATGCGGTGCAACTTCCTTTGCTTTTGCTGGTTTCCAGACTTTTTATGATGTTTTCACGCAGGACTTACATTGACCGTTAAGCTGATCGCCCAAACCCTAATGCGTCGTCGGTTTATCCTCGCATCGGCTGATGTGGCGGGAAAGGAGGGTAATGCTGCAAAGGGTTCGTTGTGCGGCAAAAAAAAAAGACCGGCAATAGAAGAGGTACAGGACCCTGAACGGAGAACACTCCGCCTTTTGTCGCAGAGAATTCATCTTCACTCGCTTTGAATCATACCACGGGAGCTACCCAATGAAGCTGCCGGTGCATTTTGGACCATAGAAATGTCCGTGATTCATTCCCAGTTATCCCAACAATGTAGTTCATTTGTGTCGACGTCGCTGCTCTCATCCACTCCGCTCAGCTCAACTCTCCACGTTGTCTTCGTCAAGAAAAGAAGTTCAGAAAAGGAACGCTGCAACCACATCGTTGGTGACGGAGCGCACCGCTAGCCGCGGCGTCATGAAGCCCCACGGACTGGCGGAGGTGCCCTTCATCGCTCAACCCTCCGCCCTCGTCGCCCGTTCCATTTGCGCACTTTACTGGAAAGACGCGTTCCTCGGCAGCTGCGTGGCCATCGCACCGTCCATCGTCATCACGGCCGGCCACCACTACAACGCCAACCGCGACGATGTCGGCGACTTCAGCGTGCTGACGCGCCCCGGCCACTGGGCGGCGGTCGAGTATGCATCGAAGAACAGCTTCTTCGACGTCGTCGTTTTTTGGTTGTGCGAGGCGGTCGAGGCGCACGTTTCGCTGCGTGGATTTCTTCCTGGCGTGGGGGCGCAGGTCGCAACGGTGTGGCTCTCGCCGAAGCCGCCGCACGCTGCGATCGTGTCGCCCGGTGTCGTGGTCGAGAGCGAGCAGGAGAACTGCGTCGCACGCGGTACCGTGAGCACAACCGGCTCGAGCGGTGCGCCCGTGGTCGACGTGTTCGGTGAGCACGTCGTCGGCCTGCACCTGACCTCCAACACCCGCGATGGATCGCGCGTTTCCGGCTTTCTCCCTGCACGCAAGCTCGTCTCGTTGCTGGCAGAGATGGGTGTAAACCACGCACGAGTCCAATCGTGATGTCTGCTACGCGCTCAATTTATGGAGGACACCGCAAACGGCAAAAAGGTCCAACTGGCACTGGAGATCAACAACATAAGGAGCTCTTCTGTGTTCGCCATGTAAGTGTGTCTCCACACTTCCGTTTGGCATGCTGAGTTGCAGATTCCGTCAGCCGTCGCTTTGTGCCTGCGTGTTTGTCTGTCCAACGCGTGTGTGTCCGCAAAAGTAAACGATGGATCCTCACGGTTTTGCGTGCAACACGCGTTTACCGTCCTCTGCTCAGCACAACACTGTAAAAGAGGGAATGATTTTTTGGTACCCTTTTGTTCTCTAACAAGCTGGCGAAGATAGAGAAACCACCAAAACAACTCGATTATGACTGTAATTCGTGTTCCGAAGATTCACCGCGCAACCGCTTTGCCGTGTGTGGTGCAGCGCCGTCGCCTAGCTTTTCTTCTTCCCTGTGCCGTGCTGTGCACTTCATGTTGGTCACCGCGCCGCTTAAACGATTCAGTGCTGTCGGTGAGACCGCGCCGCTAATTTCCCCCCTCAACTCCTACGCTGCCTCTCCTTCGCCTTGTATCGTGGCACCTCCTTTCTTTCCTTTCTTACCTTTTCCTTCGCACCCTTACCCCCCCCCCCTCCAACTCTCCTGACGACACACCAGCATTTGCGCCTCTTGCTTTTACAGGTCCGTGTGCGCTTCCACGCTCGCACGTCGCCAACCCCCCCCCCCTCCCACGTCGCCTCGCCTTTACACGCTTCGGAGCCTGTTGCACAAGACCGCTCGTGCTGTGGCGTGTCCTTTGCGCGTTCTTCTTGTTGTTGCTGCTGCGGTGGTGGTGTACTCCATTGCGTTTGTGCGGAACGCACCTCGGTGCTCTTGCGATCGGACTATAAATACAACAACTAAAAGCCTTCAATACATGGCGCATGCCGCTTCTTCGGAGGGCAAGAAGGAGTCCAATGAGCCGCTGCAGTTCTCGTTTGAGGAGCTTGTGGCCGGCGGAGTGGCCGGCTTCGCGGAGCACTTTGTGATGTTCCCCTGCGACACCATCAAGACACGCATGCAGGGTGGCCGTTGGCGCAGCATCCGCTGCGTGGTGCGGCACGTCTGGCACCACGAGCGGCTGACCCACCTCTACCGAGGCTGTGTGCCGACACTCGTATCGGCGGTGCCGGCGCACGGGGCGTACTTCAGCGTGTATGAGGCCTTCAAGCGTCTCTTTGGCGATGCAACGAACTACGACATAGCCGCGGCGGCCAGCTTTGCCACGGTGGCCCACGACACCGTCTCGACCCCATTCGATGTCGTGAAGCAGCGCATGCAGATGGACAAGCACCGCACCTACTCCTCGTCGGTGGACTGCGTGAAGCGCATCGTGCGTAGCGAGGGCGTGCCGGCGCTGTTCCGCTCGCTGCCAACGACGGTCGTGATGAATGTCCCACACTTCGCCGCCTACTGGGTGACCTACGAGAGCTTCCTGACTAAGCTGAGCGGCAAGACTTCACGCAACCGGGGAGAGGAGATGACGTTGGATTACATGGCGGCCGGCTTTGTCGCTGGGGCGTGTGCTGCGGTGGTGTCCTTCCCCTTCGACACAGTCAAGACGCACCTCCAGCTGGGTCACGGGAGCGGCTTCCGTCACACGCTGAAGGGTTTGGTTGCACGGCGGGGTGTGCGTGGGGTGTTCGCGGGTGTGGTGCCGCGCATCATGTACACCGCCCCCTCTGGCGCCATCATGATGGTGACGTACGAGACGGTGAAGAACGCGCTGGCGTTTGAGGAGGCTTTGTGAGGAGGAGGAAGGGCGGGAGCGACAAACAACGTTGGGTGCGTCGACATCCCGCTGTGGCTGCAGAGAGGGACAACAGAATGGGAAGCGGGTTTTATTTATTTACTTACAGCGCTTCAGCAGGTGCTGGGGTGCGTGTTGAGGTGTGCGTCAGGTGCTGTAGACAGTGACGCACGCGTTCCCACAAGCCAAAGGCGGTGCGTGTTCTTCGGTGGTGTGGGCGCAAATGAAGAACGCTCCTTTTCCCGTTGCTGCTGTCTTCTTGCTTGGTTGTTTGTTGTCAAATGGATTCCAACTATTTCGCATTCCCGTGACGGTCGCCGTGGCTGTACATGGCATCAACTCTTTACATTGTTTTGCTTTTCCCGGTTTATCCTCATTTTATTATGCTTTCCCTTCACACAAGCTCACCTACAACGTACTCGGAAAACAATATTTCTAAAGAACAACAACGCATTTTGGGGGGCCGCTTTTTATCAGTTTTTTTTCCGTTTATGGCGCTTTACGCCAGCAGTCGTTGTTTCTCTTCTGTGTCGTTTTTATTCTCACCACCTAATGCTGCCATCGTCGCTTCGAGTCGAGAGGGGAATGCGGACATAAATCAAACGGAAGCGAGGAAAGGGACAGAAGGGGGTTGTGGACGCTGACGTTATCATTGACGGTGTCCGTCTCGTTTGGAGCGAGTCCCAACGTGGCACGGACTGCTTCTCGCTTTGCGCAAAGGAATCGACAGAGGTACTTCTTTTTTTCTTTTCTCCACCTGGTGTGGGAGAGGGAGAGAGGAAAAGAGCGTGCGCAACGCTGTGCGGCGTCTTCACGGTGCACACGGCACTGATGAGCACAACTAACGAAATGACTCCTTGTGGTCTGCATGGCCTTTTTGCGGCCTCCGCTTCCACTCGCACAACTCATCGCTCTCCACGTTTTCTCCCGCAATACGCGGCACTTATTTCCCTTCTTTGGTGTTGGACTGAAACGGCGACGTGAAGCGGTCATTCCTTTTCCTCCTACCGAGCGTAGAAGGCAGGCGGTTCTGCCGCGTCATGTTGCGCACTACATAAAGGGAAAAGGCTACCGAATCAAATACGGAACAAGAAAATAACATACCGCTACCTCCACGCAGCGCAAGAGATGAGCGGATCGCTTGCACTGCGGAAGCTACTCTTCGATGAAGAAGAGGAGCAGAGTGTACACCGACGTGGGTACCACTACTCCGGTGCCTACACGCCGCTGCTGAGCTCCGTTGCGGTGGTGCAGCCCGCCGCTGTTCTCCCCAAAAGCGGCCTGCCACTGGCATCCCTCTGTCTCTTCTCCACCTTCGTCAGCTGCCTCACCATGAAAGTGCGGAATAAGGAGAAATGGTGGATGGGCATGTTCGCCATCTGCACCGTGTACTACAGCAGTGTCAAGGCGCACAAGGTAGACAACGGATTGGTGGGGCATCAAAGCGGCTTCTTTGCGGCGGGGATGGGCGTGATCGGGTGTGTGGCGCGTCTCATGGTAAAGAGCGGCGCCTTCAGGTGGAATGTGACCTGCCTCGGCGTCTTCGGTGCCCTCCTCTGGTACGAAATCGGCCGCTATCACGTGTGGACTGACCACGTCACCGAGTTCCGCCGGGAAGTCACGCCGGAGCGCTCGTACAACCTGTTGGGTGAGTACGTGCCGCAATCGTTGGAAGTTGAGTTCCTCCCTTACCGCTCCATCGTCTGATGCGACGTGTGCGCGCGGGCGTGTTTGTTGGTGTGTGGTTCAAATACCATAGGGAAAAGGAAATGCGGTGGGTTTGCTTTGCAAAAGTGGCGGAGTTTACATGCTCCTCTCGTTGCCCGCTACGCCGTGTTGGCATCGTCGCCTGGTCTCTCCTGTCACCTCTCGTCGTACGCACAGACATCGCTCGCCCTAAAAACTGAGAAGGGGCGTATTTGTTTACACTATCAACTCAGATCAAGGACGGCCTGAAGGCTGTCGCGCTACGGCGATCACACGTATTGGTGCGCATCGTAGCCGTGTCGCTGTTCACAACACGTGCGTTTTCCTCCTCTTCTGCAGCTCCGTGTACGCGTGCGTCTGCCCTCGTTGCGTCTCCGAGCAGACCGGTCGATATCTTTTTCTTGTGGTTCCCCTCGTCTCTTGCAGTCCAGCGCAGACGAATATCAGCGTCCACCTCGCTTTTTTTATTACTTTTGCCTAGTGTATTGATACAGCTCTTCCAAACTTTCCAGCGCCAAGCAACGATGGGCCCCAAACCGGTCATTCTCGATCACGACGGTGGTCACGACGACTTGGTCGCCCTGGCGCTGCTGTTGGGCAACCCGGAAACCGTCAAGGTGATTGGCTGCGTCGTGACGGACGCTGACTGCTACGTGGAGCAGGGCTTCAACGTCTCTGGCAAGGTCATGGCGTTGATGCACGCGCAGGAGGAGACGCCGCTGTTCCCCATTGGCAAGACGTCCTTCAAAGGCGTCAACCCCTTCCCGCCTGAGTGGCGCTGGAACGCAAAGAACATGGAGGATCTGCCGTGCGTGAACATCCCGGCGCACCAAGCCATCTGGGACACCGTGCGCCGCGACAACGACGCCCTGGTCGGCGAGGAGCTGATGTGGCGAAGCTGGTGGAGTCGCCGGAGAAGGTGACCATCTGCGTGACGGGCCCTCTGTCCTGCGTGGCGTGGTGCGTGGAGAAGCACGGCGAGGCCTTCTGCAAAAACGTGGAGGAAATCATCGTCATGGGCGGTGCGGTGGACGTAAAAGGCAACGTGTTCATCGACGGCCGCACCGACGGCAGCGCGGAGTGGAACATCTTCTGGGATCCGCCGGCAGCGAAGACGGTGCTCACCTGCCCGCACCTCAAGACCGTCGTCTTCTCCCTCGACTCCACCAACTCCGTGCCCGTGACGTCGGCCGTGGTGCAGAAGTTCGGTGCCCAAAACGAATATCTGCTCTCACAGTTCGTAGGTGCGACGTGGGCCAGCTGCACCCACGTGGTGTTGATGCGGCCGGATGACGGCTACTACGCCTGGGACGTGCTGACGGCGGCGTACGCGGTTGACAAGTCGCTCGCCGAGGTGGAGCCGGTAGCGCTGGAGGTGGTGGTGGAGGCGAACCATCCGATTGAGGGCCGCACAAAGCGCCTGCCTGCCGGGGCGGTCTCGGGCAACACGGTCATGGCCAAAAACACCAAGGCCGACTTCTTCTATCAAATGGTGCTGAACAGCACGCGCCGCTGTTTGCCCAAGTAAAGCGTCTTACGCACCGCGTTGCCTCCACACGTTGATACGCAGCCTTTCACAAGGCAAGAAAGAGCGCTTTACTCCCCCCCCCCCTACGTTCATACCCGCGGCGAACACAAACGTTGAAATTGTGGGCGGGTTTGTTTACTTCTCTTAATGAGCCTTTCACGCGAATGGCTCAATGCGCGCTCAGAGGCGCTGCCGACATGGTAAGCTGGCGAGAGAGCTCTGCGTTGCTTAGAAGGCCTTTCAACCGCTTCAACGTGTTGGCAGGAAAACAAACACACACGCGCGATCAAAGGAGGCGAATTAAATACGCCAACAGCTTTATCCATGAACTACCAGAGAAAAGAAGTTTCCGCACCCGGCTTAAATATTGGCTGCTCTATTTCTGGTTTGCGACGGTGTTGGGGGAGGACGAACGCGGCGACACAGGGCCGCTCTGCTTCCACCCACCCTCCATTCTAGCGAATTCTCACTTGCCAATGCACAAGCCGAAGTGAAAGAAAAACGGTGTCGCTGCTCCTTCCCTGTTACTACCACTTTCTTCTCAACATCCTTGTCTTCTCTCTTCGTATCTTTCCACGTGCATCGGCGCGTTGGCGCCGTGAGCAGAAACGAAAGCAATGGATCCATCCCAGAGCGTCTCCGTGTTCGCGTCCGCATCGGCGCCTTTCCCTGCCACAGAGGGCAAAGCCGCGCCGCTGCTATTCGTCGCCTCACAGGGCTTCGACAGCAGTCTCCCCCAAGTGTCGCGGAATGACTACAAGGCGCAGCTGTACAACTTCAAGTGCACCAAAGGTCGCGCCTTTTTGCAGGACCGCCAAGCCGCAGTCACGAGCCTGCCGCGTCTTCTCCCCGACGGCGTCCCCTACGCGGCGAATTTCGTCTCCTTCGACCGCCTACGCGAGTGCGGCGCCCTCAGCGAGACACGCCAGAACGAAGTCAGCATCACTGCTGAGGACCTCCGGCTGCTCTACGAGGCGCGGTGCCTGGATCAGGACTTGGCCCCGTCCTGGCAGCGGGAGGTGCGCTTTATGGAGCTGGTGAGTGCGAATTGCAAAGGCAACTTCTTCTGTCTGCCGGAGAACGGCTTCGGCGTCAGCTCCGCGGAGGCGCTGGCGGCCATTCTCTCCACGAATCGCCGCTACAGCGTGCTCGACGTCTCCGGAAATCGTCTGCGCGACGAGGGCGCGCGCTTCATCGCGCAGCTCCTCAAAAAGAACCGCACGCTGGTGCACATCGATGTGGCGTCGAACGATATCGGGCACACGGGCGGGGTGATGATCGCACACGCCCTCTTAGAAAACAACACGGTGGTGTCGCTGGACATCGGCGCCCGTGCGGGCGTCAACGGCAATCACATCGGCACCCCCGGCGCGGAGGCGTTCGGCATGGTGTTGAAGAGCAACGAGGTGCTGTCGCGGCTGAACGTCAGCAGCAACGGTCTCGGGGCTGCCGGGGTGACGTTCATCGCCAACGCGCTCAGCCTCAATCACTCCTTGAAGCGACTCAACCTATCTAGCAACAGCCTCGAGGCGGACGGTGCACGCGTCCTCGCGGCGGTGCTGGAGGAGTCGCAGGTCACACACTGGGAGCTGCCGCGCAACCGCCTCGATGACAAAGGCGGCGCCGTCTTCCTCGACGCGTTGGTGGAAGCCGTCCGCAACGGCCACGACGTCGTGGAGTATTTGGATATGGAAGACAACGTGCTCGGCGTGAAGAGCGCCGAGGCGGCGGGCAAGTTGCTCTCCTCCTCCACCGCGCTGACGGTGCTGCGCCTCGCGGCCAACTCGCTGGAAAGCGGCGTCAAGGCGATCAGCGCCGGCCTGCAGGAGAACCACAGCTTGACGACGCTCTCCCTGTCCAAGTGCAGCGTGGACCACAGCGGAGCCGCAGCACTGGGCCACGCCATCGCAGTCAACCGCACGCTTCTCCACCTAGACATGAGCAACAACCGCATTAAAGACGCCGGCGCGGTGGAGCTGGCGAAAGGCCTCGGCTCCAACAAGTGCCTCCTGTCGTGCAACGTGTCGTCGAACAAGATCGGCCACGAAGGCGGTCTCGAAATTGCGCGGGCGCTGCAGAAGAACGCCACCCTGCGTCACCTCAACCTGCGACGCAACATGATGCTGGAGGCGACGGGAGACGCGATCAGCGACGCATTGCGATTGAACAAGTCGGTGGAGCAGATGGACGTGGCGTACAACGACTTTTCCTACGTGTGCGTCATGGCCATCGAGCGCGCACTGGAGCACAACCAGGCGGTGAACAAGACGTTGCTCGTGCCGAAGCTGCAGAGCGACATTGACAGACTCGCGCCAAAGGAGAAGGAGCTTGACCGGGCCGAGGAGGACATCGAGGTGGAGAAGCGCATGGTGCGAGACCGCAGCGAGGAACTTATGCGCCGCGGAGAGGAGGCCCGCGTCGTGTCGGAGAAGCTGCGTCGCGAGATCACGGAGTTAGAGAAAGTGTACGAGAAGATGCGGGCGGCGGCCGACACCGCCGAGGACGCGATGCGGCAGACTGAAAACCGCGTCAACCTCGCCATGACGGAGCTGAAGACGAAGCGCGCGAACATGGAGACCCGCATCCAGCAGGAGAAGGAGCGCGCCGATCGCTTCCAGCGCGACACGGAGAAGCTACGCAAGCAGATCAAGCATCTGGAGGATGCGGAGAAGGAGCAGCTGGGTCCGCTCTTGAAGGACCTGGAAATCACCGAGCAGGACCGCACACGGGAAATGGACGACGCGAAGTTTGAGGCGGAAAAGCTCGCCACGCTCCAAATGCGCATGAAGGAGCTGCAGATCGCCGCGAACAAAGGCAAAAAGAAGAAGGCGTAGTGTGCGCAGAGCTCCACTTTTTGGTTTGTTTTGTATTTCTAATGTAAAGTACTATCAGGGGAGGTTCTCTTATTTTCTTTTGTGCTGGCGTTTCATACGCATATTTTTCCTGGCCCATGTACAGAGATTTGGCGGTCGTCTCACGACTCTACACATTTTTTTGTCTACGAAAGTGTTACCGGCGCTCACTTGCTGTCCTTCTACAGTGTCCTGCATCGTGCGGAGCGACTGCGACGGTGGGCCGCAGCAGATGCGCTCTTGTGCCAATCATTCATCTCTTGAGGGGGAGAAAGATAAAGTATGAGGGAGGGTAGAGCATGGGCTGCCGATGTCTGCGCGGCGTGACAGCCTCTTGAATTGCTGCGCCTCTGCCTTCGTACGGCTGACTCGAAGGCTCGAGTAACACGCGTTGCTTACGCTAAAGGGGAAAAACAACATTTCCCCTTTATTCCCTTTTACCACCGGTTTTGTTTGGCATTCTGCACCTCGCAGACCGAAACATAAAAATATAAATAAGACGCTTTCCATTCATCGAAGCACCTCATGCCGCTGCTCATCCACGCAGTCCAGACCTCAAAGAAGCGGTCCGCCGATGCGCTTGTGAAACCACTCCCCCAATCCGCAAAAGAGCTGGCGGCGCAGGCCCTCTCCAACCTGTGGCAACGGCTTTTCCGGAGCTACCAGCACTTCTCCCAACCAGGCTGCGACTCCTTCGTGATCGATGCGGCGGTGGGTGCCGCCCCGATCACCAGTGGCGCAAAGGGCACAGGGAGGCAACGTGGCATGCAGTGGGCGCCGGGCTTCTCCACGGCGTCCACGTGCGACGCTCTCATTCAGCACCTCTTCCGATGCAACGAGCACTTTGACGCACTGTCGTGGGTAATTGCGTTTTGCCTCATCGACCGGCTGCAGCTCCACCACTACGTCCGCCAGCGTCTGCAGAACATTTCGTTTTGGAAGCCGCTCCACTCGTCGCCAGCGTCATTTCAGTTAGTGAAGGAGGACGCTCCTCAGCTGCTCTTCACAGCTTACACGCTGGCCTTCAAGTGGCATCTCGACTACACGGTTTCCATTAAGTATCTCACCAACCTTCTCCCGCAGCAGCGCCACGCCCGCACGGCGATCTTGCGCGCCACCGTCGAGGATGAGCTGGTGGTCCTGCAGGCGCTCGACTACAACTGCGCCGTGTCGGATCACCACGTTGCGCAGCTGATGGATCACTTTCTGACCGCCGCGGAGCGGACTTGCGTGCTCCATGTGGTGCACCACGACTGACCACGGAGAGCGCGCCCTCCCCTTCGGATACAGCACTTTTGAGTTTTTTCTGCTACAGTAATTTCGCTGCTTTTTTCCTTTCGTTTTGTTCCTTAGCGCCATCACAGACAATCGACAAACCGACAGAAAAACAGGCCTTTATGAGGATGATGATGATGATGTAGCCGCCTTTACCCGCTAATGCTCGCTGGGCACAATGGCATACGCGACTCTTAAACGAACGGCGCCACCACCGCTGCGAATGCTGTGCTCTCTGGGGACGTGACAAAAATTGTAGCTGTTACGCCTGCATCGCTTTATTCTCTCTTGACCCGTCCGATCGGCAGCAGAGGAAGACAGGAGCATACTTGCATTTAATAAAAGAATGAACTGGAAAGCGACTGCAATAACACGCACGTGTCTACATTCTTTTCACTTCTCTATATGTTGTCTCGCCCTTCCTTGTCGTTTCCGCCCCTTGATGTTTCCATCCCCCGTTTTCTTATATATATATATTTGGTTGTTTCTTTTCCTTGCAGACTGCAGCTTGGCTTTGCTATTCTTCATCCTTCCCTTTTCTTTTTCTGCATTCGTCGTAAGCAACGTTTGTAATATATCTATATAAATATCTACTAACTATTATCTACGATCATCTTGATAAGCTGTACCACCTTTAGTCAGCTCTGTGCTTGCAGCTATCGTGTGCTCTTCTCTCTTGCTTTCTACAGCTTTTTTCCGTTGTTCTATTTTAAAGCTTCGTGTGTGATTGGCATTTGGCGCTGATCGATATTGCCGCCGTGTTTTCTTTTTTTCGCTCTCCTCCCCTTGTTTTCTCTACTCTACGGCTTAACAGTGTACATATATATAAATATACATTTCCTCCAGCTTTCCTCGTAAAAAGAAGAGAAGCCCAAACAAACAACCATCCCATCTCCTCCTTCTTATTCTTATTACAAATGTACGTCCAAAACGCGAACTCCTCCCAGCAGATGATGCAGTTCCCACAGAATCAGTCCCAGCAGCAGTTCTCTGCCATTTCTTCCTATCCTCCGCAGCAGTCCTTCATCGTGCAGCACCCGCAGCAGCAGAACGTGTACCCGTCGCAGAACACCCAGTTTGTCCCGATGAACATCACGTCTCAGTCGAGCCAAAACTACGTCAGCGCGCCCACCGGAACCGTCTACGACAATAATTTCCAAGGCTCCGTGAGCCAGATCTCGCCGGACCAGATCACGCGAAGCCACAGCCGCACGCAGATGGTGCCGATCCCGTCAAACGATGAGCGGTACCGCAAGCAGCTCATCGTGAACTACCTCGCGCAGGACGTGACCAGCGCAGACATCCACACCCTCTTCTCCCGCTTCGGCCCCCTCGACGGTGCTCGCATCATCTTCGATCGCCAGACGAGCATGCCGCGCGGTTACGGCTTTGTCTACTTCCGTCATCCGGAGAGCGCGAAGCAGGCGGTGGACACGATGAACGGGTATGAGTTCCACGGCAAGCGTCTGAAGGTGGGCTACTCCACCAACCCGCTGAACATCATCTCCAGCACCTCCGCGGCGCAGTAAAGAGATGCCGGCGCGATGAAGTAAGCAGGAAAAGGGAGCGAAAAGTGTTCTTTAATTGATGGGTCACGTACACCTTTTTTTGTTGTTATTGAGCGATTCTCTCATTCTATTGTGCGCATTTTTTTCTTCACAAATTTGCGCCGTGGTAAATCGACGCTTCAACTTTTTCCCCCCTGTGCTGTCGTTGAGTGTGGAGCAACATCGCGACAGCTGCGGGCCGAACTCGGGCTGTTCCATTCAATTCCTCGCTTTCTTTTTGATTTTCTCTCTTTCTCCGATTTCTTTGTTTGTTTATTTGCCTCATCTTCTGTGCTTTATCTCCTAAGCTCATTTATCATGTTCTGATACGACAATTTTTCTTCCTCCGTTTCTTTTTGTACTCCCATTTTCCCCTGTCTTCTCACATTACTCCTCCCTTTTCTCTCTGTGTGCAATATCAGGGGAAAAAATGTACCTTCTATCTTTCTTCGTTGTTTCGCAGTTTTTTGTTGTTGTCTTCCTTTCTCCACTTCCCTTCGTGATATATTCCTAAACTAGCTGTTGTTGTTTCACACTCCAATGTCGTTTGAGCTTTTCACGCGCAAACCTTCACTCGTACATCGTTTTATATAGTTTTTGGTTTTAAAAGGGAATAGATATATATTCATGTTTGCTCACTGTTGCTTTCACATTATTCCCGAGAATTCTTTTTTTTTCCTCTTCCCATTTTATTTTGGTTATGTTTTTGTTTCTTCATTTCTCGACTCTTTTTACATCGTTTGGTGCTTATTATGACTATTAAAATTGTTTGTGTGTGTGTGTTATTGCGCCTGTGCGTTTTCAGCGTGGTTGTCGGTGTTGTGCATGGCGCTGTCGGGGAACGGTATGAAAGAAAGAGGAGAAACTGCTAGGCTTTGAACCGTGACGGCGCCACTCTGCGACGGCGTTTATGTGTTTGCTCCTCCTCTCCTCCTCCTCCTATCTATGTACCTCCTGCTTCGTCGACGTGCTGCGTTAGTTTCCTTGTTTACTTTCATGGCCTACGGTGAACAAAGCGAGCCACTTTCTTTTTTGTGGCTGCGCCGTAGCTTTCTGTTTTGCTTGTTTGATTCCTTGCTGCGTCGTGTGAGGAGCATACCTTTTCTTCATCTTTTGTTTTCATCATTCTACTCAAAAAGATACAAAGAAAGAACTAGCGCAAACAAACAGTTAAAAACTTCTCTCTGCGCCCCGTTTACTGCGTTCATCTACTGCCTGACCTTTTTTTTTCCTTCGTTGCTGTTGGCTTCCCGCGCCAGACGCATTCACTACTTAAAAATGGACAAGCTTGCCATTCTCACGGGCCACGTGAGAGTAAAAGCGTTGGCCTTGATGGAAGCGTACAGGTAGAGGCGCGTACTTGTCAAAGCAACTCTAAAGCAGTCAACCATTTCTGTTTTTCTAAGAATTCTGAATTAAAGTAGAAAAAAAAAGGAGCTTTGCTCTTGTGAGGCACCGCGTTGGAGAGGGTTTCAGCCCGTGTTGTGGTTTTGCAGAATCTTCCTTGAACCTCTTCCTTGTCATGTTTAACGGGCCACAAAACAGTTCTTTCCTTTTTTCGTCGTCGTTTCTTCTTCTCTTTCTTCTTCAATCTTTCATTGTTTGTGCTTGTGTATCCATCGCTTCAAACTACTGTCACTTTCGGATTGAATTTTTGTTTCCCAAAATGTCTTTCCTCTTTCTGTCGTTCTGTTACTTCCGCCTCCTCAACGGTGATCAACGTGCGCCGCTGAGCTTGCCCTCTTTTGTTTTCCTCCCCTTGTCTTTTTTGTGTGGGGGTAAAAGCGAAGCAATCCGCGTGCGGGGAGAGAAGAAGCAAAGATGCTCTGATAGCGAAGATCGAGTAGAGGAGGAGAGAAAGAAGCGTGGAGAAGTCGGTTTCGTCTGCGGCGGAAAGTGTGAAGAATGGTAATCCACGCTCAGCGGTCGGCCAATCATTCTTACGCAGTGCATTTTTCCCCGTGGAAGATTGTTTTCTTTAATCGCTTTATTTTGATTCAGTGTCTCTTCCTTTGTGTGCCTTAGCTTCGTATGGTTTCAAGAATACCTGCACACGCACATATGCATATCGACATACATATTTATTCCGATGTGATCCTAGTTTGATTATGCGAGTGTACAGCAAGACTGGCGGAACTCATCGCAGTCGATGATTTCATCAGTGTCATGAAAAGGGCTCCTAAGGGAAAAACTGAAGTGTCCTCTGCAAATTTTCTCTTGTTTGTTTGTTTGTTTGTTTGTTGTTTTTATTGGTTTTGCTCGCCCTCCCGTACTCCTCCTCCATTTCATTTCTCGTCCGGTATTTTCCTCTCGGCGCACACGTGTGCAAAGGAGAGCGGTGACGCTTTTCGTTAGCGAAAAGATGAGCCTTCCAGCACGTTCTCCCGTCACGGAAGAAGTGGGGTTCTTGTGTGCTAAAAAAGCCGTCGTTGCACGGGCTGAACGTGTGAGGGTGTCGTCCCTCCCTCCTCTTCCTGCCTTCCTCTGTATTCCGCGATGACATGTGATGGATCAGCGTTACTCTCTTCCCCTCTGCAAGTGCATGCTGATCGTTTCTTTTGTTGTCCTCTTTTAACTGTCGCAGGGTGGTGGTGGTGGATGACGAGGTGTGCGGTCAAAGGAGCTCCTGCGGTGATGATACATTCTCGCTGGAAAGAGAGAAAGCGATAGGTGCAGACAGTAAGAGTGAATGGGCGACCAGCAGGAGATGGAAAGCCGAAACAGTTTTCACGCCGTGGTACATAACGAAGAAGGAGGGGGGCGGCGGATAATGTGGTCTCCATCACACACACGCTGTCCAAACGTTGTTCGTCCCGCTTTCCACCCCCTCTTCATGCTTACGCTATCGTAGCGGCGCACGGCCGACCTTCTCCGTAAGAACGAGGAAAGGCGTTGCGCTCGCTTCCGGCTTGGTCCGCTCCTTTTTAGGGTCCTCCTCAGTTTTCATACGCTTTACTGGAAGGCGTGAAGAGCAGAGTCTTTTTCTTCTTCTTCCTTTTTTTGTTGTTGTCTGTTTGAGGTCAACGCGATGAAGACGTGTAACCACTCCAACGGGCCCATAAAAATGGCAGCAGAGGTCGTTGCGCACACGCCGCGCATCAATGAAGAGAGGGACATTATTATTGTTTTCTTTTTCTGCGAGGTTTGTGTTATTTCCGTGACCAAGCTTCTCAAGACGGCTGCAACGCTCTGTGGCTTCCACGTTTTGTATGGCATGCGTGCTCGAGCAGAAAAGAGACAAGTCAAGTACAGCGACAAGACAAACGTTTAAACGGTGCCGAAATGGTGCATGCTGCATAAGGAAATCTGTTATTGACTCCTTCTCGCCCTTCCAACGCGTTATAGCGGGGTGGAACGACGATAGCGCAGGCCGCCGCCGCACGAAGAAGGGTTGTTCGCTGTTTTGGGCATCCAAAACCAACAGCACGCAAACACACACACGGAAGAAAACGTAGCTACCGATATGAAGCTACGCGTGCCTCGTTACTATTATTGTTTTATCGGCAACGTGCAAAGTAGGCGGTGTTATTGCGAGCGATGTTTTTTTGATGTTTTGCAGAGGGTTTTCAATTTTGGTTGTTTGTTCTCCCATACTCTCACGTTCTCAACTGCAACTGTTTTCTTCTTTTCATCTTGCGCCTCTCGTCTACCTCTCTTCGATCCTTCCATATATAAATGTGCCCCAGCAGGGTTTCCAAATGGCGGCGATTATGGCACGAGACGTGCTGCAACGACGGATGCCTTGGTGGGCCACGTCTTTTCTTGCTGCCCCGAGCGCCGGCGCCAGCGGAAGTCTCCTCCTCACCTCCGCTCAGCGGCGTCAACTCTCTTCGATGACTGTGCGCGGTGGAGACGGCGCCGACTCTGCTCGCCGCTTTCACAAGGCGTGCTCCTTGTGCGACACGTCATTGAACAGTGCGCAGGCAATGTTGACGCACGGCAGATTTCTCAGACTCGTCGACTCAAACCGAGGCGATGTTGTGATACACGTGGACACCACGGACTTCCTCTCCTGGGAGGGCACGACGCTGACCACCGTGCCGGAGGAAGCCGCCCTGCTAGAAAGGCAGACGCGCCTTAACGCGCTTATGCTGCCCTTCTGGGTGACAGAGCCGCAGGCGACGGAGTTGTGTGCCTACGAGTCAGTGCAACGAAGCCTTCGCTGCGCTTCTTCAGGCAGCGCCATCATCGCGGACGCCTTCCAAAACAGAGATACATTTGTGGAGCTGACGTGTGGTACATCGGAGGTGACGCGCTACGTGAATTGGGAGGCTTTGTGCTCCCGCTCACTGCCTCCGGTAACTTTGCATTCGTGTTTGTCGTTCTTCCGCTGCTTCGTGCCCATCAACGTCAGAACCAAACGAGCGTTTGACACCGTGGTTGCGATGCGCCTCCGTGTCGAGGCGATGTGCAGTGATTGCTGGTGCAGCGTATGGGGCACCGCAGACGACTACGAGAGGTGCGGCTTTCGCGTGCTGGACGGCGCACTCGGCGTATACGTCTTCAACGGCCTCGGCAGCCCTGCGTTTCTCATTCACGCCTTGTGCACGACGACTCCCCTCGAGGTGTACGCCGCCTGCTATCCGAACGACAGCATCTGCACGACGTCCAGCTCGTAAGGTTGGGGCGCTTATTACCGTTGATTTGATTATGTACATCTCGAGCGGTGTTTTTTCTGCTCTCCTTTTCTGCTGCCCTCCGCTTGTGTAGGTCCTTTGTCCGCTACGATCATCTCCGCCGGTAACGGAAGGGAAAAGATGCGCTGTTTACTGTGCTCCTCGGGAGATGGGGTGCGTCGTGTGTATGTGCCGGCAAAAAACTCCAGACCGCCTGTGACACGGCTGACGACAAGAGCAAAGCAACCTGACCGCCAAATTGCCTACGATCCACCTTTTCTGGTTACCGTTGCTCCACACAAGAAACGCCTCACTTCCTCTTCTTCATCTCTCCTCGCTAGGAATACGCTCGGACCTTCACCGCCGCCGTCAGCAACTCCAGTTGGGTACGCTGAGGTGCTTGCGCAAAGAGGTAAGAGAGAATATCAGAGCAGATTGACAACACACAAACGAAGCTTAACTGACGGGATGGACTTCTTACCGCGCAGCAAAGATGAGCCAAGTGTTCTTCGACGGCAGCTATTGATTGAGCTGTCTGTGCTGCGACGTCGCTACGCACAGCTGTCCGACGAGGTGAAGGACAACCAAATCAACGAGGCCGACTCCTCCAACCCGCGTCTTCACCGCGGCCCCGCTGCGTTGTTGTCTGGCAGCGTGACATCAGCCGAGGTCGAGGAGGATTCCGGGGCACTCGGCCAGAGCGATCGGGACGCCATTGAGGCGCTATTCCACTCGATGGACGACTTCACGCGGGAATTTAACGAAGGCAAAGGCGGTCTGGAGCGCGACGACATAGTATCGAAGATCATGCGCAGCAACACGCCAAACCCGTAAACTTACGCGAGCTCAGCCTCTTCCTCTGTTCCTTTCCTGGAAACCCTTCCACTGCTGATAATTAATGTAGAACGTGCAAAAACAAAGCAGTTTGTGATTCTGCACGCTTGAGGGCTAAAGGAATGAGATCACAAGATATTCAGGGCTTTTTTTTTCCGTTGCAGCCTGCAACGGCATCGAATGATCTGTGGGGTTTATTGATCCCTTGTCGAGGGTTTAGGGTTGTCTTGACTGAGATCTTCTCTGCACAGCAAGGGGACGTATGAGATCTCCATCTTTTTTTTTGGTGTTTTTGCGTGCTTCTCAGGCACGTTCGCTCTATCATCCGCTGCTTGACTGTCTACGTTCCTTCTCCACTTCTTTCCCCATTCTTTTCTTTGTATGTCCTCGTCTTTCCCACTCACACGTTTCAACGGCCCTTTCTTGGACAATTCGATCGTGATCCTGAGCACAGCTTAGTATCCAAACATGGTTGCTCCGAAGAACAAGATCCGCCGCATCGGCAAGAAGAAGGGCGCGACGCTGAAGGACGTCAGCGCGTGGCGCTGGATCAAGACGGCCGCCCGCCACTTCAAGCAGGAGGGCAAGATCTTCGTGCCGAACTGCACGGAGATCATGAAGAGCTCCCACGGCCGCGAGCGTGCCCCGCAGAACCCGGACTGGTACTACATCCGCTGCGCCGCCGTGCTGCGCGCCATCTACCTGCGCCCCGGCGTGGGCTACGGCGGCCTCAGCAAGCGCTTCGGTAACAAGAAGAACTACGGCAGCCGCCCGGAGCACGCCGTGACCTCCTCGAAGGGTCCCCTTCACTGGGCCTGCAAGTCGCTGACGAAGCTCGGCCTTGTGGAGCCCGGTGCGCAGTCCGGCCAGCGCCTGACCCGCAAGGGCCACAAGTTCGCCGACTCCCTCGCCTTCCAGGTGCAGATCCGCAAGTTCGGCCAGTCCAAGGCGTAAATCGTGTTGGTAACTCAGCGTCTGATTCGTTTCGTTTTCCTTTTCAAAAAAAAGTTGCAGAGCAAAAGCGCGTCGGTTGCGATCGCTGTCAGCTTTCGTGGGCCCACTGCCCCGATTGCATTGGCCACCGATGCGTCGTGGGGGGCGGGCTCCCGTGTATCGCAGACGGCCATTATTTCTCTTCTTTTCGTTCGGTTTGCTTCTCCTCCTCCCCCTCCATGGCATTGCTGTGCGGGTGTGAAAGGCCGGATGAGGTACGTCGCTCGTGGAGACAAGAGAGGCAAATTTGTTTGCACGAGGACATAAAAACCCCGACGAGGCGAGACGAGGCCTCATGTGACGGCCTTTTTATTTCTTGTGCCGATGTCATCTAACACACACTTCTCTACTCATTTATTTTTCCGCTCCGCTTCTCCTCCTTGCCGGTCTCCTTCCCTCCACTCTCTGTGAGGTGGGGCCGCACCGCTTGCACCGCTGCTCTTGCTGTCGTGCCGTGTCAACCGCCACACAGACACACCTTGCTAGTCTTCACCAGAAAAGGATATTTTCGACGACCAACGGAGGCATAGACGCATGTCTGTGCTCAGCGTCTTTCTAAAAGCCGCGGCGCTCGGCGCGGCGATGAATGCGTTGCTTCCCAGCCGGCGCGCGCAGTGTGCTCCGTTCGTGGATGCACCGCCAGCATCAGCCGCCGACGTGGCCACGCAGGACTTGGTTGCCAGCATGCGTCTCCTCGACCAAGATCCCCAATGGAGCATTGAGGCCGACGATTTCCACAACAGCCTGCGCGCAGCCACGGTGCAGCTGCGCCTTCTCCGCCTCAGCGCCACATACACAGACGCGGAAGGCGACACCGCCCCCGTCATGCGGCTTGTCGGGCTTTTTCCTGGTGTGTCGACGGACACGCTTTATCATTATCTGACGGGTCTGCAGACGCGTCCTGCGTGGGACGCAAACTACACCTTCTACGAGCGTTTTAACGGCGCCTGTCGGGGCACCCTTCAGCATCCCTCTCTGCAGCGGCCGATGGCTGCCGTGGCGAAGAAGCGGCCGCACTGCGAAGGGGATGTGTGCACCCTCGTACCGGATATCTCGAGCAGCATCGTCGACCATGACTGGTTCTGCCACGGGGTGGGCAGCCCCTCTCTGCGTCGCTTTGGACTTGTCGACCGCCTTTTCCAATACGAGCGGCTCACCACCGTTTTCCGATTTGCAGCCGACGCCGAAGCGGTTCCTGCTGGTGCGCTGGCGGTGTACGACATCCTCTTCAGCGGCTCAAGGCGGGCGCGCGACAGGGCCGCCGCAGACTCCCCCGCACTCGCCGCGTGGCTGCAGACCAAACGCCGCTGCGACGACGTGGAGGGCGTGGACGTTAACTTTCAGCAAATCACTCTCATCCCTATTGCCGATGCGCACGACCAACTCTTAGCGCGGCCCGAGCAGCTGCACTGGCTGTGCACCATGGGCAGCGTGATGGACGATAAGGCGGCCAAACTCGTTTACAACGTTTTCAAGGACACCCAAACACGCAGCGAGCAGGGAAAGGCGTCTCTTCCAGGAAGTCTGCTCGTCATGACGTCCGCCAACAACGTGCATGTTCCCAAGCTCTTTCCATTATGGATGCAGAAGAAGATTTCCGGTGCTGTGTCGCGTAAAGCATACGGACAATTGATGGCCGCTTGCGTGAAGGATCAAGGACGGTGAGCAAAGGGAACGCATAAGAGATGTGGCCGACTGTTGTGCTCGGGTTGTTTCAGTTTGGTGTTTGTGGATCGCGCCATACATGTGGTCTCTGCATTCAATGCAGCGTATACCAAGTAGTCACATGACACAGATACACAAGCGTACGCACAAACCGTCAAAAAACAGCAATTCTTAAGAGAAAAATGCGCATCTTCTCGTGAGCACTCCCGCCCTCGGCAGTGGAGTACCTTTCCTCTCCCTCTTCAAATGCACCTCTTTTGAGCTGTTGTTGTTTTCGTTTCGCCTGGTCAGACTGTCACTCTCGCTTTGCCGATCTCTTTCTTTGCTTCTCTCGTCCATCTCTTCCACTCGCAACCCTCTCTCTCCAGCTCAACTCAAATTTGTGCCCTCACGCACCGACCGCCGAAGAACCAAAAAAAAAACCCGACGAGCAACAGTCTCGGTTAAAACGGTGTTCTTTTTCTTTTTAAATTGGGACAGTCGTCGCTATTCCATTTCTCCGTCCCCCCCCCCCCTTCCCCCGTTCGCGTCGTTCTCTTCTCAGCAACGCAAACCATTTTCTTCTCTCTTGGGCTATTCTTAAAATTGCGCGTCGGTCCGGTTTTTTTTTTTTTGTATTCTCTCTTATTACTTTCCTGTTCATTGACGTGTGCATCGAAGGCCGTTGCTTTTTCTCACATTCCTTTCGTTTTGCTACCTGCCTTCTCGTGTAATACGCACACACCCATATATTTATATACTTTATTTGTTTATCCTCTTCAATTTCAGCTTCATGTCACGTTACATCGACGTCGACGACATCCGCATCGGCGCGGACTACCGGTGCGTGTACTGCTTGAACCCCGTCTCCAACGCGCTGCTCAGCCGTCAGTGCCGTCACCACGTCTGCGGTGCCTGCGCTGCCGCTTGCAGGGGCCACTGCCCATGGTGCGGGTGCGGCACCTACTGGAGCGCTGACCCTGCGTTCAGTGCAGAGGCGCAGGCAGCCGTTGAAGAGGGTCTCATCCAATGTGCCGTCCAGCAACTCCGCAAGGCCTTCGGCTACGAGGGTGAGGCGGCGCTGCGCGAAACAGCCGTGAGTTTCCTCAACACCGAAAGCCGCGAGGCCAACGTGGGTGCGATGATGGAGCATCTCTCGCAGAAGCGCAAAAACATCTACGCCGCGTCGCCCTCTCCCGATGCGGTCGAGACAATGCAGCGAACGGCGTACACGTGTGACGACGCGTCGGTGCTGCACCGTCTAGAGAATAAGAGACACATTCGCTCTCTGATGATCAACGACGCCAACTTTTGGGACACGAGACTGCTGTCCGGGTTCACGGCATTGCAGGTGCTTCGTCTGCGGGGCTGTCGCCGCATTAAAGACTTGTCGGGGCTGAGCGGGTTGAAGTTCCTCAAGACCCTCAACGCCGCCGGCACCGGCCTGCGCAGCCTCAAGGGCTTGGAGCACTGCCCATCGCTCGAGACGGTGATTGTGACGGGCTGCAGGAAGGTGGCCAGCATCGCTCCTCTCTCGCAGCACGCGTGCTTGCGGACGCTGCACTGCGGGCATACGAACGTGGCGGACATCGAAGCCGTCGCGTCGTGCGAGCGCCTGGAGGTGGTCACCTTTGACGGATGTCGCCTGCTTACCAATCTGTCCCCGCTGGCGGGCCTAACGAAGCTGAGGGAGGTTGGCGCGGCCACCACCAAGGTGACGATGCTGGAGGCGCTGCGCGGCAGCTGCGCAACGCTCGAGCGCGTCGTTATGGACAACTGCGCCGGTCTGTCCGACTTGTCGCCGCTGTGCGAGGCGGAGCACCTCAAGGCCCTCCACGTCAACGGAACGAGCGTCCGCGACCTCTACGGCTTTGGCAAGAAGCCGCTGAACTCGGTGGAGCAGCTGCACCTCCGCGACTGCGACCGCATCCGAAACATCGCCGACCTCGTCGCGGCGAAGCATCTACGCGTGCTCGACATTGGCCACACCAGCGTGTCGAGCCTCGAGTACCTCGTGAACTGCATCGACACACTGGAGGAGCTGAACATTGAGGGCTGCCGCCGCATCACCGACATTTCCATCCTATCCACGGCCGCGCAGTTCAAGTCGCTCCGTGCCTCAGACAGCGGCATTCGCAGCATCGCCGCGCTCTACCCGTGCAGCGCCACGCTCGTGTGCGTCAGCGTCGGCGGGTGCGCGGAGGTGGTCGGCGCCACAGCCCTCGCGGATGCGCCGCTGTTGCTGGAGGTCGTGCTGCGCGGCACGGGCGTGACCAACCTCCACTTCCTCGAAAACTGCAGCAGCGTGCAGATCCTGGATTGCGCCGACTGCGTGCGCATCCACGATCTCTCGCCGCTGCGCAAAGCGACGAACCTGCGCGAGGTCGTCTTTTCCAACACCCGTGTGCGCGATATCGCGGCGCTGGCGGCGTGCCCGCAGCTGGAGGTGGTGAACTGCGCGAACTGCCCCGACGTCGCCGACGTCTCCGCGCTGGACAGGGCGGTGCACCTGCGCCACGCTGTCTTCAGTGGCACGAGCGTCCGCGACATCGCGCCGCTCTCCAAGTGCACGGCGCTCGAAGTGGCCGACTTTCGCGACTGCGCTGCGCTCTCCTCCATCGACGCACTCGTTGCCTGCACGCAGCTGCGTCGCGTCATCTTTGCCAGCACGAAGGTCCGCAGCATCGCCCCTCTGAGCCGCAGCCGGCACATCGAGGTGGCCGACTTCGCCTTCTGCAGCAACCTGACGGACCTGACGCCTTTTTCGGTCGCGACAGAGCTGAAGACATTGAACGTCGAACACACCGCCGTGGGCAGCCTCGTGGCGCTCGCAGACAGCACACAGCTCGAGACGGTGAACGTGGCCTTCTGCGCGCAGGTCGACAATGTCACGCCGTTGATGCACTTCGCGCATTTGTGGTACGTCAACCTGCAGGGGACGCGGGTGAGCGACGTCTCGCCGCTCGTGACGTGCCGAATGTTGGAGGTGCTCGACATCCGTGACTGCAGAGACGTCACCGACGTGTCATGTCTCTCGCGTGCCGGCGAGCTCTCCTCGCTTTACGTGCACCGCAGCGGTGTTCGCGACATCAGCTCGCTTCGCCTCAACGACGGCGTGAAGGTCTTCGGGCTCCCGGGCCGTGCAGTCAGCACAGCCACTGAAGCCCGAAGCCCGTTCACGCCGCTGTCGGAGACCTCCACCCCGTCCAGCGACGCGCAGAAAATTGAAAAGACGCCGTCGTCAGATCGGCGCTGCTCGTACGCTTCCGGCCCCTGCAGCTGCATGTAAGTGTGCCACCCCGACTTCATTGTGATATCCTCCCCCGCCCCCCCCCCCCCCCGGACCTACTCCCTTTCCCTCTTTTCCCAAGAAATCTTTGTATTTCTCTCACGACTGCAGTCGAACATTCGTGATGACCTGTTACAGCAGGCCCAGTCTGAAGTGATTTGTGTGTGTCGGGTGCCTGGGCCGCCATGGGGCTTTTTTAAAGAGCATTTCAACGCCATGTATGACTGACCGTGCGCATTCCCTATCTTCGCTTCTCTAGATATTCCTCCATCTGTCTATTACTCTACCCATCTATCTCTCCCTCTTTCTCTCTATTTATCTTCTTGTCTCTTACTTCATTCGGTGAGCTTTCTCCTTGAAGCTCTCACCTCATTATCACTCCATCCACGTGTCCCATGTACCCGCACCTCTGACCGCGTCTTTCATGCCTGCCTCACCAGCGGGCGCTACTACAGCAGCTGCGGAGGTCTTGGCACAGCAGTTCACGGAGCTTGTTGCGCAATCGCACAAAGCCGGCGGAGCTGCACAGGGAAAGTTTCAGCACAGTAGAAATGCGCCTGTTCGTGCGAGAAAGGTCGGAGGCGGGTTTCCAGTCCAATTCTCCGTGAACCGAAAACGTCATGTTTTGACTCTTTTGAGTAGCTTATGAGCGAAATCGGCTGCTGTCGCACCTTCGGGTTTGGAGTGCCATTCGGTGTCGATCCGGCGATGTACCTCATTGTGATGCCGAGCGCCGCGCCCGATGGAGAGAGAGAGGCACCACCGGCAAAACCGTCACATACACAAGCACGTTGCTGCAGGCTAGCAGGAAGAAAAGTACTTCTCTTTCTAAGGGATCACAGCACGCATTCGATCTTTGTGCAGGAAGACGGCGGCAGATAGAGTTCTGCAGATTACTCTTCTTCTTTCAGGCTTGAAAACGCTAGCGTGTATTGCGGGCTTGTCTTTGCTCATTGTTTTCTGCTCATTTGGCCTTCTTTTCTAGTTCTATGAGGACCACTTCAAGTGCCTTCGTGGTATACCGACCGACGTCTGTCTTGCTCTCTGCTATTCAACAATAATCGAAAGAAAAACCATAGAATATGTTGCACGGCACGGGCTTCGAACGACCTGCATTGCGAACAGACGGAGCGGTCCTACGTGCGTCGTGTAGCGCTCTGGGAATCTTTATGCATAAAGCATCGGATGTTGTGACTGCTCTAGTTGATGTAGGGCTCTGCTCTTGTACTTTCTCCTCTGTCTACATCTTTTCTTTTTTTTCTCTCCGCATCCCGCTTGAAGAACTCAACGTGTGATTGAACTCCGCGACGCTGCAAACATCTCCTGACGCTCTTGATCGCTGCTCAAAAGATGCAGCTGCAGAATCTTGAGCTACTCAGTAAAGTGCACCGCGATGACGGGCATCGCCGGTACTGCTGTCGCGCCACGGACGCGTGGTACCACTGCGTACACGGCATTGCAGCCGCTTGGTCGGACGCACAGGGCGTAGAAGCAGATGCCGCCTTTCAGCAAATGATGACAGCTGAGGCAGCCCCCGTTGAAACTCCCGCCGCATCGACGACGACGGCGGCAGACGCGCTTCGCCGAGTTCTGAAAGTGGCCGACGTAACGTCCACCACCAACTCCAGGGAGTTCCCCGGCCCGATGTGCAGCCCGCTGTGCAAAAGGGACATCCCCCAAATTCGCCAGCACACCTACACCGTCACAGAGAAGAGCGACGGCGTTCGCGTCGTGGTGGTGGCGCTGTGGGTGGCCGATTTCCCGCAGTGGGCGTGTGCGAAAGGGGCGTGGAATGTCTCGCACCTTTCCTCGGTGATGGCACTGGAGAAGGCGCGACGGGACGTGCGGGCCGGGATGCACGACACGGAGACGCCGTCGTCGTCAGGGGTCAGCGTGATGCTGCAGGGGCGCCGAGTCACACTGCAGTCGGCAACCACCTCCGTCGAGGCGAGCGAGCCAGCGGAGACGTACACCATCGTCGCCGAAGGTGAGGCTTTCGCGGCGCGGCGTCGCTGCGGCGGGCGCCACTTCGCCTACGCGGTTGATCGCTCGATGGACGCCGCGTACCTATTCCTAGACGATCACACAAGCGCCCAATACCGCAACTTTGTCTTGGACGGCGAGCTGATGTGTGTGCGTGGTTCAACCCTCGCGAAGAAAGAGGAGGGCGGTGATTCCTCTGCTGCGGGTGCGACGGGGGCGCGTTTGCTGTTGGGCGCGTTCGATCTTTTCTGCTTTACCCCCGCAGGCGAAGAAGAAGCGGCGAAGCTGGTGGACGCCACCATGATGGAGCGCTACGAGCTTCTGCAGAAGTTAATCGCCACCTGCGCCGCCTCCCCTTCACTCAACGAGGAGCACGGCGGCTTCCTAGAAGGGCATGTGACGTGGTACGCAAAAACCATGTGGCGTGTCGCGGACATCGGGGCCTGTCTGTCGAGGCTCCGCTACAGCAGCGAGCACCACTGCTTTCTCTTTGACGGGCCGCACGGGCCGACGGAGAATGACGGACTTATTTTTACCCCTGACCTGTTTCCCATATCAGTCGGCTCCAGCAGCGTGCAGCTCAAGTGGAAGTGGCGTCACCTCCTCTCCATCGACTGGCTGTTGCTGGCCTCGGATAAGCAGGCCGACGTCTACACGGTGTCGCTCTTCTTTATGAAGAAGAATTATGGCCACAGGGAAGACGTGATTGGGCACTGGCGCCTGCGCAGGCCCATGTACATCCGAAACCCACGCGGTTTCGAGATGCCGGTCGACGCGGCGGTCGTGGCGGAGTGCGCGTACGACTTTGCGCATCAGCAGTGGTACATCCAACGCCTGCGACCCGACAAGCGAGGCGCCAACTCGATCGTGACGGCCATTTCGGTTTACGAAAGCCTCGTTGAAAACGTCTCCCTGCCGAAGCTGCTGCGTCTGCTTCAGGGGGAGGCGGACGATGACGCAGAAGAGAAGGGCGACGCAGCACGCGTGGCGGTGGCGCTCGAAGACGCCGTACTCGCGGACGTAAGCGCAGTGACGCCGTCGTCCAACTCTGTCACCGCTGCGGGTCCACCGATCGTTGACCTGGCGCAGGCGGAGAAGTGTGTGACGGCCGCCGTGACGCTGCGCGCCATTCGTGAGAGCCGCGGAAACACAGAAATCTACCTCAACGCCTTCACCAACAACACGAACAAAGCTGTCAAGTTTCCGCTGCCCTTCCCGCTGCGGAGGATCAGCGACTGTGTGGGCCTCGGCTACGACCCGGCCACCGCTGCCGCCTCTGTGCCGTCACTGGCGGAGGCGCTTTACATTCAGCTGGGCAACGCCGGGGGGTGCTACGCGTGGTCGGACTTCGTGGTGGACGCCTTTTACAACGGTGAGACGGGCTACTGGGAGCTGATCCACCTCAACCCACGCGGCAACAACAAGGATGCTCTCTTCGACAACGTCATTGAGCATCTCGACTGGCTGCTGCATCACGGCGACAGTGCGGCGTTGGCACCGCTGCTGCAGCGCAGACGCGACAAACCGCTCGTGGTAGCCGCAGTGCCCACGTCCGAGGCGACGCAGCAGACAAGCCGCCACTACGGCGCGGTGGCGAAGGAGCTGGCCCACGCCGAGCGCAGCGACCTGCGCCGCTTCAACAACTGGGTGAAGTCGCTGCTCATCACCGCCGGCGCTGCGGCGGTGCGGACGACGCTGAAGGACCCGGCAAAGCTGCACGCCCTGGACCTCTGCTGCGGCCGCGGCGGGGATCTCTTGAAGTGGCAGCACCTCCACCCCGCCTTCGTCTTCATGACAGACGCCTCGGTGGAGTGTGTGGCCGAGGCCGCCGCGCGCTACAGCACCTCGGAAGGGCAGAGCATAAAGTCGAGTAATGCGCAGCGACGAGGCTTCCCGGCGTTCTTCGCCGTGCACGACGCCTTCGACGCCACCTCCGGCCTCCGCGGCGACCTCCTCAAGCGCGGCCCCTTTCAGCTCACCTCCTGCCAATTCTCCATGCACTACGGCTGCCGCTCGGCGGAGGGCATTCGGTACTTCGTGCGCGCCGTGGCGGACTCCCTCGTCGCGCGCGGCCGCTTCGTGGGCACCACCGTAAGCGATGCAGAACTGCTGGCACGTGCGAGGACGCACGGCGCCTCCTACGGCAACGACGTTTACCGCGTTCACTTCCCCGCGGAGGCCTTCGCGCAGGTGCAGGCGGCCGACTTCGAGCCGTCGCGGCTGACTTTTGGGGTGCCGTACTCGACCACGGTGGAGCGCAGTGTGCAGGACGTGGTCGAGTACGTGGTGCCGTGGAAATCGTTTGTGGAGCTGTGCGCGGCGCACCACCTTCAGCTCGTCCAGGAGGACAACTTCATGCATTTTTACGAGCAGCACAAGGAGACGCCGGAGGGCAAAGTGCTGTTAGCGGAGATGCGTCGCAAGCGCGGACACGACGGCGAGGCGACGGCGATCCCCCTTTCGTCGGAGGAGGTGGAAGCTGTGCAGCTGTACCGCCTGTTTGTGTTCGAAAAGACGGCGTGAGGCGGGGCAGCTGCGGTGCGGAGTGCTGCCCGCACTTTCCCGTGGCGAGCACGAGGGCCGCTCTTTTGGCCTGTAACCCTCTGCGGCGTCCACAGTGCCGCCAGCGCTCGAGTACGTCGAGGTGCTTTTAAAAAATGCGTCCAAGACGACAACGACAAAAAAAAAGAAACGCCGTTTTGGCTGTTATTCTTCCTTTGCGCATTCCAGCACTTTTTTGCCGGGTGAACGCAGTTTGTTCTTTTAAGCGGTAGAGGGGTCTCCTCAAGCGGTCCTTTCAAGAATCGCCCGGCCGTCAACGACCAACGGTGGGAAGAGACTCACCTTTTTTGCACTTATCCACATCTTTCTGCCTCTCCTCTGTTGTTTTGTGTTTTCCGTTATCGTTGCTTGTTATGGTGACTGCGGTCACGCATGGAATTAAACACATGCGTCGGACACAGTAACTTTTAAAAGACGATCATTTTCTTGTGTAAGCGTGTGTGCGGGCACGTTCCTGTTGCAACTATATTTTATTTTCCTTAGCTCTTCCTCAGCCCACACACGCACACTCGCGCGGGAAGTAGAAATGTACGGGGCTGGCATGGACGAGATGCTGAACGCCATGTTCGGCGCAGGCGGGATGCCGGGCATGGAGAGCATGGGCGGCTTCGGCGGTCGTGGCGGACGCGGGCAGCGCGCTCGCCGAGGTCGCGACGTGGGCCACGCCCTTCCAGTCACCCTGGAAGACCTGTACAACGGGAAGACGGTGCAGGTGGAGCGCCGGCGCACGGTGCTGTGCCCCGAGTGCAAAGGCAGCGGCTCAAAGAAGAAGAACGTCCCGCGTGGCGGCAACGTGTGTCCGCAGTGCCGCGGCAGTGGGGTGCGGGTGGTGGTGCATCAGATGGGCATGATGGTGCAGCAGTCGCAGGTGATGTGCGACGCCTGCAGCGGCACCGGCGAGCTCATCGACCCGCGCAACCGCTGCCCCCGCTGCTCGGGCAGTAAAACGGTCGAGGTGGACGCCCCGGTGAGCGTCGTGGTGGCGAAGGGGATGAGCCACAAGCAGCAGCTTGTTTTTGCCCGCATGGCGGACGAGGAGCCCGGCGCGGACCGTGCGGGCGACTTTGTGGTGGTGCTGCAACAGCTGAAGCACGACATCTTCACACGCGACGACTGCGACCTGCACATGCAGCACCACCTGTCGCTGCAGGAGGCGCTGTGTGGGTTTCAGTTCAAGCTTACGCACCTTGACGGTCGCGAGCTGGTTGTCCGTCAGCCGCGTGGCCAGATCACGAAGCCGGGTGATGTGAAGGCGGTGGTGGGCGAGGGCATGCCGGTGCTGAAGCAGGCGGGCAAGTTTGGTGACCTCATTATCGAGTTTCTCGTCGACTACCCGGACCGCGTGGAGGAGTCCCAGCTGCAGCTGCTCCGCCAAGCGCTGCCGCCGCCGAAGAGCGTCGACGCCACCGCCAGGAACGAGGAGGAGGGCGAGGTCTGCTACGTGACGCGCGAGGACCTTTCTATTTTGGAGGAGGAAATCAAGAAGGACGAGGAGGCCGAGGATGAGAACGAAGGCCCGTCCGCCGGCTGCGCAGCGCAGTAGTGATGCCACCGTGTCTGCTGTCCTCCGTTCTCGTGCGGCGTGCGAAGGTATTCGTTTGCGACGCATTTGCCCGTTCACCTCGGCCCCTTCATCGGCTCCCCCACCAGAAGGGAAAGAGGAGCTACGCTGTTTGTTTGCCTCTTTCGTGCATTTCGTCTGCCCAATTCGAAAGGCGCACACGGAGCGGTCCCAGCACGACTGCTCCACGTACGTGTGTCCACGTGGCTGAACAGGTGGTTAGACCCTTGCTGACGAGGGTGGTGCCTGTTGCTTGTGCTTATTTCTGCTGTGCGTCAGATGTGGGCTGGCCCGTGTTG